AGAGAGAGAGAGAGAGAGAGAGAGAGAGAGAGAGAGAGAGAGAGAGAGAGAGAGAGAGAGAGAGAGAGAGAGAGAGAGAGAGAGAGAGAGAGAGAGAGAGAGAGAGAGAGCGAGAGAGAGAGAGAGAGAGAGAGAGAGAGAGAGAGAGAGAGAGAGAGAGAGAGAGAGAGAGAGAGAGAGAGAGAGAGAGAGAGAGAGAGAGAAAGAGAGAGAGAGAGAGAGAGAGAGAGAGAGAGAGAGAGAGAGAGAGAGAGAGAGAGAGAGAGAGAGAGAGAGAGAGAGAGAGAGAGAGAGAGAGAGAGAGGAGAGAGAGAGAGAGAGAGAGAGAGAGAGAGAGAGAGAGAGAGAGAGAGACAGAGAGAGAGAGACAGAGAGAGAGAGACAGAGAGAGAGAGAGAGAGAGAGAGAGAGAGAGAGAGAGCGAGAGCGAGAGAGAGAAGGTTTGGCCACGAAAATGAAGAGACTTGTAACACGCAGTAACGGGTCTTTTCCTCGTTAAACGAAAATTTGGTCTTAGCCTGTTAAAGACAATCTGTTTAAAGTAGTGATAAATCTTTTATGGTTGAAAGGGCCATTTTCTCTCCGTGACACCATGTCTTCTCATTGAACCCTACCTCATTACAACGAAAGGGGTAGATAATTACCTGCTCCAATAGTAAAGACTCGTTCAAAGTCAGCCGCTATTGCCATTTGCTTATAAAGCTGTGGAGACTGGGCGAGGTAGGCGTTATCTAAAAAGGATGAGTTAACTATTAGCAACAACAAGAGAATGCCTGAAATATACCTAATCGTGATGATAAAACATGTAGAAATCAAAACCAAGTAAACAGAAATACTTTCTTCTTTCCAAATAAAATGAGCTTGGAGCAATGTCTTGAAAAATATTAAACAGAGAGTTCTCTGAGTGTAATAAAAAATTGAGCAAATCACTATTGGATATTCACAAAAATAGAAGAATGCAATCAAAGTGGTGAGATGCATTTAGAATTGACTCAAGTGATTATCAACTACCATACAATTCCTTCTGGTAGACACCTCAAAAAAGCACTTACTACTTTTTTATGATCGAAACTTTGTACAAGTAACCTACAGACACTGGATACATCCTTACAACCGACATTCATTAGTCTCCCAGACTTTTCAGTTATAAAGTTAAACAATATTTACCAAACGTAGATGTCTAAACAAAAACACACTTGGAAAAAATGTCAACGTGGAGGGAAAACCGTTCTCTAATACATCAAGATGTGGCCAAATATTGCGTTGTGTGATATGTGAAGACGTTAAGAAATTCTCTACTTACTCTTGAAATAGGACACAGTGAAAACATTCGCACCACCTTCGCTAGCAGCTGCAAAAATCAATTAAAGCAAAATTTACACGATTTAGAACATTAAAAAACTAAACTGGAGTAACAAAAAAATTGCTTTAGTGTATAGCATATGAAAAAATTGCTCAAAACTAAGAGTTGAATTTTAGAAGAGCACCGCTCAACACACCCAAGCGTGTACAGCTATTATACGGCACTGAGCACTATTAAACAGCCCTGTAACTAGCAATCTTCATAATTTATTTTTTCAAACTAACAACGTTAACCAATGCTAGTAACTTGCGATCGCCCTAACCCAGCGGTAATTTTTTCGAATGGATATTTGGCATAAAAATTCCCCTATAATATTCTTTAATTGCAGTATTTCTTGATAACGTTAAAATATTACTCTGTAACAAATGAACTATAACTCATGTATACAGGTTCGCACAAGAAAAAGCATTGAGTCGAACTTTTTAAAAAAATTTGCATATCATCATGAGACATTTTCAATGTAGACAAGAAAAAGCAAGAGGCACACCTGAAATTATCTTTGGAGTGTGAATTTCCACGAAATTCTGGCTTCCAAGATACTCTCTAAAGAGCAGGCAAACAGCACCCTGCAGTCTGTATAAGGCTTGGTTTGTGATTGTCTACAAAAAGAGGATTGAGTCGAGCTGATTTGCCATTGGCTTGTTTAAGAATTAACCAAAAACCTACTAAAATACAAGACTTTGATTTGCTAAAAAGAAAAAAAAACTTTTTTTTGAACAACTGTAAAATGAACTTTTAATATGGAATAGCTAATCAACTGTACATGAAACGGAGGGCATCTACGATGCAGGCCTCGCCTATTGAGACAAAGAGCCTAAACATATGTCAGGAAGCATATAAATGTAATCCCAACATCTACCTTTCACCCTTACCACCATTCAAACTTGCAGTATAAGTGCATTTAAAGCAGAGACATACTAATTTTGGGGTAAGGGGGCACACAACCTGAACAATGTTTGTTCAAGGTTTCAGATGGCGATCCACTAAGATTGTCCTTGCAGCAAAAGGGACTATTCAAAGAATTTCTTTCCTGACAATTATATTTATAATCATGAAAAAGGAATTGTCACTTATTCACCTTGTTGTTAGTTTTATGCATTCGAAAGCAAGAAATTTTTCGCTTAAACCAAAGTTTTACATAAAAGGTAAATGCAGGTTGAAAACAAGCCCCGCTCTAATCCTTCAAATGTAAGATGAAGAAAAGAACTGAAATGATACTCACTCTTAAATCAATAATCCTGTTATCAAGCCTCGTGTCTTGGTTGACATGTGCCAAAGCCTAGATCAAGAAAATATCAATAACTTCAAAATATAAATATAGAACAAAAATTATAAACCAAGGAGTTCAACCTTGAAAAACCCAATGCAGAGGGCCTAACAGAAATGAGCAAATTAAACAAACCGAAAAGATGTAAGGATAGAGAGCCACCCTGTAAAAGTTGAGAATACCTCTCAATTTCCCTTCCCCTGTGTAATATTCAAACTAGAGGATAATAACTGTTCTCAACTTATTGGACTCATGAAGCATTATCAGTACTCTGATACCACATTGCCCAGCACTCAGGTTTAACTATTCTAAAAATCACTGGGGTAGTAAAAGGGATAACAAATAAGGACAAAAAACACAAAATTGCTGATAGTTTAAACGAAATGAAAACCACAAAATTAAAACCTCATCTGTTTCTGGCCTTGAAGCATCTTCTATCAGCAATGGCAATCTTGGACTTGCAGCACTTATCACAAAGATCTAAAAAAAATTATGTGAACTAAGTAATGATATTCAATTGCAGATTCTAGGTTGCCAAATATAACAGATAAACATATTAATGAAGTAGTATTTTGTGATGTCAACTATTAAACACACCTTTTCCACATGTACTTCTACGTCATCCTGTGAACAACTTTGGACTTTTGGATCAACAGATTTAATGACACCTTCAACATCAATGATTGACTCCTTTGTAATACTGTAAGGATAGCAATGAGTGAATAATAATTAGACTGAAAAAAAAATAACTTATAATCATAAATTCGGACTTTGGAAACCGCAGCTTGATGAAAAAATTAAAAATTAGTACCAAAACAAAGAAAAAAGACAACTTCTCTGGTATCAGACAATTCCTTGTTGTACAATTAAGTAGACAAGTTCATTATATTGAATTAACTTAGAGATTTTGACTCTAGCTAGAGTCATCTTCATTATATTATTACAGGCAAAAAACAACTCTAAATATAGAAAGGTTAAACAAAGGGGATTGTAAATCATGTGATAAAGTAGTAAGGTATTAGCTAGGGTCAAAACGTTTAATTTACTTTAATATAATGGACTTGTCTATTTAATTGTACAACAAGGAATTGTCTAATACCGGATTTGTCTATGTATCGGGTTGTCATAGCTGTAGCTAGAAGTTGTCAAATGTTCCAAACATTATGTCTTTTTTCTTTGTTGTAGTACTAATTACTAAGTTATAATAAGAGTTAACAATGGTCTTACATTTCATAACTGGAGTATTATGAGTTTTAGGGTCTGATAATGAATAATATTGTCACCAAACATCACATGGTATCATTCAGTTGTGTATTCAGGTTTGGAGTCTTCTTGTGAATTATATTAAAAGCTAAAAGAGCTTTTAAACCTGTGCCAAGTGCCATATTATTATTATACAAGATTGCATCGAACTAAGAACAACTGATAAGTAAGGCACTAAATAAAACATAGGACAACAGTTCAACCAATCTGTAAAGATTCCTTCATTTGAAATACGCTGTTGAGACCTGACAATAATGACTTAAAAAGGCCAATGCAAGGAACTTAAAAAATATCAAAAGTATTCCATCTTATTAAGCAAAGGCTATTAACAAGAATTGCAGTGCACAACCAACAGCAACTTATTTAAACCCATACTTAAATATTTATGTGTCATAATTTACCAATAGTATATAACTGTTTTAACTCAAGCCTCCTGGAAAGTTGAAAATACACCTGGCATAAAGCATTAAAGGCACTTACTTGGTGGCAAACTTTACCATCTGTTTGCTGATAGAATCACCAGCAGCCACAATTACTTGGATACTGTACTGTTGCTGTCTAAGCACAATAAAGCACTGCTTGCCTAAATAAAATAGAAGGTAATGCTGTAAAAATAAAAGAAATATGATCTATATACAGAAATCAGCAACATTTACTTCAGACCAGTAAGAAATTGCTTTTGGGTATAAAAGTGCATACATTTTAAAACTACCCCTAGTTGAAAAAATAACAGCAGAACCTCTAGTTAAATGATTTGTAGAGACATATAAACTTACATGGTTTACAAAGATTTCAGTAACAAAATGGAGATCTAAATGCACCTTACAAATCACTTTGTAATGGCAAGCAGTTTAACTTTTTTAATAATTTGAAGATGCAATGTTGTGGTAAACCAAAATCTATTACACAATTGAGGTATGCCCCAAGTTGTACAATATCAGCTATTTTTCTGATGAAATAAGAAAAAGAGCTTCCTGGTTATATTAATGCTAATATCTATATATATTATATATCATACTGTATTTTTGATGGCTTTGAGAGGGCCCTTTTTCAAGTGGGGGACACTTTTTCATGATAGGCACTTTATAAATGTTTCGCCATTTCACTCAGTTTGTCATCAAAAATTAATTCTTTGTGAGTCTAACAGGCTGAGCTTTTATTTCGAATATCATCCTTTGAAACTGAATACATATCATGATAGGATGTTTTCATCAATACCTGCTCCTCTGCTTGTGTGAAGTCTCCCTCTTACCAAGATCTTTTTACCAGCTTTATCAAGTGTAATTTCATTCACTCTTGTCCAAACACGGTCTAATATAAAAAGATTTTTTAAATGTCTACTAAGGAGGCTACAGTTCTTTGTTAGTCTGATAATTAAATATAAATTAAATAGTTTTTTGGAAAAAAAGATTCTTTAGTTAAATAGAAGGTTGGAATAAATCTAATAATCTTTATCATATAATTCAAGTTGAATTTTGGTATGTTGATGCACTTCCAAAGATGGAAAAAATTCATAGAGAAAATTAAATATAAAGAAGCAAAAATATGGTGCAATATGAATTGAGCCCTCACTGATCAAAATTTTTATGCAGATAGACCACAATCAAATAGAAACTTAAGTGCTATGAAAAGGAAACAAAGAGCTAAGCTATGCCATCTAAAACAAAAAAGACTGCATATGCTCTTCAAACACAATCAAATACCTGATTTCATTTGAGATTGAATCAAAGGAGCTAGGCCATAATTGTCTTTGGAGATGTCCTGCAAGGTTTTATATAGGATAATAGCATTGTTATATATGTAAAAAGCAATAGTATGACATATATTTCCAATGGCAGAACATGGAAAGCATGCTTGAGCAAACATTTGACCCATATGAACAAAGACAGCTAACATAAAAAGACCATTTTAACACATGAGTATATATATTATTACAAACCAATAACAAAAAGTAAAACATCATTCTATATGTTTTTATTCTCCATTTGGCTGCCATGTTGTGATGTTCAAGCCCTGTAAAATCCTAGCATACAAGTGTTATGAAATTCAAATTTCAGTTCTACATAGAACAAGTTTGGCTGTTGTAGTTCAATATTCATTTGAACATTCCAGGTTATTTTTGCATTTATAAGATTTCAAACAGTAGTGGAATTCAGAGTAGCAAACTGCTCTGGACATGTAAACATAATTTATAAAAAATAATAGGAATATGTAATAGTAGAAACATAAAAAGACATCTTACCTCACCGGCTGCTTGAGCTTCCTCTGCAGCCTGAAAAAATACTGAAGTTAATCACATCTTCATAAAAATTCTGATGTTTATATAGCTTTTGTCAGACATATAATGTCAGACATTCATGGGTTAAACTCGAGAAAAGTTCTGCTCCATACTTACATGCATGTGCATATAGATTAAACCTGTATGTTACACCATTGAAAATGTAAACAATATTGAGAGAGACTTTCATAAATTGGATGAAAACTAGAAGCAAAAAAGCTAATTGCCAAACGTGGATGCATAAAACTTGAACAGTAGGTGTTGTTCTCTACCAAAAAATAGAGGGAAAAGGTTTGCTCTATGATACATATGGTATTTCCTCAAGTATTTACTGAAATACTTTGAAGATATCCTTCATTAATTATCATATGTACCAGCTTAATGATATTTTTCTATTAATGATATATAATGATATGTACCATCCTAAAACTTATCATAAAGATTGTCTGCTTGATTTGGAACTAATATTACCCTAAAGTGTAAATGAAAGTCTTCAGCGTGACATATTCTCAGGGACAAGTCTCTATCATGTGCAATTTAACTTCCGGACAAAGTTTGTCAAGCTGAAATTCCTTTTACTTAGTGTCACTCGAAATATAAGCTATTACTTGTGGACATTGTCAGTATCTATAGAAATGGTAATTGCCTCAGAAATGGTATTAATAAAGAATGATATTATTCCATGTTACATGATAATACCTGTTTTGCTTGCTTCTCTGCTTTTACTTCTGCCTTCTTCTTCTCTTTTTCAAGTTTCTTCAAAGCATTTTTCGAGAGAGGTTTTCTAAAAAAGAAACAATATAATTTCAATCAAAACCAGAACCATACAAAGTTGAAGGCCAGCCTTTTATTTCACACAGGCAACCTCCCTTGCACTTGCCAATCCCCTCACCAAATGCTTGGGCTTTTGACCTCCCTTGGGGCAGGAAGAAGATTTAGGGAAAAGTTAGTTCCTAGTTTTATTTATGACTAACCTCAGTAATCAGGCCCTGCGGCACAGGGGTGGCCAGGGGGGCATGGTCTCCCCACCTTTTTGTGAAATAAAATATTAAAGTCAGCTCAAATTATTTTAGATAGATAAATCTGTAGATTACAACAAACAGATTAAGCCAAAGTCCATAGTTGTGAAGCAAAACTTTTGCCACCATTGGGGGTAGATAGGGTAAAAAGAAACTTTCCTTACACTGTTGGCCCCTCCAGTTTAGGATCAGTGGCACAGGCCCTGGTATTATAATTTGATCCAAAATATAGCTTCAAATACTGCTGATTCAGCAATTTCTTAATCATCCCTTTGTGCCAATCTCAAACAGTTTATGCTTCTTTGAAAAGGTATAATTTTGCTGATTTACACAGAACTATGAAGTTTGAGCATATAAGGGATACGGAATTCAAAAATAGATTCAAATCCAATATATCTTTAAAGCCTACACAACTCAAATCAAAAATGAAAACCCTTTTACAAATGCATCAACCTTTGGGAGCGATATTATCTACAGTGGCATAGCTAGCCAAATAGCAGTGGTCATGCCCTCCCCTCAAATTTGAAAAAATATGGGTGTGGCCAAATTCTGCCACGCTCAATTTTTTGAGTTGATGAGTTCCTTTTCGAACCTTTAATTTTAAGGCTTATAACCTATAAAAAATGTTTTTGATGAACCTTTGGAATGAGCTTTTCTTATTATATAGGAATCATCTTGTTACACCATGAAATGACTTTTGTATCTTATAGCTGTGACACTGTTTTGGTTTGTTGGTAATTTTTACAGACAGAGTTCTGACAATTTCGAAACAAAAGACATCAAAAACATTAGTTTAGTATAGTATGTAAACTTAGCTGAAACAAAAAATTGTGTTATTCTCCTAATTTCTTGCAATTTGCAGGCTGAAATACATTTGTAAAGTTTAGAGATAAGCTAAAATTTGTAAATGAAACAATAAATCACATGAAACTGAATGGGAGCTTTTTGGTCATCTTTTCCACAAATAGTCTTATTATCAATCTATTGAAGGTATTTTAAAGCCTTCATGATTAACTAACAACCCCAATAGAACTGATAGATGAATAAAACAAATGGGCAAATGAATATGCAATGTAAATATTGATATGAAATATAGGAAGCTAAAATAATGGATAGGCCTAGTTGCAAATTTTGTTTTGCAAATTTAGACTTAATAGAAAAATACCTTGCAAAATAAGTTAGCTTAACAAAAACATTGATCTATACTTGTGGTAAATATCCACATGATTGGATTGTCCTTACTAAATCTAGCAAACAAGGGTTTTGAAAGAAATAATTTGATCTTGTAAATTTTCAAATACATTAAAAACAAAAATAAATAAATAAAACTGTTTAATTAACAAGGTCAGTAACATAGTTGACTTGTCTCTGGTAATTTTATAACAGCTATAAGTAGTAAAAAGGTACTTTCAACTATAAGTGAAGTCAGTAGAGCTTTGAGTTTGACTTTAATTGTGTGTAAAAACAGTGTTATTGCATGTGATAATAAACAAAAAATTGAAGAATTACTTTAAGCAAGTTTTGGCATTCCCTATCCATTAACTACAACCTTATTGTCCTAATCATAATATGGTAACAATGCTCTTAAAGGGCTTAACAGTTTCTGAATATGCTGCTAAATGTCTGGAAAGTTTAAGCTCTCAAATCTGTTGGCTTGGAAAATAACACTGCTATCTCCTCCATCCATCTCCAGTGAACAGCACCAAGATTTGGCATTCATTAAATCAAGAAGATTCTCTGCAAATGTTCAACTCGTAACAATTGATTACTGAAAAGGCTGAGAGTTTGGTTTGGTTGCATAAAATGATCCTGCTCGCCTGATTTTATGTCCAAAAATGGCCTTTCGTGCCTCTCACTTCTCCACATAGTGCAACACCATTAAGGCTGAAAAACCCTGTCATTGCCATAAAATGTTCTGGAGATTAGCATGAGTCGTGGCTGCTTGGCAATAAGCTTTTGCTTGCATTTTACAAACAGAGAATTACCTCCTAGCTCGTGGATCTAGGCATAGCAGCGCCGCCATCGATGCCTCGCATTCGCGTTCACGAAATAACACAGGGCGGTTCTGATGATTATAATGATGGTCATGCCCTCCCGAAATGGCATGACTAGCCTTTGTTCTCTCCTGCGTCACTCCTATTGTTAGGCATGACCAAACATAGGGAACCAGCGTTATGGGCATGACTAAAACACAGGGTTTGGTCCTGCTCATAGTTATGGGCATGACTAAATTGGAAACCCTCTGTTTTAGTCATGCCCGACAATAGAAGAGCGCCTTCGGAGGGCTCCATATTCTTGCGTGGAACCATAGGGTTTCAAAGGCGAATGGCCTGAGCTATTTCATCATGAGAATAGGACTTTATTCTTACGAAAATATAATTTTTTGAAAAATGTTATCTCTGGAAATAGATGGTCATGCCCGGCATGACAAGCATGACCGCTAGCTACGCCACTGATTATCTAGCAAGTATTGCTAAGGTTCCTATCATAATCCTTTGACTTTTCATTGTTGATGTTTGTTCTAGTCTTATTTAACATACAGAGAAAACGGAGCCAGTGAGAGAGACAGTGTGTTGCTGTATAACTTTGATCTGAACTGAACTAACTGACTGACATACAAATTAACATACATATATACAGAAATCTAATTTCTGACTAAGGATGAGTTAGGATGATGTAATGATGATGGAATGGAGAAGGAAAAATCTAGACTTGGGAAGAAATCAGCATGACATAGATGAGTGAACAAGCCATGAATGACGTAAGTGGATGTCATGGTGATGGCATGATCAAGAAAGGAGTAGGAATATGGCCTATCTTACAATACTAACTTCACTATAACCCCCTAATATTTGTCAATTATCTATGTAATTGGAAATTCATGATAGATGGTGACATAAGGGCACATCTAAAAACTATATATATTCAATTTATTTATGGGAAGATCGGTAGTTATGGCGCACCTGACATTTTTGGGATAATATTGCGCACCCTCACTTGAGGTGCGGGGCTATTGGCGCGATCAGGATCTTGTAAAAATCGTCCATATTCTGCAAACTGGGTTGAAAGTATAACATTCTTTACGTTCAACCCTGATTAAAATTAAATCTAACTATATAAACAAATTAAATGAAACTAGCTTAAATATACATTGAATAGGCTGTGAACAAAAAACATGCAAAATTGTTGAAGGTTGTAAAACTTTATAATAGAATAGGACGAAAATACGATGTGATTTCGCAAAAACGTTTTTAAAAAAACAGCTTAAGGCTTACCCATTTTCATCTAAGGGCACATTACTGTCTTCATTTGTCGACATTTTGGCAAATTTCTGGAAGCCTATCCGCAGGCTAATGTTGAGGGCGGAGCTTATGCGGGGCTTTGCTATAGAATGCAACGAACCGTTCAGCCGACCCTCTGCAACGGGAATAGTTCGCAATTTACAGCAGGAATATCGTACACAGGTTTGAGCTCTTTGGAAAATATTCCTATGTAAAATTTCTCCCAGTTGAAAACACGCTCTTGTAAGTCGGTGCTGAGTTCCTAGCATGCAGAAAGGCTCGTCAGACTTTGCTAGAAGCTGTTCCCGTTCCAAGTTGAGGTCTAAAGCACGGGGACACGATCGCTTAGGCCGTAACCCCGTTATCGAAACAGCTTCATTTAAAGCAACCTCGTGTACAAAGTGGCTATCTTGAAAACATGGAATGTGGAATGTGGGAATGCTGGAATTTTGGAAGTGCTGGAATGTTGGAGTGTGTTTTCTAAAACCTAAATAACAACATGCCTACGAGTTTAGTTGTAAAAAGTTTTAGGTCAATAGTATAAGATCTCATTTTAGAGGAAGGTGCTACCTTCCAAGACCTAAATTTCAAGGTTTATGCAAACTTTTGCCAATAAACAGACTTAGCAATTTCAAACAACTTTATGTTGGTAGTTTAGTTTGTTGGTTGAATCAGTCTTTTGTATCTACTGTATTTTGCATACCCTAACTTGAAATAAAGGAACGAAAAAAATCACAATGATTCTTCCACATTAAAATCGATAACCTTATGACGATACAAACAACTGTTTTTACAATTTTTTGATTTGCATCACATAAACTTAAAGATCTCTAAATGTGTGAAATCAGTTAAATGTATTAAAAACTGGCTGAGATATGGCAACTTGGGCACAGGTAGGCTCTTTCCCCGTAAAATAACTGCAAATTTTATCTCTGCTCTAAACTGTGGCTGGAATTATGGGGTTTTGGGGGGCTCGCCCCCCCCCCCCAATTAGCGATGTCGCCGGAAAATTCGGACTTTCGTCGGATAATAGACAACTGTTTAAGTTGTCGAAATTACTCCAAGAAGTCGTTCGGAAAGGGATTTTAAGCTAATCTAAGGGCGTAATTGCCAAATTTTCTGCTTGCTTCGCTCGCAGGTGATCCGCATTTTCCCATTTTACCCCAGGGACCTCTTAACCTCTCTGTGCCCTTTTTTCAAAATTTGAACATAGCATAGCTGATAAAATATTAGCCAGTGCTAAAAAAATCAATCAAACTATATATGACCAAAATCAAAACTGCTTGTGAATTATATATTTAATTTCAATTCCGTAAAGATTAGCCGAAATTTCCCTCGGATTCTTCCGAATAAAAGTTATTTTCAAACATATTTTCCACTGACGAAAACAAGATAAAATGCATAAAATTAACGTAAGACTTGTCAAAAGTGTGATCGGTCGACCTCTTGTATCATCAATTGCCTTAGATGATATATCGATCTTGATTTTAAAGGTCATAAATGAATTGTTCTCTTGCTACTTTTAGGGTCCCATCAAATAAACATCTATTTTGATCCAAATGTGCAGTTTCTTTAAAATTAGGCATGATTCAAGATGTTATCTTGTCGGAAAATCGTAGGCCTGCCCCCCCCCCCCAAATGAAAGCCTGAATTTCAGCCACTGCCTCTAAATTTGATTAACCATGCTAAAAAAGCAGAAAACTGCAGTTAACTTTCAATTTAAAGGCACTGCGTCCCGTCAGTCAACGGTTGTTTATAATCGTGAAAAGATTGCGAATTTTGTAGTGCCTTCATTATTTTTAAACATACCTATCTAACTGACATTTTAGAGATAATTCGTGATGTTCTAATAAAAGAATATGGTACAATATCAAAAGTTCTAAAATTAAATTTTATGGCGTCACACTTCAAAACGCTATTATCGCTACATGCCAATCCTGGATGCTTCAAAAGTTTCCGAGGGGTGAATCCAGAGCAAATTTGAAGGAGGGGCAATTGATATTGGGGGCACTGAAAAATGTTCAAGAATTGATGACGACAGTACGCTGTAAACAACAATTTAAGACTCTTTCACCTGATTTTCATTCTTCAAAAGGGGCGCACAATTTCCAAAAGAGGGGCACCAAACCTACTTCAACTCTTTGAGGGAGGGGCAACTGCCCCTAGTTGCCCCCATTAAATCCGCTACTGGAAGTTTCGAAACTAGACAAAAGAAAATAACTTAATCACGCTTGTGTATTTAAGGGAACACAATGAGCAATTTCTTGAGTTAGTGGCAAGCAAAAATAACGGATAAAAGTCATTTATTTTTTTAAGTCTAGCAATGGGTAAATCTGAAGTATTTTTCGTCCATTTTAGAAAGAATTTTAAGCAAATAGAAGGTCAATTTCGAGAAATCGGTCGTTTAAAAGTGGAGGCATTGATCATATGATCATATCAGTTCACGGTTTTGCATGTTAGCCTGTGGCTATGGAAAAAACTCGTCTGTTTCTCCTAATTGGCAGTCAGCATGGGCTCCTACAATGGCTGAAAAGTGGGGGCCCAAGGGAAAATTTAACAGCCATAGCAAAAAATTTTGAAAAAGCTCTATTGCCACCAGGGCCGCCTTCGTCGGACGCTCTGGTCAGAACTTGTTGAAATTATGTGTATCAGAAACATGTGCCCGAGCCGATAAACAGGATCTCTCTGCTTTTGAAAGAAATAACCTAAATAAATACGGTATTTATTGGGGGTGAATTTGACTTGTTAAGTCAGTGCTGCACGGCCTGACCAACGCTGTAATAAAGCTGTGGTTTATTTTGGGGGCTTAGCAAGAAATTAACAGATACTTAAGAACATTTTGTACATTATATGCAATTCCATAAGAAGACAAGCCTTAAAATTGGCGAAAAGATAAGAACATGAATGAATCTGTTAATAGGTTTTTTCTTCCTTTCTTTCACAATTTCTTTGTTATGTTGTCAGATGTTCATCAATATAATACAAGGCTAATACAAGGTTTGTGAGAATGGTATCTTCTGAGACAGAAAAGTACCTTGTATCACGGTTCAAGGTCTGTCAGATATTCTGGTGCAAAATCTTGGAACAGCATTCCATTTCACACTAAACGATCCCCCTCTGTGATGATTTTCCATCGTCAAAAAAAATTACAGTTTTTCTCTACTAAACATTAGTAATATCTACCAAATATTAATTATCAGTCTATCAGCAAAACCAGCTCTTTGGATTATTTAACCTCTGATATTTGATCCAACAAATAATCTGAATAACACTATATGATCTTTTTATAGGGGGTGCTCTCTACTCGATTAGTTTATCTAATGAAAGAACCCCTTATTCCCCTCTATACAAATTTCTACCAATTTACTCTAATTATCGAAAGTAATTTTCAGTCTTTCATCTTTTGTAATCTTGTTACCTCTAACGTCTTTGTTATCTATTGTTGTTAAATGATTTTCGTAAAAAGTGGAATTTTAAAATGAAATGAAACTGAAACATATTAAGAAAAACCCAGGGCTGATAATTGGTGAACATGCATGTTCTCACTTTTGATTTGACCTGTAAAAATTCCCAAAAGTTATTCTTAGGCAATCTAAAAAACTGCACCTCAGAGTGGAGGCCACATTTTTTTACTGCGAGGGAGTCAAGCCCCTAGTGTTCAAATTGCACTCATAGTAAAAAACCTAGAACATCGTATAAACATGTTGCCATTCCCTCATAGTACTTCTATTTTAAATAGACGTCAAAATTTTATCATTGGTTCATAAAATTAACAATGACCCCGATTAGGGCAGGGCCGAGTCGAGAGCCAGCTCAAGCCCAGGAGTGATTCACAAAACTATTCTGTGACAACGACCTTCAGTCTCTTGCAGAATCAGGGAATGCCCTCTTTAGGTACAATTGTTGAAAAGATTCTGAAGGATTCTTAACAAATTTCAATCGTATTAATGGATCATGGACCCGGTTTTTCTGTGACAATTTTACAGGTATTGACTTCATACAAGTAGCTGAAAAAATACTTTTTCTGCGTTGTAAATAGATTTTTTAGCAATCTGAGAGTAACAAGGCATAACACGGTCCCGGCCATAAAAATCCCAAAAGTGCTTAAAACTTTACAAAATCACCTTGCTCTTGTTTTTTCAGCATGTCTAGCCCCCCAAAAAACTATTTAGCCCCCTCGATCGGTATTATGCTCCGTAATACGGGTGCATGCCTATCGTTTTAGAACATTTTCACCTAAAAATCCGACGAACTTGAAAAAAACTTCTTATTTTGCGGTATTCGATCTAAAACTCTAAAAGACAGAATGATTTTACTATAACCATATGGGACTTCCATACCTTGATTTGAGAAACAATTTGAAGCTTGGTATTTATGCATTGCAAGCTATGTGCTACCCAGTGGCAAAAACAATTACTTTTGTGATCATCAAAGAAATAAAAAACAGCTATTGGTATTCTTGTGTAAACACAAAATCTACTACGATCATATAAATGACGCTAAGACCATTCAGACAAGGATTCTTCAAAGATCGAGCTGAGGAGTATATGACGTAATAATTTAGCCCAATGCAAATAAGAAGCTTGATATTAGTAAGATTATCTTTCTTGATGAATCCGCAAAGGTGGTTCTCACAAGCACCCCCCACATCACCCCCCACATCGCCCCCCACATCGCCCCCCAAATCCCGAGTTGCAAATTGCAGACTGTATTCAAGCGGCAAAAAAGGAGATGCACATTCCCTGCTGGACCCGGAAGAGCTCGCCGGTGAATGGCCGCAGTTTTGCCACCGATTCAAATATTCAAATATGAAATGTCCACTACAAATTAATCTTAATTAGTTCTTTATGCCAAACTTGTCCCTTATTGAAAACCAGCTTGTACTTGTTGGAAGGCTTAAGGCACTGTGTCCCGTCAGTCAACCGTTCAGAGTTAACAACAGGCTTTGCAGCGCATTTATGATTGAGAAAACATTTAGCCTTACGTTGCTGATTGGGTACATAACAATAGGACTATTGTATAGTTCAACCAATGAGAAATTTAAATGACCAGCAAAATGTATCGGGACAAAGTACACAGTAATATGTAAAGACAAAGACTGGAATAGAAAAAGTTACTTTTGATTATAATCTTACCTGTTAGTCAACAATGTCTTGCTAGCACTACGTTTTAGACTATGATCTAAAGATAAAGAGTTGAGAACAATTATTATGGCAATGTCAATTATATATATATTTTTACATCTGGGGAAAGGAAGGCCCGTATTGACCATGCTGATACTGTCCGGGTCCCATGTTCATTGGTGGTCCACCTTGCTGCATCATGTTCATACCTGCTTGCATCATCGGATTGTTTTGGTTTGGGTAGGCTGGGGGTTGCATACCCTGTGACATCATACCCATTTGTTGATTCTGAAAGCCACTGGCATATGAATATTGCGCTGAGGTCCCTGGTGCAACAGACAAACCACCCGACATTGGGCCTGGGACCATCTGATTAGGATTAGGATACCCCTGGGATTGCATTGGGGGTCTCCGCTGTTGAGGCAGCCGCTGTGGCCCTCCCATATTTGGGACGCCAGGTGGGAACTGCTGCATTTGCACAGGGTTAGAAGAAGGCGGTTTTGCTTCCTGTGGCATCAAGTTAGGTGGTTGGTCTGTGACTCCCCCGCCACTTTGGAACATGGGGTTCGTTTGCGATATTGCAGGGTTAGGCATCATTGATTCCTGCGATTTTGAAAGCTGTTGTTGTTGAGCCTGCTGTTGTTGTTGGTGATGCTGGAGCTGTTGCTGTTGTTGCGACTGAGCCTGTTGTTGTGATTGTGGTTGTGATGTCACGGGTTCTGAAAAGGAACAACATGATTCAATATGTCTCCTTCACAAAAACAATGACTTGTATCGAATAATGATTCAAAACAATAAGACCGACACTTTGATTTTTTGGGAATTTTTGCTTGACAAAAGAAATAGATCTGTCTGCTATTTTAATTCAAGTATCAAAAAGTCTCTCTTGCAAAATACATAGCAGGTTCTCGGACACAACATCATATATTTCATTTTTTACCAAATTATGAATAAAATCCAGCTCTCTCTACCTGAAACTTTATCAGGAGCTGAAAACGGAGAACTGAGTGACGTAGGCGTGCTCTTGGAGGATGCTACAGATGCCACGGGCAACGAGTCTCTTGATTCCTCCTTCTCAGTAGCTGGTTTAAGTCCTACGGGTTCCGAGGCAGGCTTTTGGGTCTGCAAGGCTGTTGAGTCCCACGTAGAAGACGTCGCAGCCGGGGCGTTCGTGAGGACAGCAGCTGGTGCTTGGGGGTGGCTTACTGACTTTTCTGCGTTTTTTGCCGATGTTTCTGACATTTGAATTTGTTCCATGAAGAACTGTTGTCTTTCGGCGAGCAATTGCTGCCTCTGCTGTTCAAGCTAAGAACAAGTAACAAAATTACGTACGGGATTGTGTGCCACAACATGGTTTGGAAACAGAAAATGCAAAGCGGAACAACTGACCCCCGCCCCCACCCCTTCACTTGTTGGGAGAATACTACAAGACCAGGAAATGAAGTACTTAAGGCCGCGGGAGAAATAAATGCAAAGAAAGTACTTACCAGCTCTCGTTCTCTTTCCATTATCGTTTCAAGTTCTTCAAAATGGCGCAGTTTAATTTCTAGCTTTTTCATTTGTGTCTCGACCAGCAGTGCAACCAAACTCTTGATTTTGCGTTCCTCTACTTGTGCAAGGTGCTTAATAATGGAGATATAATATTGTATAAAACAATATGCATAATGAACAGGAGGGAAATGAACAAAACATGAAATAAAGAGATGAGTTTTAAATACAATAAAAGAATCTGATATGATTGAAAAAGACACACCATTGCAGATGAATGACACACCAAGAAGTATACAAGTATAAAACATATCAAATTGTGGATTGATAGCTGCTACATGTAGTAGATGTAAGGTTCGACTTGCTTATAGCCAGCAGTTGCACGTGCGAGGAAGATCGTGAATACTCAAACGATCGTCTCTATATACTTTCAAAAAAGCTGTTAACAGAACGGCAAAATAAAGCGAAACTCAGAATTAAAAATCTCTTGGATGATGGAAATCTAAGCTGCACTGAAATACGTTACCTGGCTAGCATTTGTATTGTGGAAATATAGGGTGAGTTTCTTTGTGAAAAGCAACTTTACAAACCTTCGCCTTTACAGCGGCCGAACTCAGCGCAACCGAAGCTGCTGTCTTGATGTTTCCATCTTTCAGTTCATCTCTCTTCTGTAACAATTCTTCCGACCTTTTCGCTAGCTCTGGAGATATTTCTTTAGGTTTTTTCTCTTCTTTTTCTTTCTCGTCTTCATTTGGCATCTCTTCATCCTTATCCTCATTTTTAACGGCACTTTCTTCTGGATGGTCAACCCCATTTGTCACAGTCTCTCCGCCCTCTTTGCTGGAATCACTTGTAGTTTTTGAGTCTTCATCTAAGGGAAGTGAAAATACTTCCAGGTCAAAACTGGCAGTCAAGAAGTAGTACTTCTGTCAGAAACATGATTTTATTTTAACCGGGACTATAAACTCCATGATAGATCTCGGACTGTAATCCAGAACTTTAGGCTTCTATGTTGTTGCTATTGTTATGCAAATAAGTAGGGACCGCATGAGGAGTTGAGTTTAGTTTTTGTAGATTGCGAGAAGAGAGAAAGAAAAAGCCTTTGGAGAGGTTTGACGATTTAACGATCATTGGCCGTGACATAACAATTTGTAATAATCTGCTCAGTATGACTTTCGAATAGCAAGGAAATGTGAGCAAGTCATTGTAATAAGACTTTATTTCAAACCAAAGACTTCAAATTATTTTTGCTGGCTACATTATTCAGACTAAACATGTTCTCAGTTGTTCAATTTTTTTCCTCTTTCTTTAATAGTTTGCGAAACGCCTGCAGTATACGTTAGTTAGATTAAAGGTAATTTTTGCAAACTTTTTTTAAAAAAAACAAAGTTGTCTAAAATTAGGAATCGGTATCAAACCTTAGTCTGATACATTCTTTTGCCAAAACTATTGATTTCTCAAATGACTAATGGCAAACGATTATCAGATAAAGTTGATAACGAATCAGGTAAAGAATGATTAACCTTTCTTCTTTTTGCTGTCTTCTGACGTAGTTTCAGCTGTTTCTGGTGCATTTTCACCATTTTCAATGGGCTTCTTTCCTTTCGTGAGGTGTGCGTCGATCAAGCTACTTGGAATCTCTTCTTTTAGGCGACTGAACTCTTCTGCAAAGAAAGAATGAAATGACGGCTCCCTTTATTTTATTACAAACAAAACAAAACGACAAGTGTTTCTCAATACAGGCTTTTTCATTACAATATGTGTTAATACTAGCAAGTCCTCCTGTGCGAAGAAACTGCATATAACAAAGATAACATGTTAAAGGCGCTATGTCCTGACGTAGTTCGATGACCATTTAAATTCACATTGGTTGGACTATACAAAAGACTTATTCTGAATGCTTTTTCAATCATAAACACCAAACAGAGCTTGTTGTTTACTCTGAGCGGTTGACTGACGCGAAATAGTGTCTTTAACATTGTCTGAACTATAAATTTTTCAAATATTACATTGCTGTACCTTACAGGGAAACGTCAATGAAGTTGTTTAAATGAAAAAAACGTAGCTACGATCTACTAAATGTATAAAAAATTAGAATTGATCCGCAGCTTCCACATAAAAACGAGCAGAGACAAAACCAAGGTATCATAAATAAATAACAGAACCACACTTACCAATAGCAGCCTTCGCAGCGGCACTAGCAACCCTTGGGTCGACGACAGAGGCAAGAAATGCCACTGTTGACATGATAGGATTGCCAGCTTGACTAAACGGAATTGGCTGATACGATAACGGGCCTACGCAAGCGAAAAAGACAAAATCGTCAACTTATTGTCCCAAACATACGAAGCAAAAAAGGGCGATTTAAATTGAATACTAAATTGTTAAAAAGAACGTCTAACGCTTGTTTGCTCTTATTTTAATTACAGAATATCGAGAAGAGCAGCGGATATAACAGGTGTGCGAATAAATATAACATGTAACAAACAGTGTTTTTCGCCTTTCGAATAGTTTAGGAAACCATAATTTCTCAAGCTGATAAAAGTGCAGTTAAGAAGTAGCTCTTCAACAGAAAATTCCACCAGATACAAACTGAGTGTCTATAAACACTTTACCAAGGAAACTGGAGCCCTCTTCGACGTATGGATCTTCAATGGGAAGACGTAAAAAGTGCAAGATGCATTCGTCTTGCGTTCGGCTCCCAACGTGCTCTGCTACTTTGTTCCAGTCGTCTTTGTACAACTCGAGGCCCTGCAATCGTACAACTTGCTTAAACAACAGATAAAATATTTGCTAACAAATAAAACGACAACATCAGCTTAGTTGCAATGTGTTCTACCAATACACGAGTTTTTTGTAAATAGTTGCTGGCGTGTTGGAAAAAGCAATCCCTGATGGATGTTATCACTAGGAAGGTTCGATGAAATCATTGCAGCAGCCATTCAGAAAAAAACACATTCTTGAAACAGAAAATATCAGGTATATCCAATATTAAAGAAACTAATTAGGTTTATGTTGACAATAAAACTTAGCTCAACATTAACTTGGCTTTTTAGCGATCATTGTTATAAAATAAAGCTTTACCTCTAAAAGCAACAGCGTTTCTTGGTCCATCCATTCTTTGTAAGCGGCTGATTTGCTCTACGATATAAAAGATATTAGATGAATCACAAGTTCCATTTTAACTACATAAATGGATTCTTCTTATAGCTTTTTTATTTTTAGATGAAAGAATTACTCTGTATAAACAATATTATTTTTATCAAAAATTGAGAAGTTGACATATTAGTTATAAAGTCAACATTCGCATCAATTTTCTATGAACTTTTCTTTTTCAATTGTCTCTTTCTGCTTATCGAAGGAAATACACTTTTTGAGTCTGGAATTTTCATAGACTGACATTATTAGATGTCAACAGGTAGCTTGTGAGTAGATGAAAGTTGAAGCACATCAAGTACTCGGACGTCTACTACATGCGACCGACATTCGGTAATGAAACATTATAAAATAGAAAAATATATTTATACAGATAAACATACTTTAAGATTTTTCTTGGTCAAGTAAACATCAGTTCTCAGGCTAGAATGAAAAACCATCAAAAATATGAATAATTATTGTTAATTCAATGCAAGCCCATCTAGACACAAGAAGGCCTCAGCTTTCCAGACTGGCAGTACCTAACAAACAGTAGTATCTATTTCTATTCGGTAATTTCGGTTTATATATGCATCTCCTTCCTCCTTTTACAAACTAATATGAATATTTCTATGAACCATCCTTTTAAAAAGTCCTAAACCATCTGCCCCTTTTTCTCTGGGTTGGCAAGAAAGTACTTATTGAGTTCTTCAATTTCCACATGCATAATCATTCACATATTAGAAGTCAAACAAAATTGAGAGATGAAAAAGTCTTGTTTTAGACCGGCAAAGTCAAATTTCCAATGCAAATCATATCTTATGTCTTACCGCCTTGATGCAGAATAATTGCATGGGGACATAGAAAGCCTTTAGAAACTGTCTTACGGTATGGATGTTTCTGCCTTTTAGGTTATGTCAAACCCACGCCCTTGCTTAATGCAGGCAATTCCAATAGTCCTGTACCTTCCAAAGAGGAGACTCACCCGAAGTTGTTCCCATCTTGTACTTTAGTGCCATTACTGTCTTTATCAGCTAAGTTTATTAATTGCTGAGCAGCCGAAATCTTAAAAAAGTGGAGAAAGATAACATGAAGATCACCGTCAACCGTCCTTCGCTTTTTTGGCAAGTATATCAGTAATGTCAAAAAAGGATGTGAAAAAACAAAGAAAGTTTCTATATGACCATGGAGTTCAAAAACACTTGAAAGTTTAAAGATACTATCAAAGGAGCAACGTTTGAATAGTTGGGATCGAGCCATGAATAAAGAGAAACATCTCAAGGCTAGGGTAGTGACTAAAAGGGATCCACAAATGTCTCTATCAGGAAGGAACATTACAAGGAAAGGGGCACATCAACTGTTATTTTACATCAAGTGCCATGTTGCCAAAAAATGTCAGATTTACAAATATATCACGATAACTAAAATATACTTTATATGCGTGCTAAATTTTAACTTCCTTTTAAACCTTTAAGAAATTTTTAAAATATTTATGTTGAGGGTTTTCATATCATTTTTAAGGCTTCATGAAAATTTGCCCCTTAGATGTGTCGTTCTAAGATTCCGTTTGGAAGGGAGAAACATGCATTACTTGGCGCCAGTTCTGGTACCAAGTGGAATCAGTTTCCATAGTGTAAACAGGATCAAACCTACAGCCCTGTTAAACAAATACCAGTCTTGTGCAATCACTGTCAACTCACAGGAGGCTTTGATCCACTCAAAGGCTGTAGACCGGATGGCGTGTCGCATAGGACATGAAAATGAGAAGTCGGAGGAGGTCCCATTGGCAGCGGCCTGTTGTCTGCATCTACTTGATAATTTATAAGGCCCCATTGCTCCAAGAATGCATGCACCCTGTTCAATAAAGGGAAAGCAAGGTATGATCAGGATTACTGTTTTTTGAAGGCAATCATTATATCTTCAATATCGTCTCCTTTCTATGACGACTGCATGAAAGACATACAGCACAAAAAGGTTTTAAAATAATTTGCTTGCCAATATGCTCACTCATTACTGAATGCGACACTGCAATTTGAATAATCTGGAGATATTTAAAAAACAAATGCAAAACTTGTAGCAATAGCCGTTTACAATGATAACGATAATAAACAGCTTTAGAAAGACGGGACATACCGCCAGTCTCGTGAGCCTAATTAGCTAGTTATATAACAAAGCACGAACAAAGGAATGCAAACAATTGCAGCTTCCTAAATGTATTTTTCTGGAAGATTATCGGTAAAACCAAACAATCATTTCGTACAGCAAAAAACAGAAATGTGTAAATGTAGTGTATTGTGTGAAAAACAGGAGACAAATGGAATATTTACCTAACAATGGCACAAACATCACCGGCAAGGTTCCTCCTTGCAGCTGTCGCCGTAAAGTATTCGGTTGGGTTCAGGCGATAGGTATCAATCATAAAATTTCTCGATGCGAAATATCTACGGGGAAATGCATGCAATTCAGCTTTGAAATTTGTATGATTAAACTAGATGGCATAAAATAGAATTAGGCTCATAATTTCAAAATTGTTAATGAGTTATAAAGTCATTAAAATAGTCAAAACACGGCGATGAGGTCAATTATCTACTTCATGTTATTTCTCTATAAGCAAACAATAAATGTCCAACGAAGGGTTAAATTCTAACAATTTCTTTATGAAATCCATCACATTAAACTTAAAAGCAAATAATTTGCAAATGGACTGCATAAAATTACTTGTAACAAAATAGCTGCTTACTCTATAGCAAGATTGAAAGAAATTAAAATTATCTTTGTAAGGAGATATCTTACATTTCAGGAGTCTTCGATTTGTTTTTTCCATTGAAAAACTCAGGTAATGCTCTCCGCTCAATTGCGTGTATACTATAAAAAAGAAGTATAAAAAATGTTTCTTTTACTTGAGAGAAATGTTGGTGAACTTGAACATTTATTAATCTGATATGCAACAGGAAAAACGTGAATGAAAAAAGAAATTGAATTAACAAAAAGAGAACAAATAAATCCGAATATTTCAAAAAAATATCATGGCTTCGGCCCATATCTGTGGAGCAAATTAAAGAGAGCCATCAAGGAGGTGCCAACAATCAACCAATTCAAAAGAAGTATACGAAGAATGGACATAGAAACTCTTTTAGACTGTAGTCATTTTCATTTCTTGGTTTTGCACTTCAATTTGACATGCCAGGTATTTTGAGTTGTTGCAAAACACAAGTGGAGTTAGTACAATATCTTTACAAGATATGTAACTAATTTTTGTGCGAGAAATAGGTACTGCTATTGAAAATGACAACTGCCACTCATTTCCTGATATGAGTGGATTGGTGATGACGTCACGAAAAAATCTGATTTTAGAAATTCTTAATTTTGACAATACAATCTGAATAATAACCTTGAAATACCTATAACTATATAAAAAAATAACATTTCAAAAATTATTGTCCAAATTGAAAAAACTAAAAATATACATTATCATGAAGTCACTAGTTTACCACCGCGGTGAAATAGTAAAACTTGGCGATGAAATAGCATGACGTCAAATGTACCTGCTGTAATCGAACCAGGCAGCATAACTTGGAATGATAATGTGTCTTGTTTGTTCAGGCAGGTTGTCGTCATGTGGCACCTCAGGCTCTCTGTTTACAGTCTCGTTCAGCTTTTTGCTGTCCTTGCCATCCTGTGACGGGGCAGGTGACGCAGCAGCCATCTTAAAACGACCAGAATAATAATGATATCATAAAGGTAGTAAGTAGTATTACATGTGGACAGTTTCGACCGTAGACAGAGTGATTCATTTCAAAACATAGTGATGACCACTATGATCACGAAAACCTTTAAATTCAGAAAGGTTAGAAGTCGCTAAATGAATTAAAGAGTCTACATTAAAACGTTTTTCTGGTCCAGTAAAGTTAAGATCCCTTTGGTTACTCGTACTTAATGGACCAGTAGAGTTAAGTCCCTGTTCTTGGTTGCTCTCAGCCTAAACATGGAATACTAAAGCTTCATTCTTAATAACATGTTTAAAATTAAAGTAAACTCGAGGCATTTCATGTGTAAATCAGCTTGTAAAAATTTCAAAGACAAGGGTATCACCTCCTGATCTTGGTCTTTGGTGCCTAGAAGAGAAATTGGAAAAATTCTCAAGAAATTCAATACAATCTAAGACAATAAACAAATGCTTCCCAGACATCTAAGCCTGCTTCATGGATAGCAAAATACAGATTTGCTACTTCAGTGAGACTTTTTGTTAAGCTCTATTTTAACTCGAAGCAAGACACTGTCACAACGCAGCCTCATTGAGCCTATTTAAAAAGTTTTAACTATACACTACGAGAAATCATAATCATTAATAACACTAGAAGACACGCGAATGTTCGACAGCGAACGTCAATCGTCAATCCAGGGAGAAAAAGCACTCACTTAAAATGACAGACTGGATTGCGTTGTATGCAAAAGATTTTAACAAAGCAGGAAATAACAAACCTAAAGTTAATATTTTCCTAAGTCAACTTCTATTTAACGTTTTCTTTATTCAGACATTGCTTACAAATTCATCGACGCTTATTTACGAGGTCCAAAAAGATGAAACATCAAACCTTTACTCGGTGTATTACTTGAAATGTCTTCCAGAGTATTTTGCTTGTTGATGTTTGCCACTGAAATGAATAAAAAAATCTTATCACTGCAACTTATCTTAAAAAATCACACCATTAATATACTGGATCCCCTAGCATTATCATAATATGTCTTAATAGCGTACATAAGCCAAAATATACCTATACGAAATAAATGGCCCATTGAAGAATGAATTGACTTAAGTTTAACTAACTTTAATTGGATTAATAAACTTCATAAGCGCAAAATGATATTTTCACTATTCAAAGCATATCGAACTTTGAAATACAAAATGGCTTTTTACTTCTCGAGGTTTAAAAAACAAATTCCTATTGCTTTGAGTTTAGCGAAAATTTTTCTCTCAACATGATCAATGAAATTAGAAACAGGCATTTGAAAAGGGATATTGCTGGTTAATACTATTTTGTTTAACAACAAGAAGAAATCAACCTTAAATTTTAATACAACAGGAAAGTGTTAGTAATTGTCACAAAAAGTCATTTAGATTATAAATTTGTAAAGAATTAGCGTACCCAGGCCACTATCCATTTCTTCTTTCGTCACCTAAATGGCAAGAGATTGGGGCGTAACAGATCAAATCAAGGCAAGAGATAGGGGCGTAACAGATCAAATCAAGGCAAAAGATTGGGGCGTAACCGATCAAATCAAGGCAAGAGATTGGGGTGTAACAGATCAAATCAAGGCAAGAGATTGGGGCGTAACAGATCAAATCAAGGCAAGAGATTGGGGCGATCGGGGCGTAACATATCAAATCAAGGCAAAAGATTGGGGCGTAACAGATCAAATCAAGGCAAAAGATTGGGGCGTAACAGATCAAGTCAAGGCAAAAGATTGGGGCGTAACAGATCAAATCAAGGCAAGAGATTGGGGCGTAACATATCAAATCAAGGCAAAAGATTGGGGCGTAACAGATCAAATCAAGGCAAAAGATTGGGGCGTAACAGATCAAATCAAGGCAAGAGATTGGGGCGTAGCAGATCAAATCAAGGCAAGAGATTGGGGCGTAACAGATCAAATCAAGGCAAGAGATTGGGGCGTAACAGATCAAATCAAGGCAAGAGATCGGGGCGTAACATATCAAATCAAGGCAAAAGATTGGGGCGTAACATATCAAATCAAGGCAAAAGATTGGGGCGTAACATATCAAATCAAGGCAAAAGATTGGGGCGTAACAGATCAAATCAAGGCAAGAGATCGGGGCGTAACAGATCAAATCAATGGCAAGAGATTGGGGCGTAACAGATCAAATCAAGGCAAGAGATAGGGGCGTAACAGATCAAATCAAGGCAAAAGATTGGGGCGTAACCGATCAAATCAAGGCAAGAGATTGGGGTGTAACAGATCAAATCAAGGCAAGAGATTGGGGCGTAACAGATCAAATCAAGGCAAGAGATTGGGGCGTAACAGATCAAATCAAGGCAAGAGATTGGGGCGTAACAGATCAAATCAAGGCAAGAGATTGGGGCGTAACAGATCAAATCAAGGCAAGAGATTGGGGCGTAACAGATCAAACCAAGGCACGAGATTGGGGCGTAACAGATCAAATGAACTATACATCAATGGAGATTATATTTCGACAAAACGAATTGGTTCACTGCTAAAAATACAAATGCTTTTCAGTTTTTCCAAACAACAATTATAGTAAATACTAGGACCTTTTTAACATACAAACTGGGGGCAACTGCCCCTCCAGCCCTAGTGACATTCCATTGTTTTAAACAATAGGCTATTGTCCTCTTCTCTATATAAACAAAGGCATGCCCCGCAGCTAATTTCCCTTAGAATAGACTATAGTAGGTATATTAACTCAAAGAGGATTGTGAAAACAATATTTTGGGACACTCACATTTGGGACAGCTTCGGGTTCCGGTAGTTCATTTGTGGCATCATCACTGAAAGAGAGACAGACATTTATGAAATCAGCGACAAAAACCAAAGCAAAGTTCGTATTAACAAATGATCCGTTATGAATTCGAAAATAAAATACTTTAATTTTTCAGCGACGAATCAACCTTAATCAATCTGGAAGCTTTTTACAAAATTCGATAAAAGAAAGGTGTATACATAATATAAGATATAAAAATTGAATACTTGAAAAACATATCAAGCATATAGTGGGGCGATTCAAGCTTTCTGAAAACTTCTGAAAATAGAAAGGCTTTGGATGTAGAAAAATATTACTAAAATTTCAGTTGATGATCATTTCAGGAAAAGGACCATCCCGTCAAAAATAGGAAACTTGAAACGTCGAAAATAGAAAAACCGGATTCTAAAGCAAAAGAGCAGCATGAGCATTTATTATTGGCCTCAAACATAAAGAAAAACAATAGCTTACTGATCCTCATCTCTTTCAGGTTTTTCATCGTCTTTCTTCTTTGGGCCTTTCTTTTTCCTTTTTCCTTGCTCCGGTGATGGAGAAGGCGAAGCTTTGCGTTTTCGAAGTTCCTTCTTCTTTTCTAAAATAAATATTAAGAGATTCGGGTGAAAGAAGTAACGCCAACAATACTGGCAAGTCTCGATCAAGCAGAAACAGACCTTTCATTCAGAAATAACTTCAATCTATCAAAAACGTAAACTATTTGACAAAATCCAACCTTATTTAAAAGGAAAAAACAGTATAAAGTTTTCTCCCGAGCAATCCTCTAATTTCTTATTACAAAAGGCTGATATTATTCTCTAAAAAGTTTGAGTTATTTTTGGATGAAATTTAAACCTAAATCTTATGCTATCATTGCCAACGAATTTTGTACGATCTCAGCTGACTTTCTCATTAAGGTGACTGTAACTGTGACACAATTAATCATAAAGATAGAGATAAAACCCCAGTCATAAGGATAACGCTGAAAATAAGCCAGAAAAGTTTATTTCTAGTTTCAAGCTTCAACCACAAACTCACGGCAACTATAACCTGTAGTTTAACCAACTCAAGAAAATAAAATATTTTTCATAACTAACGATTATCTTACGGTTATAATTACATAAGTGAAGTAAAACAATGAAGAAACCAAGTAGTACGAAGGAACTCGTAAGTCAATAAGTAACATTACATTAGCATATAATTATCATATCATTATCATTTCATTATCATATCATTAGCATATCATTATCAGGTCATTATCATTTCATTGAATATAACATAATGAAACTCTGCTTACCATCATTGTTGACCTGCAAAATATAGGAAAAAACAACAGTTTATAAAACAAGATTCATTCTTTTTACACCTTTCAACTTTAAATGAGAAGTAAACTATACAACAACAACTTCTTACGAGCTTTAGGCCTTACACCAATACAAATGACTATTTTTCTTTTCTCATTAATAGAGACAAATACCGGAAGACTCTCCATGAGACTATGCTTAATATAAATATTACATCTTAAGAAAAGAGTATCTAATAAGCAATGTGCTTAAGTTAAGCTGTTAAACTAACACGTAAATTCACAAAAGTTTCGACTTAAACAAAGGCAAGCTACAACTGATAAAAGATCATAAAAACAAAAGGGGTATATGTATTTGTATTTGTTTCTACCTAGCATGCGAAGGTAGTTTTTAGGACACTGAGAATCTTATGCTTATTAAGCAGTGTCCTGGTCATTCCTCTCGATGTGACCACACCTCGTGATTCCTATGCTGGAATTACAGAGAGCTGGGACTCTCCTCACTCTGGGTGAAAGTTTGGTCATGCCAGGGACTCGAAAACAGGCCCTTACAAGTCTGTTGTAAGAGGGTCTGTAGTCAGCACCTCTTACAACTGAGCCACCCTCGCACCTAAGGGACCAAATGGCAAAGAACCTGGCTAATGCATTTTTTTGCCTGGCTAAGTCAATATAATCTTTACTAATACCTTTGCCTTAATCTGCAAGTCCTTAATTTCTAATTCTGGCTAAACTGCTCTTACCTCTTCCGCGTTCGGTTTTCCTTTCAAGCATTTTCGGCGCGTTTTTCCTGAAACACGACAAATAAAGCACTGTGACAATAACAAAAATTGAAATTCTACAATTTTTAAGGCTGGGTGGTAGCTAAAAAGCCAACATAGCATGGTTCTGCTGTTTGCATTTTAAGAACATTTTAATAGATGGGGTACGAAAAAATTATTGATCCAGGGCACCTAGCCACTGGTTCATGAGCAAATAAATATTCATATTTTCAAAAAAGTATGTGGCTAGGTATGACGACGCTATTGCAATAAACACATAAACATACAAAAACAAGTTTATTCAGTCGTTTAAGATCTTTGAGCTGGCAGAACTTGGCCCCGAAATGAACAGACGAAATGGCAGATTTGGTTGATTACAAAAATCGAAGGTATGGCTAGAATCCTTGAAACACCTAAACAAAATATTCACAAGACATAGATACATTGAGATTCTTTTTTCCTTTTTGTTAGTTCTTAGTTTCCAAAATGCTAAGCAGGGCCAAGTTCCTCTCGACGCGTTCACATCTCTTCTCTCCTACACCATGAGCTATAAGTAGCTAGCGATTTTCTTTCCTCTAAGCTTCATGAAACGAATCTAGCATGCTTCTCAAATTTCAAGATTAAGGCTCTTTATCTTGGGGGATGGATTGCAATTAAATAAAAACACAGCAGAAATCTAGACCAGACCCAAGTAGACCTACTTGCACAGCATATTACATTATGATAAAAATACTCGCGATATGTCGCCTTATGGAAGATCTGAACCAACCACTAATAAAAACTTATAAAAAGGATTTTCAGCTTCATGCCGAGGAGAGAATTAGGAGCATAATTTCATTTTCATGCCAAGGCTGATTATCATTGCTTGTTAACTTCTTATTTGACAACGTAGATCATTTTCGCTTTACTATCAACCAACTTCCCACTGCTTTAGATTGCAAACACCTCTTAAAAGAAGTTGATAATAAAGAAAAGGTCCACACAAAAATTGACCATAAGTGAATCAGCGGCAGATTACATAGTATCAAAATCGTAAATTGGGTACCGTGAAGTTGAAGGCTAGGATTGTGGAATCAGCACTTTTGTATAGAGATAAAACAAATTAGTTGAAAACATTACCAGAAATCTTTTTGTGGCGTTTGTCCGCGAATAAAGTTGAACCTTACCTTGCTGGAAAAGACAATAGAGGTATTTCATAAATTTGAAAATTTTTACGGCCAGATTTTAAAACACTATAATGATGAGAAGATAAATTCCTAATTTGCTCTTGAAACAGGATAAAAGAGCGGGAAGCTTGGAGCCAGCTTTTGATTTTCTCCGGATGTGGATAAAGATAGTGTTGCCTAGGAAACAGCAAGGCTTTGGACAGATAAAAGATAAGCAGGAAACCAATAACAAAATGGTGGTAAGCCAATGTACCAAAAAGAAATTCTTCAACATGGCTATGCAGGAATATATAAATTTTTTAGGAAAATAAGAAATGCAGATGGAAAATTGAGTCCAAGGCAATATCTATTGAAAAAAGAACAATTAGAAAAAAGTGTTAAACAGGCTAACAAATTCTTATATTTACATCTGGTGTCTCTATTTCATAGTCTTCTTCGTTCATCCATTCATTAAATAAATCTAAATCTGACAGCCATCTTGCATGCAACTAGAATAAAATAAAAACATTATCACTTATTCTAAAATCATACAGATTTACTTTCGTTGTGCTCCATTACAAAAGTAAAACCTTTCTGACCAAATTATTACCAAATAATTATTACAAGATAGCATTACCAGTCTAGGAACATAGAGGGGGGGGAAGCATTCCGAAAAAAGTGCACGAGGCTTCAATTCAGTAGTTTGCCCCGGGACAATAAGCACAGAATGCCAGCTATTTCCGCCTTAGGTAGTAGGCTCTTAGAGAGACCGAAACACCATCAACCCATAAGGAAACTTTAATTAAAAAGAAACCGTAGTGTAAACTTTCATTACTAAATACCACAATATAAATGTGAATTACTATTCATCATTATTAATATTATCTGTTTATTTAAAGTAGGTGTATAAAAATAACTACAAAATAAAAGCTAATTCAAGCCTACAACAAAGTAAAATTGTTTAAAAATAAAAAAAATGAAAATACATATATATATCTAATATAAGGAACAATTAAGTATAAATACATATATACAGATTTTACAATGTTTTACAGCATTTTTGGCATACAATACATTTACAATACAATACCATACATTTATCCGTTCAAGAACCCAACATGAGCCACGAAAGGTCTACACAGTCTACAGTTGCATTCCTCTCCCTTCCAAGATTTAATTCTCCTTCTAAGCTGGAGAGGGTATCTGATTGTTTCATGTCATTGGGAAGTGCCTGCCACAATCTACTCCCTAGAAACGATATCGTCTCTAAGCCATAGCACGTAGTGCGCGCTTGTGGCAGTAGTAGATTGTGGCAGCTTCTCAATCCATACGTACTGTGTTTTTCAATAAAGATATCCTTCATGAAAGTATGATTGAGATCCCAATTTTGTTTTTTAAATGTAAATCATCAGCAATTGTAAATTCCTGATGTGGATTGGGACCGCATTGTCTATGAGTAATATTGTTTCAAAATCTGATTTCATATCTTTGTAAGTTTTTCGCAATGCCTGTTCGTGAATACAATTAACTTTACTATCAAGTGTTCTATCGCAGAACATCCAAACAAAAGGACAGTAGTTGAACTGGGACAAGCAGAATGCCTTCATTATTCTCTTTAGTTGTTCAGTATCAAGAAAGAGAGAGATTCTCGAGAGAGCATGTAGCTTTTGCCCAACCTTTCTGCAAATGGAACTCAATTGCTTTTTAAAGCATAATGCTTTGTCCAGAATCACTCCAAGCAGCTTTTCTTCCGTGCTTTCTTTTATCCTGACACTTCCGATATTTAAAGAAATATCATAACTTTTATTCCCAAAGACCATTAGATAGCATTTTTGTCCTTATTTAACTTCATACAGTTGTTCGGAAACCATTCTGCAATTTTAAGGGCATCACTCTCTAATGTTTCAATGATACTATCAATACTGTTGTCACAAGCATAGATAGTTGTATCGTCTGCATAGTTACACATTTTAGCATCATTCACAAACATGAAGAGATCATTGAGGTATATGTTAACCAGAAGAGGTCCCAAGACCGAGCCCTGTGGTACATCAATTGTGAAATGACAAGGGGCATAATGACCTCATCATATTTTGCGGATTAGATTATGGATCCATCCAAACTGTTGACAAACGTCTGTAGCCTGTATAAATGAATGGCAGATAAAAGAATTTGTTGATCATTGTAAGGCAGTTATTCATCGCTGAGATAAGTAAATAAAAAGAGAAGTAAATTTACCTCCCAAGGCTTGGATCTTTCAGGAGTTGGCTCGGGTTCTTGTGATACTTCAGATATGGGTACCCAAGAATCGTAACTAAAAATGAAATTATCATATAAATGTCTCGATCATATAATGCTGTTGGGTTTTTATCTGACAGGTTCGTCACATAACAAAATCGTATGCAATGGGGATATAAGCAGTAAAGGACTGCTATCTTACAAATGAGACAGCAAATAGATAGAAAAATGATATATCGAGCTAACAAAATAGTTGAATGTGCAGGAACATAAATAGTGAAACTAGATAAGATCTTCACCCCCTTCATAACAAAACACATATATCACATATCTTGGTTACGACACCAAATGACACAACCATTCAGGTCATCATGGAAAAAACAGAGCAGCTTCTTCAGTTTCGCATTACATCTCTTTAAAACAATTCCTCTAGGTCATAGCCCGAAACCACAACAGAAAGGAAGGATAACACTTTGAACTGAGGACGTGTCAGTTGACAATTTCAAGAAACATCCGGTCCTTGAGTAAGTTTTCTAGCAGATTTCGATTTTGAGAAATGAAATTAGATTTATGCATTTCTACTCCCTAGCTTATGAATGGGTTTTAAACAGTGCAGAAAATACTATTTTATAAACGAAAAAGCATTGAAGGTGCTTAAGATACTCGTGGAATCTGGACTGATAGAAGTGAAAGCAATGAAGGTGTGAAAATTTATTCTAATGTCACAAATCCTCGATGTTCCTTGTCTTCCAGACATCTTACTAAACAATAATCTACAAACTGTTAATATTCTAGACAGTGAAAGCCGCACAATACCATTTTCGATCGCGCACATGATGTTTTAATAATGACGTCACGACCATCTTGAAATTGCTTTTAATTACATTTTCTTGTTATTCTTCTGTCAGTTTTACTCATAAAAAACTCCATGCTCAAGATCTAAATAAAACTGGTTTCTAAAACCTTTCTGTGTAATACTTTAGTGACAAAAAACAAACTAGCGTAGCGGTAGAACACCAATATTTCATTCACCAATGAATAACTGTAACTGGATTATTGACTGTAAGTATGTTTTGACTGTCAATACTAACCTATCAGGATGGTACCACCAATGAACCAAAACTTGTTTGTCTCTTTTCACCAACGGACGTAGCCACTCCTCTATAATAAGCAATGAGCAAGACTTAATCTGCGGAGTCCATCAAATCGAGGGTAAATGTGAGAACTGCCTTTGACCCCATAGGCAGAGAGAGACATACACATGTCCTAATTCGTATGAATGCAACATTATACTGCTATTCGTTTGTCAGGCTCTTAAACTGCTGCTTCCCCAGTCATATTTCTTAGCAGCTGAAACTCTTGTAATCATTCTTGCCTTTTGTTTGAATTAGAAAACATTAATTAAGTCTTTAAAGTAAACTTATATTATAAAAACTGCTTAAGAGAACTTTGAAGCTATGGTTTATCAATCCTCCTGGGCAGCAAAACTTTAGTACTCTACACAATGGTTCATGGTTCCAATGATTTCAAACAGTTATAAAGAAGACATAGTTGTCACCATGAAATGAAATTGAAACCAACAAACCTTCTGCAGTCAATGATGGTGCTGGATGTATAATATGTGTTGCTTTTTCTTTGCTGTCTACTAATGTTCCCTATAATATGCATAAACAGAAGAATGTTAATTCCAAAAAATTGGTGAAAATTAAGAAAAGGGGAGAAGAGCAATTAGAATAATATATATAAAGAAAAGGGGAGAAAGCAAGAGAAGACAAGTATATATAGCATAACTAATCTTTGAAAATTGAAACAATGTCTCAGTTGAAATGAAGTCTTCACATTATTCAAGCAATAAAACAAAACATCAATGGGAAACTACACTTGAGCAATGAGTTATTGGAAAATACAAATACAAAAAAACTGAAACTGTCAAAAAAGTTTGAGATCATGCTTAAAATAAACACAACATTAGCCATATTCAAAGTAGAATCTTTAAAGAAATGATTTTTTTTCTTTATACAGGAAATCAAGTTTCCTCTTTCATATAACACCATATTTCCTGGCAGAATCTTGTAAAAAGATAAAGGTGAAGCTAAAATATCTCCAATTTAGTCACAAAATACATGCAAAACAACAGAAAGATACCTGATGTCTCTTAACTATATCTCTTAATTTTGAAGATTGCTTGGAATCCATTTCATTTATAATGAAAACTTTTGGTCGTTCAAGCAGTTTGTTCTACCAAAGGTAAGAAACATATTAATTATAACATATCATAAACAAATAACAAAAGTTTATATCTTTTGTGATTAAAATTTTCAAATAAAAAAGAGCAATCAAGATATTTCAAAATAATCTGAAAAGCAAATTTATAAAATTTTGTTTTAGAGAAGCATCCTGTTGCTTTAAAAATAGATGGTGCATATGCACTGAAAATCAATCATATATGTGATAAAAATTGCTTCTTTTAATGCAGTAGCTTCGGTGCTTAATGTGATCATCAAGCAACTGTTACAATTACATTCTCTATGAGTGTTATATTACTTGGTTGTTATGTCCCTGGAGGCATCAGGGAATTTCACTATTTGTAGCTGAAAATAAGGGTGCAAATAATTCCTGGTGGTTAGATAATAGAAACCTATTTTGATGTTGGCATTTAGAAATAAGTTCAGGTCTTTTGTTTTGACTGGAGTTCTTACTAGAATTAATGATGGCAAGAATTTCTTCAAAACAAAGTTGATATAGTTTAGATTTGTTAGAAAATGTTTCTGCCTTTTTCTTATTGTTTAAAAATATCCCTTTTTTTCATTAGTTCCCAAACAAATTTAGATAGTTCTGTACTGTTTTTGTACTTCTCATGCTTGTTGGATCTTAGATTGTTAGATTATAACTGTTTAAAAGTTTTTATAATTGGACCAATGTATGATTTATTCTCATTACTTTCTGTATTGTGTGCCTCATGCCTTTTGAATGGAGTGTGCCAGGCAAACAGCAAAACATACCATGCTGGGGTAGACAATAAGATAATATTCATAGGAAGAGTAGTTTTAACAGTTGCCTGATAATTGCATTAAACACGAAACTGTTAGTAGCAACTTAGAAACATCCTGTTATATATATACAGTAAAAGTGCAAAAATGTCTTCATGTTAAATGACAGGATTTGGTGCAATTGTATAACTTGAATGATAAATATAATAAAAGATCTTCATAACTGCACTTTGAGTTAGAAAAGTGAGAATCTTATGCATCTTTGCATGACTTTGCATGAAAATTTTCCATAATATTACCTCTCTAAGAGTTTTTTCTATAGTCAAACACAGCTCAACATTTCTATCCATTCTTGAAGGTGATTGAAAGTCAAATCTTCTCCTACAATGCATAATCACAATATTTTCATGAATATATCATGAAAACTTAATATACCAGATTTGCAACAAATAAATATATCAATATGTTATGGCAGATTATCAGTTACAATGAATATAACCCATATGCTTTATGATTTCGCTGATGAGAAAAAATTGAAAATACAAATCTCTTTCAGAAGAAATTTAATGCCAGCCTTATTACCAAGGCTTCAAAATATTTTATAGAAATCCAGGAAAAATCAAAGTTAGGATGCAACAAAACCAAGTGTAAATATATAAATTGAAAGAAGATTGTAAGCTAAAAATAACAAAAAGCAAATTTTAACATCTATTTTCTATAGGCTAAAAATGACTGAAAGTATACAAGGTAGTTTTAAATCATAGTTCATTTAAACTGATAACAAATAAAAATCATTTGCCTATCTCTGTCTAAGTTGCAAAGAATTTTTGCTGCCAGAAAATTGACAGCAATAAGGAGCATAAAAAAGCTGAATTTTGTTACTGAGCGCCCTGAAAATACAACATATATAAGGAAGATAATTTTTAGCTCTATGTCAAACACACAAGGAACAAACTACAGACTTGTGACTTTACAATGCAGAAATTATCAGTAAATGCTGAATATACTTTGTTCGGGGATAAAATATTGCTCATGTATGGTCATATCATTAAAATTGGATTCATTCTATACACTTACCATCCCTGATCAACTTTGAACTTGTAACATGCACCAATTATATGACAAAGTGATCCACCAGATGAATAATCTAAAAACTGCTTCATCTGTGGGATAGAGAAAAAAACTGCTTTCTAAATGGCTCTTTTTTTATGTTACTTCATTTTACAAAAAAACTTTCTATCCTTATACATAGGCCTTGTGAGAAGAACAAAGCAGCAGGGCTCATTAAAAGTATTTTGTGCCTGCAAGCTGAAAGCTGAGTAAAAAATGTGTCTGCAAGTAAAACAGGGTGCAACATATGATCAGATATTGATAAATTGTGAATTTTCCTATCTATTGAGTTCCACTCAGTACTGTTACACCAACTTAAATTAATGCCACTGAGTTTTTCTTACCAAAATTTTCAAATGCTTGAAAATTCTTGTTTTTTACCAATGGAATTTCAAAGAAGCAAGAAGCCTTTCCTTTGATACTATTTTAGTTTTACTTTACATCCAATAGATATCAATTTCCAGTTCATGATTTTCCTTCATCATCAACAAATAAGATATCCAGCTCATCTTTACTTTTTTCCCTTTCGCCCTTTACATCCAAAAAACTTTAGATCCATATGGGCTGAAATAATGCTTCTACTGGCTCTTCATAATTTCCACTAATTATTTCTTTCTATCCTTCTAGCAGTTCCAGTTAGACACCTCAATTTTCAACTTACACTCGATCAGAATTTCTAATCACCTCATGTGATTGCCAATCAAAAATATTGCGAACTGTAAACGCTTTCAGTAAATATTCATCCATGGGTTTTAAAAAATGAAATAAAAAAGATGTGTAAAAACCACACAACTCTTATTTGCATGTCTTTCTTATTTCATTTTTTTAACCCATGGATGAATATTTACTGAAAGCATGTTATTAAAAAGCAAAATCTCCTGAATAAGACATCTAGATAAAAAATTTAGGTGCCATTTCACCAACCGACCAGTAATTTTATAAAGAAGCTTTCCGATACTTTAGACGCTTCACTTTAAATTAAGAAGGCTATTGGTTCTATCTACAACATACTTCATCAAGGGCTAGCTTTAGCTTTTTACCTTCATCTCGTTAACAAGAGTTGTAAAATCTCAACATTACACGGGCTTTTTCTAATTTCAAAGTTAAAAATGTTAGCTGTAAAAGATTCTATTCCAATCAGGTTCCTTTGAAAATTTGTGTTGATGTAAATCGTATGAACTTTCTTCAAGGTGAATTCTTTAGAGGTGTACTTTGTAATTGTAATTTTGCTCGTCATGCCAACTCATTTACTTTCTTTCCCTTACTCCCACACTATACTCAACACCTTTAGACACTATACTCAACACCTTTAGTTTAAAGGAGTGCAAGGGGTGTGTCACTTCTTCCAAGTGGTTTCTAGGATTTTCCGCAGAATTTTTCGAAGATTTTTCTCGAAAACAAAAGGGTTTTTGCCAAAGGTGTACGAGATTTTTTGTGAAGTGATAAGCCCCTTAAAGGCATATGTTATGTTCGGAAATAGAAAGATGGAATAATTGTGAGTGGTCTCTTTCAGCATGAGGAGAAACGTGATATGTGATATGCAAACTCGCACAATTAGAGTAATGATTTTGGGTAAAAAGACTTGCAATTTTATCCTTTGAAATTCTATTTGACCTTTCAATTGATACCAAGAAAGATATTAAGAAAAAGCATGATTGTAAATTAAAAAAAGTGAATAAAATTTGAGTCAGAAAAGTGTCTGCAGAAATTCAGAAAAGTGTCTGCAAAGAGTATGAACTTTTGTGCCTGTGAGCACCGCTTGCGCGCTCACAATTTTATTCAAGGAGGTCTGAAAAGCTGGCACTTGACAACCTTAGCACCCTCAACTTTCTAGGCCCTTGATTGAGCAACATCAAATATAACAAAATTTGGCTTTTTGTATTTAGTTTCTAGAAAGTAAAATAGGCTAGGTGCTCGATCAATCAAATTTCTAGAACTTTCTAGACACATGAAGCGTTGCTTGATCGAGCTTGAGTGCCTATGCTTGCAAGGCCTCCTTATACTACAAGGCAAATGCTTGCCATCTTGTAAGGCTTAATTATTTTTGACTTGTGAATAAAAATGCATCAAATGAGGTGGGACTTGAACTAAGATAAATGAACAGAAAATATTATCTTGTTGATAAATTTTCTTGTAAATAAGCAGCACATGGAGGGTAAAGCATGCATGTGCACATAAAATATGACATACTTGGTGGTTCAAATATGAATGACTGATGAATTAACAGCAATTCCTTGGTTTGAGGTCAAGATTTCTTCTGCATAAATGGTTTGAGAAAAGTTTAAAGCCTTGACAGAGTTTCATAAGAGTTTGAAAAAGCAACAAAATTATTAGTTAAAGGAATCATACTTACTGGTAATCTTGTTAAAGCTGGTTTGCTTACATTTTTGCCAAATGCTTCCTACAAAAACATCATATATATAACCGTCAAATAAAATGACTTTCAAAAAATTCCTCCATGTAGCTATTTGCAGTACTAAACTATCATTTAATTATTGCAAAATCAATTTATTGACTTGGCTTGACTTGACAAAACTTTCAGTTGAAGTTTAGAGATAGATGCTGCCAGCTTCAAAATATAATTGCAAGCCATTGATATTGCTAGAAGCCAGCTATATTTGAAGGGAGGCTACTGCATGAGAAAATAGGCATGAATTAAAAGAAAAGGTTGAGTCTAACAATAAATGCTTTTGCAAATTTCTCACTTTGCAATTAGGTTATGCATTAATTCTGCCAGCTTCATATGTAAAATAAAAAAGCTAAATACAAAAAATCTAAAACATGTTGACCATCATGTAAAACAATAAATTCAAGTACATGAATTATGATCTTTAATTGGCTTTTCTGCCTTCATTGTAGGTTTTTGATTGTATTATCCAGTCGATGAACTAGAACAATTTTATAATTCTCTATTTCCAAATCATATTATAACAGTAGTTACTAACTAAATCCATTGATACAGATCTGACATAAATTTCAATCCTGGCAAAATAGAGACAATTAAGATAAAAAATAACTTGCCTCTTGAAATTGCACAAGCTGTCCAGTCAAAGTAGCAAGGCTTTTGTTTGTTGGTGGATCTGCCTGTACATACTAAAAGTTAAACACAAATTGTAGCATTAGTTTATTCTATTACTTTTTATGCATCAAATGATATTGAAGTTTTAAAAAAGGGACATAAACACATGACATATGCAATTCCAAAATCTTTTCTGCACTTTCATATATTTCACATGTCAGACTGAATGTAATTGGCGCACTTATTGGAGAGATAAGGCTCTTCCATAAAAAAGACAAAACACAAATGGAAAATGGTGGTGTTGAAAGTATCTTGATGCAAGCCCCAAATGCTGAAACAAAGATTGTTTTCTTTTGTTGCATGTTCTTTCTAAGATTCTTAAAACAACTATATTTTTGTCATTTCAACTAAAATAGGTTACACTCATAGCCAGTGAACATTTCCTGAGTCAAATGTTTCTCTAGCTATTTCATGATAATTACGTTTCATAGAGTCAGATTCATTTTTGTTTGAAAGTGAAAGCACAGGAAATAAAAAAAGGAAGATACCAAACTTGAACCTTAACATAATTTTTTTGAAATTTCTGAACAAAAACCAGTTGTCTTTCGTGTTATTGTTGGACTCGTGCCACATGATGAATGAAATGGCCTAAAATCAACTTGTGCATAACAAACAGGTTACCTTTTTGTAATTTTTGATGAGATGAAGCCGCACAGGATCGAATAGCTCGATGGTATCCAATGCTTCGTAGTATTTCCAGTTTGTTCCACCATCCTTTTTTCTAACAGCCATGACTGTAACGTCAAAAAATTTGGCGAGAAACGTAGCTTCTGATAACAAAGAACACACTTTCACAGTAGATCAGCCATGTTGCGCAGATAGGGGACTGGTATCTACTCCGGTCGCTTCCAAGAGCGCGCGCTTTGAAGAGAAGGAAGGCGCAAAGAGGCTGAATCTCTTGCTTCCGACCGACCAACCTCCCACCTTTTTATTATTTCAATCTGGTGTACTGTGTACATCTTGAAAATTGGGCAACTTCTGCCATATGAATTTTTTATCATTTATTCCTGTAAGGAGATTACAAACAAGGACAGCGGAGCATGTTTTAGATCGAGGGGGCTAAAACGTTTTGGGGGGCTAAACAAGACCTGACCAATAGCAGGGTGATTATTGTATGGTTTAAACTAAATTTTGGAAATTTTTTCATAGCCCCCGCCTCTGCGGTCCCTGGCTACAAGCCAGTAGAAGAATTCGGGGTTTCCAGAGTTGACATCATCGGCTTGCGCCTCGCTATCTACAAAAATTTGCCAAAAAAGAACCTCAGATTTGAAACGCATGTTTGGTCGCATTTTGCTAAATTTTGAGTTCTAAGATATTTCTTAAGATTTCACCTGTATTTACGGGATTTTATTGGAAGTTTCATCAAAACTCTTCATTTAGAAACAAATTGAGAAAAATCCTGGACCCACTCTCTTTTCATCTAGTGGTAAGATCTCCAGCCAGCACCCAGGACAAACAAGTCAAATTTTCTATTTCGTATGCGGTGGTTTCTTAATAATATTGTTCCATTATATTATAGCGTCCGGTATCCTCATAACCGCACATTTTTTGCTCTGATTATAACTAAACTTGCAATTTTTTTCGGCATTCAGTAACCGCTCCAGTCACAAGAAGTTGAAAGAAAGATGGTCATTTTTGTACATTCATTTTTTAAATGAGATTTTTATACTAAACGAGTACTGGAGATGCTAAAAAACTTCCCTTCTGAAGATAAAAAAGCTAAGAAATAAACTGAAAGTGCAGATCCCTTAATTTTTTCCCCGCAGAAAAAATAACCCAAAAAATAAAATCAATGACATTCAAATCAGAAGACTCCTAAAAGGAATGAGTGTAAATGTTTGCAGTGTTCAGAAATTTACTACTCAATGTTGACCTTCTCAATTTCTTTAATAAATGAGCAGTTTAATCACGGACAGTAACAATGTTCCTTTGTAATGAAATGATATGCAGCTAGAATAAATTTCTTAGCAGTTCTTGAAAGAAAAACACATTGCTTATAACTTTATTCTCGTTCGACATGTTGCTGAAAACCACTTGAACTAACATTCCCCAGCACCAAATACAAGGACGTTTAGAAAATAGACGTTTTAAAAGTTCAATTCAAGTGGATGCTACTATTTTAACGAGTAAAAAGACTGACTCGAGTTTTAGCAAATATCAGTAGGTATTTTCTGATTTACCACAAGGTTCATTTAGCAAATATCAGTAGGTATTTTCTCATTTACCACAAGGTTCATTGTAAATTTTTAGAAACATTCTCAGCAACATACAAGCTTAAAAACAAAACAATGACCACACACAGCGATGGTACATGGAAAGTACGCAGTTTTATTATTCCAACATTGAAAGCTTCATACTTTCTATAGAGGTTTATTTGGACAATTTCTATCCACAAAGGTTAATGCGGCTTTGACTCCTCTCACCCAATTTTTGAGGGAAACTTTTTCTTTGCAACTGCAAAGAATTTAATTAACCGCCTACCAAACGTAAATATGAAAATATCCGCTAACTGGACTTGAATTTAGGCCAAATCTGCGTCACTGTGAAGCTATAATGGACCCAGTTTAATTACAATCTCTTCTACTTTTTTGTGCTTTGCCCTAAAATGCTGCGCATAAACTTTTAGTGGGCAGTTGAAAACAAACTTACAAGCTTTCTTCTTCAATATATTATCTCCGCTTGAAGTTCCCAGTTCTCCGTTCTAGGGACAGACTTTTTAGTGATCATTGAAAATCTTTTGAAAATCATAATGAGTTTTAAACATTAGAACTGAGACTGTCATAAATGACAGGTGGATTAAGAAAAGTGGTTTTGTTTTATAAAAGCCAAACTGCTGTTAAAAATTATCACGTTATTTCTAAATAGTTGTGCTTTTTTCCGCTGTGTAAGGAATTCATTTCGATCTCAAGTCTCAGGCGCGGATCTAGGCCGGTTGCACAGGTTTCAAAAAACCGGACAAATTCTAAGAGCTATGTTTCTCTGTAAATCTTGAATTTTTAATCTAAATTTCAATTGCAACATTTGCTGCATTTCTCCCTGACTGACTACAGTTCTTCTGTTTATATACTGAATTGAACCTTCACAAGGGTTTGACAGAGTTCCCAGCCTCCCACTTCATCTTTTATCTCAAAGTATCCAAGGAACTCAAAATCGAGGAAATCAGCAGCCATTTGATGTGACAGCTTGGAGCCTAGCGCACACTAGCGATTTTTGTCGCCAGCGACGGCGATTTTTGTCGCTGGCGACTAAATGTTTTTCCCCGCACACCTGCGATCTTTTCTGCCTTGGCCCATGATTTTTGGTCTCCACCTCATATTCATAATGAGCCTCGATAAAAATGACCAGAAATCAACAATAAATTTTTTTATAACCCATGCATGTGCCTGGATATCCTCAAAAATTACGGGATGGGAAAATTTAGACAAAAACAATGAAAAATATTGCCAGCTTTGATTTAACCAGGCCACATTTAATGGCAAAAAATTAGGCCCAAAATTGTAGATTTAGCTTCACCTGAACTAAGCTACTTATTTTATTTTCTTCTCTTTTGAACTGTAGAGAACCCAACACAAAGGCTTTATGCACAATTTGTTTGTTATCTATTTTACTATTAGTTGCTAGTAGATAGTAAATCCTACATCGTACGAGATTTTTCGCTTTATAGGCAACCTATACTGCTGAAAGGATATATTAATAGAAGTGCAGTTGTTAGTGCAATGAGATCTTGTTCTTGTTCGTGTTTATCCAAATACGCTTATAAATAATTGAGAGCAGTAGTACCCGCTCGTGGCACTAAGAGCATCAGCAAGCTCAGCCACGGCTGCAGCTTTTGCCGTCCTATCCTCGTATTGTGGAGAGGATATGCAAGTTCTCGCGCCACAAATCGACTAACAAATCCTCTTAATGCGTTGTCCAAGGAAGCGAGCATGTTCCTGTGACATCCATCTTGTCAACTTTCTCAAAAATCAACTACTTTCCACATGCCTTGAAAACACTTTCCGCGTGCCTTGAAAACACTTTATGATTGGCTGATCAACAAGAATTTGTTTTTGGGCCCCGCACACTTGCGATTTTCAGTTTTTAGTCGCTGGCGACAAAAATCCTGTGATGTTTTTCCCCGCAGACTAGCGATTTTTGTCGTCAGCGACAAAAATCGCCGTCGCTGGCGACAAAAATCGCTAGTGTGCGCTAGGCTTATGCGCCAATATTGAAACCGGTGCCCAAATGTTTCCCTTATGCGAAAAAAACCGGTGGCTAAAAAGCATATTCGATATCGATATCTATAGCTCGAAAGGATGGACGCTCTAAAACAAAATGATACATAACGGAATACAGATGCAAATAGGAATCTGACGTTTTTCTATTTAGGGGACTAGATGTTTTTTCTCGGAAAAATTCATAAAAATTAGAATCGAAGTTGCAAGAAGAGGATCAAAGGCCGTGCTGAATGGAGTAAAATTCTGACATATTTGATGAAAATGTGTGCAAAAACACACAGGGATGTAATGGGATAAAGTACACCAAAACCGGTTAAAATTTTGGCTAGATCCGCGCCTGCAGTCTAGTTCTTTCTCTTATTACTGCAAATTGACATTTGAACTTCGCTCGTAAATCTGTTAAGATTCTGACGAAAGTTGAAGCCATTCTTTTACTATCTCGTTTGCCACACCCTAAAATTAAAACCTATCTTAATCCTATTGGAATCTAGACTTGCTCCAAGTCTATTTCATGCTTGAGAGAGGAGTATTTACTAAAAGGGAAGTAAATACTCCTCTATCAAGCACGAAAGAGACTTGAAGCGAGTCTAATTGGTGTCTGAATTACCATCGAATTTGTTCTTTAGCAAAGTAAAAAGCAGTCGAAGTGAATCGCGCAATTATGGTCAAAATCGAGGGGCAAATCACTCCAAGAAAATCTCGTACATCTTTGGTGGAAATCCTATTGTTTAATCTAAAAATCCTCGGGAATCCTTTTGTTTTAGTGAAAATATCGTACGCTATTTGCAAGAGTGAATTACCCCTCGGTAAAAATGCTATACAGAATCACAGTATCAGTTTCATTGGTATCATTCCCTATATAGACAATGCGCAGACAGGAATAACAGACGGCTTCTTTATGTCTCCAGCGAGTCTTAAAGGTTTCCCATCCTTGGACTGACATCAAGGGCCGCCGAGAAGGGGAGCAGGGAAGGGAAAATTCCCCGAGGTCTAGGTGGCCTCAAAATGTCTAAAAAAGCAAAATATTCCAAACGATTGCTAGAAATGACTGCAAGAGGGATTTGGCCTGATCGCAAAAAATTTCTGTTTACTACGCTCGAGGAGGGTCTTGACTTCCTCCGTGAATCTCCATGAGCTGCAAATAGCCACTTAACCTCTTATTCTGAAATACATCCCTATTTGTCTACGTTCCAAATGCCTCCAATAAAAAACCGCCACCTTTAGAAAAGATAAATTTCTATCTAGTTTATATCTTTTTACGCTATGAAGTTTTATGAAATGGATTGAATGTTGTAAAGAATTTGTCGTTATATTTATCGTTATTATCATGCTTTTGTTACTATCGTTTTGTTCGTTTGAATTGAACTTTACATCAATAGGAATAAATAACACTTGTTTAATATCACATAACAATGTTACATTTGTTGAAATTTAATACAGCCCTCTGGCAGGTGAAACAAGTCTCGTTCTTCTGTTGTCATCTGAACTTCGTAAAATAATTCATTCGATATGTGAAACAACGCACAAAATTCTCAGCGTAATTTGCAAGTGATAATCAACAAAAATTGAAGAAAGTTTTGGTTTTCTCTATCTATTAGCTACAACTTTCTCTTAAAGGGCTTAACAGTTTCTGAATATGCTGCTAAATGTCTGGAAAGATTAAGCTAAAATTCTGTTGGTGTGGCGAATTACACTGCTATCTTCTCAATCCATCTATCTCAAGTGAACAGCACTACATCTTAAAAAAATTGATTACTGAAAAGAAAAGGCTGAGAGTTTGGTTTGGTTGCATAAAATCATCCAGGATGATCCTGCTCACTGATTCTATGTCCCAACATAAAGCATCTATATTGGTTAACCGAGGACCAAAAAAGCACCTTTTGTGCCTTTCTCTTCTCCACATAGAGTAACACCATTCAAGCTGAAATATCCTACCATTGTCGTAAAAGGTTCTGGGAATCCGCGTGGGTCGTTGCTGCTTGACAATAAGCTTTTGCTTGCATTTTACTTACAGAGCACTGCCTCCCATCTCGTGGATCTACATTCTGACTGGCCTGTAAAGCCAACAAATTTAAACACATATTCCTTGCAAAAATGACTTGAACGATAAAAATTCTGAGATCTTTGCTTGAATATTTGTAAAGTTGGGGAGTACTTATTTCGTTTGAAACTGGTTCAAAAGGAATCATATCTTTCTATTATTGTTACTTCTGAAGCGAGACAATTTTGCTTCAAAAAGGCTACAAAAACTTGATTTTGAAATTTCAGATTGCACCAGGGTTCCTATAAGGATCTCATAAGAAACCCAAATCGATCAAAATCTTTAAGAAACTTTTAGTATTGGCTCATAAAAATATATGTGCATTCAAGCACTGCTTACCAATCTCGAGAACTGGAGGGACGCGTCTACCCTAGTTCTCAGCAGAATCGATTTTGTATTTCGTCTAAATTCGATGAGAAAATGTTGGAGGAGGGGTAATATTTTGACACCGTACTTTTTGTGATGTAATCCTATGATTTTAAAACTGCCGATTTTCAAACAAAAGTTAGTCATAGGCGTTCCCTTCGGATAAAATTGGCGTTCTCTGTTGGTAAAAGGGCGTTTTCTGGTGGTTAAAAGTGCGTGGCTTAAACTTTTTTGGTCCCCCCCCCACGGCTTAATGGCTGGCACCGCCATTGGACAGATGAAGCCCTTTGCGAGCGAAGTGAGCAGAAAAATTTTGGCGACCATGGCCTTTAATATAGCTAAAAATACATTTGAGAAAATTTTTTGCAATCATTTTCTTGCAATCGTTGAAAAAGCTGTACAATTTGTTATGTCTCACTAATTGTTTTCACAAGCTGGAAACCTTGAGGGCCCCCTAAACCTCAATGCCCAAGGCCAATTTGCAATCGACACCACCTTTCGGTAACCCTGGTTGTGATCTTTTTCTTGGTCATTTTAGATCTCGGCCCAAAAAGGTCACCCATTTGCTCATTTCGTATAGCACCTAAGCAATTCAAGGGCACTTTTTGATGATGCAGTTGGCAAAAACAGAATCTCGGTCCGCTGCAAAGGGGCAGGTAAACTGAATTTTGGAAAAAAGGGGGCACGTACCCACTGTGCTCCCCGGGCCCTACCCTTTTGCCTGAATTTAAGATATCCTAACGCCTTGACTGATATATCGAACATTTGCAAACCAACATTGATAGCAATCTGAAATATCTTCAGCATGATCATGAAGGTTAAAGAGAACTCATCAACGATTCGTTAAGTTAAATTCTGGCTTTGCTTTGTTACTACTGACTACCAGCAAATGATTATTACGGAATGAAACAAAATTTACAGAAGGACACAGAAATAATCCGGAGGGAGGGGGGGGGGCACTCCTACATCCCCGCTAAATCTGTCCCAGGCAAAGGGGGCCAAAATGCTCTTTTCATTGGAGTGCTCTTAAACCGGCTTTTTTATAGCTATCAAAGAAATTCAGAGACGCCGGAACGGCAAGGGGGCAGGTTTGAGTAAAAGGGCATTTGAAAAATAATTGACAGCTACTAAGAATCTTTTCGTAACCGTCATCTTGTTTCAATTTTCTGTAATTATTTTGAAAATCGGCTAATTTTTGGCACTAGAAAAATCTTTACAAGTTTTGAGACATGTCGTCAGGAATAAGGCAGTACAGTCATGATTTCATATGAATTTTGATAATCGCAAACGGCTGGCACTTTGACCCCTTTGGCCCCTCCTACCAAAAGGCAACAGGGGCGGTTGACTCCCCGCCCCGCCCCCCTTACGGCGTCTCTGAAGAGACGACTGCAGTGTCTTATGCATGACGACATTTCTCAAAACTTGTTAATAGAACTTTTTATACTAGCCAATTTTCAAGATACCCACAGGAGATCGAAATAAAATGGCAGGTGCGAAAGAATTAGCAGAAGCTGGGAATTATCTAAAAATGATATCAACCCTCTAACGGAACCAGCTGACCCGGACTCGTGTAGAAGTAATTTTTTTCTGAAGCGGGTTGACCTGACCCGGAGTGGAATCTAGCCTGAGCTCATGTAAACGGAGCATGAACCTGGCCAGCTCAGGTGCTGGGTAGAAAAAGTGAAAAGCAGTGAAATATAATAATCCCTCTTGTAATGGAATCCCGTGCAAAATTTCGCAAGTTAAAGTAACGGGTATTACGTTAGAGCCACTTTGGATGGCTGATCTGGTCACTCAATAAAGTCAAAGGGACGCCCACAGGATTTGGCGTCAAGTGTTCCTCAGAAGCAAAAAATACATTACCGACAGTTCATAGTCAAGTTACATGAATAACCCTTTAACTATTCGCAAGATAAGATAATAGATAGATAATTGGTAGTTGCTAATAGTTTAAATAACTATTTTCCCACTGTTGGAGGTGCAAGGCAACGCGCTTCATGTTGTTTCAACCTTTCCGGCCATAAGCATTGGCTCCGACGCAGGTTGGAAAGTGGGGGGGGGGGGCAAGAGAGATTTTAATGATCATAACAAAAGATCTTTAAAAAAGCTCTATTGTCTTGCAAAAAAATGGGAGGGAGCATGCCCCCAGACCCCCTTTGCCAGAGGCCCTGATAATATGATTTGATAACGATAATGTTGTCAATCAAAGACGATAATGTTTTTTTATGACGATGATGACCATTGATATATGCGAATGAGTTTCGAATTCCAGCTGACCAATGATGTATGCGAATGAATTTCAAAAAAACTCTCATTTACAGCAATAATTATATAGTAAATTTATATTTCATAGATGAACTATAAATTACAACAAATGCCAGTTTCCCATTGGGCAGGTTGTTGTTTATATTGGAATTTTCAAATAATTTGGCATCATGAACGCTGTCTGGCCAGCGGCACTCCACATCCATGAACTTTCCTAGGTAGTCACAGACTGCTTGCTGTTTGCACATTCAGTGAATACATTCCTTTTTTAGCTGTAGTAGACTTGGGAATTTACACCAGGACAGATGATTGGAACATGTGTACCATAATTGCACCCAAAAGCCTGTATCATTCCAAATTATATTTCAAACTCTGAAACTTTTGTTCTTATTTCGTCTTCAGTTCTTGGTATGTATTTAGGCCCAAGAGACTGCTAAAGCTTCACGAACTTTAAAAATTACTTTGAAACTGTGCATATGGCAAGCCCAAATGCATTCGCCGTCAAATTCAATGAACTAGTGTTTTTCAATAATACAAGGTGACTGCAACTTTTTTTTCTACAGGCAAAGCACGATAGTTAGATGATGAAAAATTTGTGGAGATATAGGGACTCAATTGTTGGACAAGATCATAAAATTCTTCTCTTGTTAATCCAAGGCTTTTCTTCCAAGAATCCTCAGGTGCTTCTCCCTTTAACATTTTCAGCTGAGGGGCAAGTCACTCCAAGAAAATATTGTACAACCTCGTGAAAACCCTATTGTTTTAATTGAAAATCCCTAGAAATCCTTTTGTTTTAGGGAAAATCTCGTACGCTATTTGCAAGAATGAATCTAAATTGTCCCTTGTTTTCAGCCACCATAAATCAGTGCTTTCTGGTCTGAACCACGATGCCCTCTTTTCTCTGAAGCCTTTTGGGCCCTTTTGAGTTTGCCCTTTTCTAACTTACGAAGGCTATCTATATGCCCGATTTGACGTGTATAAAATTGAAAAACGCACATTTTCTAAATGAAAAGAAGGTCTGGAAAAATGTAACAGCGAGTTCAAAATAAGAAAAGAATGTGAATGAAAATAAGAAAAGAATGTGAATGAAAATATGAAAAGAATGTGAATGAAAATGAAAAGAATATTAATATAGCATTGGGTTTCACACTTTATTAATTACGTCAATGTTTTGTGCGAAACAGAGGTTAGTGTCTTTAACATCCTATCAAAACGGAAGTGACTAAGATTGCTCTTGCTGTTTTTTGTTTTGGTCCGCTTGAATTCAGACCAATGGCTTAATCCTCATTATCTTGATCAGGGTTCCTTCTGACAGCGTGACCAAGTTGACGAATCCTACAGAAATGGCAAGGACGTTGTTGATTTTGGCTGTGTCGATTTTCGTTGTAACAAATGGCTTTCTTCTTCGAAGAAATCACAGAAATTGGAACGGGAGATTCCGAGGTTTGTAAGCGCGATATTTTATATTGTCTGAATCAGTTACTGCATCCTATGTCAAAAATCTTTAGCAAGTGAGCCAAAGGCAAAATTATCAGCTTGGGCCTTGAAATTCAGGAGATGGGTGATGCCGACATAGTTCTAACTTTTCGAATGCTCTGAAACGATTTCCCAACGCAAAGTTTGATTTTTCGGGGAAACCAGCCTTACAAAGTATTTATTTCATTCATAGATAAATTAGTTTATTTTACAGTTCGTTTGACGTATCTCTTTAAGCCAGGGCCGCGGAGAGGATTTATCGTGGTTGAATCACGCTGGTGGCTATTACTTCTGTAGGCTATTTTGATATGATTCAAACAGATGAGACATATTAACGGCTCAAAGGATAAAAAATATAAACATCTTAGCCATACGTTAAGCATTTCTTCATGATCGCAAAAAAAACCGGTAACATGACGCACTTTTCGTCCGCCACTCTTTAGTGTATAAACGTTGAATAATGATCGAAACTAAGCTGATTTCCAGGTGTGGTCGAAAGTAACTTGAGTAGAAAAAAGACGCGTTTGATAAGAATTTATCCTTTTACTAATCAGCAACCACTAACCTCGCACCTAATTTAAGAGTCCAAGAGAGAAAACTAACTTTTTTCTGTCTTTACAAGTCAAGATCTTTTTTCATGTAGTGTCGGACGAAAAGTGCTTTAATATGCTATGTTTCCGGTATTTCGTGCAATCTTCAAGTTTTGGCGTACCAAAACTCATTTGGCAATTGTTTATATTTTGATTTACTTTCATTTACTAAATTCAAACAAATCAGGTCCACTGTTGCAAACAGATTTACGTGCCACAGTTTTATTTATGTGTGACTCTAAGTCACCTTCTGCTGAGTAGTAGAGTTTTGGGAACCTCTTAAGATGAAGTACAACTGTTTTGAGGTAGATGCCATTCGATCTCGGTGAGAAAACCAAGAAACAAGAGAGAAAACCAAGCAAAGCGTCAGTACCGTAAATCCTCGAATTGCCCCCCTTGGAAAAAGCCCCCCCCCTCGAATAAGCCCCCACCTTGGAACTACAAATGGTCAATAAGCCCCCCCTCGAATAAGCCCCCACTGCTATAGTAAATTCTCGAATCGGTCCCCTCCATTTGATGATTTTTGCCATCTGAGGTTGCCTATGGCGTTTTATTGAATTGCCACAACAAATTCATACTTTTGGTAGTAATTAATTAAATTCTCATAAAGAAATTCCTACAATAACTTTTTAAGTCCCCCCCCTCGTATAAGCCCCTCCCACTCGAATAGGCCCCCATCCAAAAATATCAAAAATAAATAAGCCCCCAGGGGGCTAATTCGAGGATTTACGGTACATTTAGGGGGTTTCAAGAATTTAGGAGCTTTGATAGAAGGAAAAACAGGGCCAAGGTGCCTTTTTCTGAAAAGTACACTTGCTCAGCCTTTTGCCAGTCTTGAACAAATTTTAATTTTAGTTCCTTTTTAGCTTTTATGAACTCAAATTGCGTGAAAAAAGTTGTACTCTAGCAGCATGCTCACTGGCCATCAACCCGAAATGTGAATTAAAAAATTGCTCCTCCAAAATGGTTTTAGGCGCATGAATCCTATACCAATTGGGAAATCTGTGTCCTGATAATTGCTATGAACATAGATTTTCTTGTCCACGTTAGCAAATTCAAAGACGAAAAGTGTGCAAGAGATTCACGAATTGCCGACGTTATTGGAGAATTCAAAATAGATTCCATGTGGAAGGGAGGACTAGCGTTGATTTTCTAGAGGGGCGAAACGTAAAGAGAGGATAAAGGAATATTTATATGGTGTATTTAATGGTGCAAAGACTTTAGTGAAAAGCTGTCATTTTGATATAAGTATAGCTTTAAGAAACAGGCTTGTATAAAATCCGTGAAAGTCTCATTAATCTAGTAGTCAGTGGCTGTCTCTGCCTAAAAATAGACGTTGTAAATTTCAAAACATCAGAATAACTACTACAACACTGATACAAAGCAACTCGAAAAAGAAAATAATCAGGCCTCAGCTTCTGGAGGCAAATGGCCTAAGTGACTAATTGATGGATTTGAGATTTCAGTAAATTCGCTTGCTAACTTTGCCCACAGAGGTCTGGATGGTTGACCCACAAATAATTATTGAATGGATGACCGTACGTCACTTGATACGAGTGCCGGAACCTAACACAAGCACAAGCTTAACGCGGAAATTCCCCAAAACTCTGAATTTTTTAGTGACAAAGAAGTTTGAGATATGCAGAATTTATCAATTGAATTTGGAATAAGGAATACAGTGGGACTTCTGATGAATCAAATCAGTACACCCCTTAACGTCCTCTTCGGGGTAGTTCATAAAATTTCTTCACATCAAACTTTTGACCTCCGATTACGATCGAGTGTCTAAATTTTAGTCCCGCTACAGGTTTTAAAACTTGTGGTGTCTGTATTATGACATCCACAACGACATAAAATTAGAAAACTTATAAAGGATTTGACCACAAAAATCTTTGTACTATACGTAATTGTACTATACGCATTTTTATAGGGAATCTAGTTCGAGACCTAGTCCATGAACTTCCTTCTCTCTTGTTTTTCTCGATCAAATCGTAGTCCTCAAAGTTTCTTAAAGGTAATGTGTCCTTATAAAAGAGCTGCGTGTACCCAACTTGTCAAGCCATCTATCGAAAAAACGGCTTGCGATTGGTCAGTATTCCTGCGATGCAAAACTGCTCACATGAAAAGCTAACTTCGCAGCAGGGTAGATAAACAGAGCAACCGTAATGGCCGGGGCGATGAAATGTAAAATCACATGTTTTTGAAAACCCCCGCAGAGTTGCTTGCTTTAGCTGGCACGTTACCTTTAATAGTTCCTTAATTTACCTGCACATTGGGTGCGATGGAAATTGCAAACTGTACTTTTCTTTTTTGTATGGATTCAAACAAGTATTACACAATGAAACACTCGATAGCTGCCTTCATAGACACATTTATGTTATTTTTAATTACAAACAAATGGAACCCGCTTCCTAACTCTTTGTTGTTTGCAATGATTTCTTAGGGATTTGGACTTGTACTAATGGTTCTTTATTTTTATGCCTTCTACATGTAAGTTCCTTACAAAGTGGTTCCTTATAAAAAAGCGTGTATTGGCAAATGCCCCTCCATTCGTACATTTTTCTCTCTTCTCTCCTACTCTCCTCCTCCACACTCTCCCGCAACATCCCATTTCTCTATTTGCTACTTGACACTCTGGAACCCAGGGTACTCCACCCCTCCATAAAAGAATCAACTGTTGTCCCCTTTTATTACAAGAAAGGCAAGACATCCAGCTGAAGCACTTTCTCTGGATATGAACTGTCTAGCTCACTAAATATTAAACATTTTGTTTTAGGATGTTTAATATTTTAGGATCTTATTAGGATGTTTTGCAGTAGAAAAGGTAATAGCCGGATAAACCGGATTCATGAAAGAGCAATAAGAATAGCTCATGATGATTATGAATCAACTTTTGAACAACTTTTAATAAAGAATAAAACAATAACTTCTCATAAGAAAAATTTACAATATCTTGCTAAAGAAATTTAAATGAATGCCCATATTACTTAAGAAACTCCTAATTCAAAACAGCGGAGCCACATCAGAAAATATATGGATTTAATACCGTAACATACAGATGTAGCCAAATATGGAACTCGGTCCCAAACGAGATAAAGTACTCCCCTACTTTACGAATATTCAAGATAAAAATTTCAGAATTTACATCGTTCAATTGTACTTGTATCTCTGCAAGGAATACGTTAGCAACATCGATTATACCTGATTTACATTATATTTAGCGTTGGTAATTCAAATTAGTTGGTTTTTATTAGCTTGAGTATGCATAGCTAGAAATTGTACCAACCTTAGACAAAAAAGAATGAAAAATAATAGATTTTACACATTTGTGACTGTTAAAAGAATGGTGCAGGTAGGATGATGCATTCTCTATTTGAATTCACTCACAGGACGACAAAGGTGCTCCATTTACGGAACCAAAGCTGTTATCGACGAGCATGGACTTGTGAAGAGCTGTGTTTACCACTGTGGACCAAATCACCAAGAGGCCTATTCATACGTGTATGGAGAATATTGCAAGCGTGAGTTAACCTCAGTTTTGCCTGTTTTGTCTGATTAACTTTGGTTTAAAACCTTCAATAACTCAAACATTAATCAAATTGCTTCATGATAAACTTTCCTTGGATTCTAATTCAGTTTCGATTTGATCAGTTTTCGAAACTGCCAATGTTGGCAAGTTCACGAGTTTCAATACTGTGCTCTAGGCGATTCTCCTGAACATAAAAATCGAAGTCACCAGTATAACCTGAGGCAAATCTTCGATAGCCTTTTGATTTTCTCTAATTGTTGTCTTAGAAAATAGTTTTGTCAGGATGTGAAAGGCTCGCTGACCCAAACGACCTGGTTGAATGGCCAAGGCATTTTGATTTGTAAAAATAAGCAGATATTTATATTGGATATTTCGTTAGCAGAGCGTTAAGCCTGGTACTCACTGGACGATTATCACTATTACCACGATAGCGATTATCACGATAAAATATTCCTTGACAGTAGGATGCTCAGCTAAATCATATAGTCACTGACGCGTTAATCGTTTACTCAAAATGACTGTTCACAGAAACAAAAAATTCCTTGCTATGATGAGCGTTTTATACATTTAAGAAAACGTAGACAGAGAAGAGAATAGGTAAAAGATCGAGAGAAAAAGACGAGGTTGTAGGTCAGGGATATTTTGAAAAATAAAACTTCAGTGAATATCATGGATTGGCTCGAGAACAGCGACTGAAGGGCCGCGAATTTCATTACGGATATTTTCTCACAGCTTCAGAAAGTTTCTCGTCGAATTGAAATTTGTGCTAAAAAACGACAAAGCAAGCCTTCTTCTCTGCTGCCCTCCTTTGACAACCTGTTGCTTTTTTGACAAAATGCACGCAGAGGTGTTTCACTAGATTTTTGTCTGTTGATCACGTGGAGGGAAAAGTTGCCTTGAATCAAACTCAAAAGATAATTTCCCTTCTTGACGTGTGCCTTTAAGCTGTTACCTTGATATTTATTGGTCAGTTACCAGACCCAAAAGCCTGAATAAGCCCTTCCTTGTATGCAGCACTACCGCATGGATGTTTCTCCGGCGACTGTACTCGATGCGTCGAAGGTTTTCTTCGCCTCTTCGATCACGGCAGCAATCGATGCGTCTTGCATTGCCCCGATGGCTACGAGGAGCAATTTGGAATCTGTATAGGTATGGGCAATCTCGGCTTCATTCCAAGTATTTGGCCATCTCCCGTCATCGCCATGTCATTGTAACCTGTAAACGTTTCTTCGTTGCTTTGGTGGTCGTCGGTATCTTCATCGTAACCATTTTCGTCGTAATCGTCGTAGTCACCAGCTGTCGTTACCGTCGTCGTCTTATTCGTCGCTCTTGCCGTTTACCTTTGTATCGCATTTAACTGTAATTATTATTAGTTGTGATACCAATCGCCTCTGAAGTTACTTTAGCCCCATCATTATCAGCTCAACCCGAGTCATACTGGTTGTGTTGTAGGCATAGTAAAAATGTACTGTTGTAGCACAGAACATTGAATAATTACATGGATCATGTTATCTTTTGATTGAAGCAATGTTGATGCCTTTTAGAATTACCTTATGGCTGCAAAGATTCTGGCTGTACACAATGCAGAGAGGGGTTTTTTTATTTGCCGTACCCCCTGTTTTTTGGAACCAGATGCAAACGAGACTGCCCTAAAGGATACTTCAAAGATCACTCGAGAAGTCGATGCGAGAGTAAGTCTCTTTTCTAATACCAAGCCTTTAATAATTTGATACAGTTTCCATGGGGGTTTCGGGTGCCTTTGGCAGTAACATTATGAGATGTGCTTTTTTAGTTGGTCTGAATTCTGAATTTTGATCGCAAAGAGAGGCACCAAGTACTTTAATACCTCCAATGCTTACCAAAATTACTAAGAACACTGAGCAATTTGCCAGTTTTTTTTAGTTTCGTTCCCAAATGTTACTGCTCCCACTATTCCTCCCTCTCTAGAGCAATGTTGATACTTTCAGCAAATATCATACAAAAATGGCTTTGAAAAAGCAAACATTATAACATACTTAATTTTTCGTCTTACACTTATCAAAGTATAAAACATCAGAACGTAGATTGAAAACTCTACGCTAGGAAATATATATACCCAGTTGTGAATCGAAAAAGGCCTATCAGAAACGCGAGCACATGACTGTTGAGGTTGCCCAATCAGTGCCGTTTGCCTACTGAAAATGTTACCAATGGAGTCCTAAGATGAAAATGAACTCCTTCTGCGTTGTTCGAGAGCCGAAACCTTCAGTCCTTTGTTTCGAAACAGCACATGCGCATTAATAACAGTATTCGCACAGCTGTTCTGTCTGGGACCACACAACTCTTGAACTTCCCGCCAGGTCTTCAAGTGATAATGCGCGTGTGCAATTACCCGGAAACAAGGGATAGTGCATTTCTGGAAGACAGGCATGATCCATCTCCAGAACAAAGCGGCTTTTCATGATTAAATGTAGATAGATTCCAAAACTGCTATATGGAATGACGATCGGGCTTTACCAATTATCCGAAACATATACCGTAAACTTACATTTTCTGTCTGAGTGGGCTGAAGCATTGATTAGATTTGGCGCAATTACTCTCGCATAGAAAGACAACTGTTTTATCTTTCGATAATTTCAGCTATCGAAACGAGTTAATTAAGGGGATATTTCTTTCATCGAGATTTTAATTTTTAAATTCTTAATTCAAGAAAGCAGACGCAAGGAAGGATGTGCAGATGTTCTCTGCTACAAATGTAACAATGGATACTACAAACACGTCGACGAAAACTATCAGAACAGATGCGTCACGAAATGTCCTGAAGGATATGGACCATTTAATGGGCGTTGCAGAAGTAAGTCTCCATTTAGCCTAATTAGGATACCATGATGATAAATATAAAAAAAATTTCATTTTTCGCACCACAATCTCTTTTACTTGGCACCGAGTGGACCAAATATGTTTACAACACAAAATGTCACTTTGTTTTTAACATGAAAATTCTTTGATTTACAACATTAGTTTAAAGTTTAATAGATCAAGATTAACATGGAACATTGTACATGCATTTGTAGGTATTCCAGAAGGGTGTTTAACTGCCAACTGCTCCGAGTGCAGAGATGGCTACTTCTATTATGAAGGAGCGGTCTTCTTTCAAAAATGCAGAGAGAGTTGTCCGATAGGATTCCATCCTGACCACAACCTCAAAGCTTGCATTCGTAAGTTGAAATTATAAGCAAGAATATTTCTATGTTTCAATATTGTTGGCAGTCATATAGGCACTATATATCCCATTCCATGTACAACATTTAATGCTATAATTGTATTACTGTTTATGCTCAGTGTACTGTGTTTTTCTAAAAATATATACAAGATTTGATAATTCAAACTGATGTTTCATGAAAATTGTTTTTGCACTGGTGCATGACGACAGATAATGCACTGCTGCCGGATTTGGACTGTTGGTCTAGTAATAACCTGAGTCTATGTTTGTATGCCCAATGCCAAAACCCTAAACTTGCATTTTTGCCTTATCAATGCCAAAACCCTAAACTTGCATTTTTGCCTTATGCATTTATTTACAAAATCTGAAAATACTAACGGCGATCAAAGATGCTCCTTTTTTCACGAGTTCCTTCGAATTCGATAAGTAACCGGCAAAATATGGATTATGCTTATTTGTAATCATCTCTTAGCATGTGGGGATGTTAACTGCAATCAATGCGATGAAGTCCCTTTCAAGTGCAACAAGTGTCGCAGCCCATACTCTTTGCTGGTGGATGGCAAAGAAAGTGAAAAACACTGCTTTACAGCTTGTCCAGAAGGGTACGTGCGCTCATTTGATTACCAAAAGTTTGTGTTTGTTTGTGAGTCAATTGAAGGTAAGAAAGAAGTAACAACTACAACAGAACCAGCCTACACCACAATTCCAAATACAACACCCCAAGAGGTTACAACTACAGCGGAACCAACAACTGCTCCAATTGCGTCGACATTGGAAGAAATCAAGACGAAAAAGCCAATTATAACAACAAAGGGACAAGAGGTGACAACAAATCCTACAACAGCTCAAGGTAGTACTTTGTTATATGAAATACATACATAAAAAGGGGTCCAACTTTTGGAGCGTTGATCGAAATTAGTATTGGATATGATTCCTCAAGTGACCAAAAGGGTTTTTGGCGCTACACCCTGGACCAAAACCTTTCTGTTTTTATGTACAAAACAACTTTAACATTATGGATAAAGGTAAAGTAAACGAGCAATTGAAGAAGTCACAGAGGAGGAAGTGGTCGAAGATCTCTGAAAAACTGATAAGGGAGCTGATAAACTTGCAGCATTAAGTAATAGAGGGTTACAAGCCCTCTGCTACTAGAGAACTGAATGCGCTTTATTTCAAGCCTTTTAATTAAATTTTTCTTTAATGCATCTTCAGGAGGAGTGCAAAATGTTGCAAAATAGTAGCTCCCATAACACTACATCCCTGAGTCCTGGGTACGATATCGTGTGGAATTTTTTTGTATACAGTATCATGTGAACAGGTCTCAGGCGATATCTACACACAAACGTTTTAACATAGGTTAGCGGGAATTTTTTTAAATTTAGCAAAAATCTTGAGATACCTCTACCTATGGTAGAAAAAGCAATTCTTAAATTTCCTGGCCCCTCTGTGAATGTATTATTGGACAAAAATGGTTTGCGTTTGCGGAATCTTTGCGTTTCCAAATGATTCAACTTTCAAATTGTTTATATGTTTGTATTTTCTATGCATGGAAAGTAAAGTTTTCATTTGAAAACATATTATTGTAGACGTGGCCTTGTAGTCAAAAGATTTGCGGTAAAAACTCTTGTACAAATCTAATAAATGATAATAATGTGGTCTTTTGAGAGGATGGTTTAAGTTTGATCAACATTATTTAAAAAACAATGTTTTGCTTCATGGCAATGTCGTTTTACATTCCAGGCACTCATTAAATCGTTCTCCGTGGTTGTTTTGATCGAGCGCCTTTCCGGATAAGGCCTGTGGAGTAAGGGTTTGTGGAAAACAACATGGGGTGCGGTACTTTTGTGACTTCTGTCAAACACAGCTTACCTAAAACTCTAAAAAGTGATAAAAATGGGCAGAAATGGGTCATATTTAGGTAGAGGTTGTTAAAACATGTGATTGAGATCTATGAAAGCATGCTTGTTGCTAAGAGACTTAAAAGCGTAGCTGGCATTGACAATTTGAATTTGAGTTCTATCTTGGAAGATCAACTACTGAAGCAAGATTTGTTATAAGACAAATCCAAAGAAATGCCACCAGAAGAAAAATAATTTTCTTGTGTGGTCAGAAAAAGTGCTTGATCGAGTTTCAACGGAGTGTTAAAATGTGGCTGAAGGAAATGATAAGGAGGAAAAGGATGGTGGCTATAGTGGTACTAGATAGTGTGAGCGGCACCCATGGGAACATCAGAAGAGTTTTATACTTGGGAGTCCAAGCACAAGGGTTCTGAATTTGCTTTTATTTGAGAAATTTTAGAAGACACGAACAATGTGGCAATATTTTGTCAATTCAAATGATTTCACTATGTTATCTATTTAATAGTTTTTAATATATCTTGGTGCTACATTAGAATAGAATATATGAAAAATTTTGTCATTTCTTTACAAGTATAATATCTTTTTGTTTCTTTAGTCACTCCTTTACAAGTATAATTAACAAATGTTGCTAGTATCTTCTTAATTTTGATTCCCAGTCACAACAACAACTTTTCCACTTCCTGAGGGATGCAGTGATCAAGAATGTACACAGTGCTCTGTCGGTTACTACAGGCTGGTCACTCATGGAAAGTCTGGATGTCTTAAGTCATGTCCTGGGGGATTCTATAAATCAACATCAGAATGCCTTGGTAAGTTTTGCATGAAGAGTTTCTCTGTTTATCACGAGAACAGTTTTTCAGAAGACTGAATTCCTACCCTTGTGTCCTTGACCCCATTGAGTACACAAGACTTTGTGTAAAAACTTTGACTTCCTACAAGTCTTAGTTCTGTGTTCTGTTCACAGGCTTTATTTTTGAACTTCTGCTGTGAAGGAAAACCTTTTTTCTTCTGGATCCTGGCTTCCTGTCATTGCTGCTCTCCTACAGTAGTTGTTCAGAAACGGGGCCCATGAATGAAACTCAGAATGAAGACTTTTAGCAAGACAAGTAAGAAGCTTGCTTTTGAGTTTTCTGTACATAAAAACAGGTAAATACAAGTACTGTAAAAAATTATGCAGTAATTACAAACAACATGAAACATGAACAGTTTATTGAGATATTATAACTTGAATGTGCCTAAAGTATATTCAATATCACAGTTTCATTTTAAGGCATTTTAAGGACATACTTGTAAATACCAGGCCACTCTTTGGCACTAAAATATGTTCATTTAGCTTTGCCATTTACTGAAGTTTAAACTTTAATCCAAATAGTTTCTTTACTTTAATCTAAACTTTAATTATTTGGTGGGTTATCATCATTTTAGCATGTTCTGAGCCGAGATGTAGCTCATGCTCAAAGAGTCCTTTCCAGTGCGAATCCTGTAAAACAGGATTTTTCCAGTTCTCATCAAATGGAAACGAGACAGTCAAATGTCTGGACAAGTGTCCCTTGGGGTACCAATCTGTTAAGAAGAATGGGACAATATTCTGTGAAAAAGAGCCAATCCCAGGTAAATAAGAAAGAGCAGAAAGTGATATATTCTATGTCAATTTAAATGCTCACAATTATTGTTGGGGAATTTATATGTAGGGCAAAAAAGATTTGATTCTGGTTTAATCAAGCAGATGATAAGCCTGCTTTTTTTAACTTTTTTTACATGGATTGATTACAATCAAGGATTATAAGCTTGTTTACAATGATAGTTTATAAAAAGAAAGTTTATAAGCTGTCCTCAGAAACAAAAGTGGCACCTCTGTGAGTGGCAAATAGGTACTTTACCTCTGTTTCTGAAAACCAGGGTGTGTCCCCTGTGCCCTTAGTTTTAAATCTCTACATTTAAGTATCTACTTGAAACATGGAATTCAAAAAAAATTAAAGTTACTAATATTTCGCGAACTGTAAAGAGCTAAGGATAACCAGTGACATGGTTGTAGACTATACTGGGCACAAATATTGGCATCTTGCATTCATGGTCAAAGTTTGGGTTTATCAATTTTCCTTTTGAAGAGAACTGCTCCAAACGTAAGGTGCTCTTAAAACAAGAGACGATTCCAGTGAAGAGGCAGACCTTGAGTAAATTTTGGTTTTAGCATCTAGATGCTGGACATGAATTGCATTGTAGTCTTAAAATGTTTGATTTTAAAATTATCCTCCCCTTTATAAAAATCTTGATTGGAAGTTTATATTAGTCTTAGCTGAGTTGGTCAAAAACCAATGATTGCTTGCAGGCCAAGAGATTTGTTACAAACACATAACAAATACTTAAGTTCCTAAAAAATCCAGACCTGGAATATATTTGAACAATTTTTTGGCGGTACAGAATTTGAAAATGGCTTTGAAAAAAGCAAACATTTTACAACATACTAAAAGCTTTTTCTTCTGACACTCCTCAGAGCATAAAACGTCAGAATAGGTTCCGAAAAAACACGATGGAAAAATATATACCCAGTTGTGGATCGAAATAGGCCAATCAGAAAAACGCAAGCACAAGACCGGTATAGTTGACCAATCAGTGCTGCGAGCCTAAAGAAAAATTACCAATGGAGTCCAAGAGAGAAAACGAACTCCTTTTGTAAGGAGTTCGTTTTCTCTCTTGGTCAAGTTGGTCAAAAACCAATGATTGCTTGCAGGCCAAGAGATTTGTTACAAACACATAAATTCTTTCAAAGCCATTTTCAATATATTCGAACTTACATAAATGAACATGCAGGACTCTCATTTTATTATCGGCACTTCCTTGGCATGATAATTAAAGAGAGATGTTCTTCAGACCATGTGAGGATGGCTCAAAAGGAAGGAAAAGGACTCTCCTTTATCAGGATAGCTTCTCAGTGTCCTAAAAACTACTTTTGAGTGCTAGGTAGTAACAAACACACACAAATTTAAAAACTTTATTTCAGGTACACCTTTTACAATAGTACAGTGGCTTGGAGGGCTGCAGCCCCTTTTTTCCAAAAGCAACAGTTTTGTTGGAAATTTTTCAGAAATTTTATATCTTACATTTACAAAGAAGAAGGGAACAGAAAATCTTAAACGAATTATAGTCTGTTGTTAACTTATAAAATTGACTTAACAGGGAATATTTGTGTACAGTGATACAAAATTTTGTATTATGGGAAAGCAAATTCAATGGCATTATTTAACTAAGAATAAAAAAATCACATCTTATCATATTAATTCTTAGAAAGATTTTTGACATGGCAAAGTACCTTTCAGATTGTGCAATTGAAGATTGTGAAACTTGTGCTAGTCATGAACTGCATGGCTTTCACATTGGGTGCCTTGAATGCAAAGCTGGATACCTCCTGAAAAGAAACATTTTTAAAGATCAATGTGTTGCAGTTTGTCCTGACAGTTTCTATGCTGGAGTGAAACCAGGAACAAATATTAGTGCATGTCTTGATTGTGATGTACAATTTTGCCAAAAGTGCATCAAAAGAAAGAAGTGTGCACAGTGCTTTGAGCCATTTGTTTTTGACTTCAAGAAAGCAAAATGCACACTTTGCCCTTCAGGGACAATCTACAAAAGAATAACCAGGTCATGCAAATCAGTTATCAAAAAAGGTGGAGGTAAGTTTATTTAATGAAAGTATACATATATGGGGTGTTTATATGAAGATAAGCTGGCCCAATTGACAGAACTGGCATGCTTTGTTGAGGTTTTGCAATTATCTTGGGATCCTTTTACATTTCAAAAGTGTTTGGATACCAATTATAATGATTTGTCTTTACTTTTAAAAGTGTCAATAGTAGCTTTATTTTTTTGTACCCTTGTGAAGTATTTTGAAACACCTTGGGAGTCGTTTGTCGTAAATAAATACAGATGGTTGTTCAGGAGGAGTTCTCATGGGGAGGTTTTCTATGGCTTATGATCTTGGTTGTTACACCAATGAGCCAACCTGCTTGACAGGGATCTCACATCCAAATTGCAGTGGTCTTGACTCAGACTGCTAGAGGTAGGACAAAATCAATCTTGAGAAAGTGACCAAGCCTACTTGACGGGGCTGTAAGTTATGATTTAGTAAGTGGTCAGCAGCATATATAGTGGTGATTTGTTATTATTAAGGAGAAAAGAAGGTGCTATTCAAGGAAGTGCTCCCAGAGGATATGTGTTTTCTTAGTGTATATAAATATTTTTTCAGGCAGCCAATATTTCACCTGCATCATTTAAACCAATCTTAACTTTTTTTGCACTTGTGCTGTTAGTCTAAACAGCTGTATTTCCTCTTCAATTTCTAGGAAAGCCAATAACAATTGAAGGTCTTATTTCTTCCTCCAAGAAGAAGAAAATGGGGATCAAGAAAAAAACTGTGATTTATTCTTAAACTTATTGCTTGAGCCATTTTTGACTGAAATCAGCAAATACATATTTTTATTTCAACAACTTAACCTTTCTTGAATGCTTAATATTGTTGGGAATAACTCATTGTGTGCTTATGGAGTTTGATGGTGCACAAGAATGTTAAACATTATGCTAGACTACAACATGGCAACATTGTATTCTGCAGCAACTATAAAACGATTAAAAGTCTCTTGCAGTTCCCAAAAATAATTTAACAGTGTGTATGTGATAAATGAAAGCAAGTTTTGTGGGTCTACATATATGCTCTGTAATACCCCAAAGTCATGTTTTTCAACCAAAAATTAAGGGCTGATTTATATGCTGTGTTAAGATATAGGCTGAGAAATAAGGGAACTTAGAAGAACAAGGGTTTAAAACATCCAGGAACAGGTATTATAGAGGACCATAATTTCAGTCTGCCTCTAAGTTTTTGAGATGTTAGTGCTCACGATATTGATTTAATTATGACATAAAATTAACAATTAAAGTCAACAGTTCTTTGGATATGACCATCATTAGCAACTGACGGTGAAAAGTTTTAAAAAGAACAAATTTTCCTGGGTCAAAATTTTCTGGATTAAAGTACAACACAAGCACAAACGAAAATTGCATCCTGAATCGAACATGATAAGAAAATTTGCATCCCTATTCATTAGTATTCTATGTGATATTATATGGATTTTTAGCAGCACTAGGTATATACACGGTTTAGCATCAGTTGTGCAAGGGGTTTTACATTGGTTTCATAAAGTTGAATGTTAACTAATTGAAGAAATTTATGTTGGTCCTAACTGAATGAATTTATGTCATGTTATGCATTACCAGAAGGTAAATTGATTTTTTTAAACTGAAGAGGCAGACATTGAAGTTTTGCAATTAATTGAAGTTTGAATCAAAAATCGCAATTATTTGAAGTTTGAACCAAGTAAACTGATTTGAATGGATTCTTAATGGCCACGACAGGATAAAGAGTTTATTGAGTTGATGAAGGTTGGAAATGGACCACACAGAAGATTTTCTGCTTTGTCAGTATTGACATTTAAATTTACCTATCAAATTAAAAGATTGAATGTTTGTTAAAAATGTAAAATGAAATTACACATATTTAAAGATTGTATCCAACAAATTGTTGAAAAAATTTACCTAACATGGCCATTACTGCAAGATAGAAGAACCCCTATTCACCATTTAATTTCTGCCCACTCAGTTGTAGATCATGCAGGTATGTTAATGGTCCTTTTGGGACAACCTTGTTCCATGTATTACCAAAGTACCCTTGTTTCATCTGATCAAGAGGGCATTCTGCCTTAACAGCTGGTATAGCATACATCATGCAAAGCCATTTCCATAAATTTGGATATTCCTTTATATACTTGTGGTTCAACTTCATTCGTAAATAGTAAATTGGATCATGCCGGAAAATTGTTGGAAACAATCTTATATCAGTCAGGGTAAGTTGACTACCGCAAACAAATGCACTGTTTGCCAGCATGGCATCAAGCTTATCAAGTGCACCAAAGTATTCATCAAATGCATCTTCGTATGCTTTCTGGGATGATGAAAAACCAGCTTTATAAGCTCCATTGTTTATTTTGTGGTAGATCCAGTCATTGCACTCAGACATAAAAACTTTCTTTTCAGCTGGAATCAAGTTGATAGGATTTTTGGCAAGAGAAATAAAAGATGTTGCCAACATCTCAATTATTTCAGCACTCTCGTTGCTTACAATGGTTTTTGTTTTCTTATCAAACAACACAGGAACACTTGGTCTTGATGCATTCAAATCAGCTCCTACCATTTTGTAAATCTCAACAACTGTAGTTTTACCGTTGACTGTGTCATTTGTACAGCTATCATACTGAATCTAAAGAAAAGGAGAATAGTTTCTATTAGTAACACGTTCATCTCAAGGTCAAGCAAATTATGCTCTGAATACAAACATTAAAGGCCAAAATTTCTGGGAACATTCCAGTCCTCTGGAGTACTTCTGAGTTTCTGTTGATATTCTAAAATGGCTTCTCAATAAAGGAATTGCCCATAGTGAACAACATGCATAAAAATGTCTGAATCAAAGAAGCAGGCCTCTCCGTGAGCATTTTAGCGGGCGCGTGCTCAAACGCGCGCCTCGCTTTGCTAAGGTGCGCGTTTTATCAAAAAAATATATTAACGTCAAAGTAGGCAAAAATGGCATGTTTTTGCATATAAATACTTTGTATCTAGAAATATCTAAAAAAACTACTTAATAGAGCACTAAAAGCAAAAAAACACATTATTGTTGCAGTTCGATAATGTCCAGCTCAAATTCCGATGAAGAATCGGAATCAGAAGAAATGGAAGAATCAAAATTCGTTCCATTGACGTACGATTCAATTGCTTTCCTGGCACTTCCTTTACAAAGAGGATTTGATAAAATAACGCTTTTGTGTTTTGAGCAAACTTTACACCAAATCGAAACCATCATTGTCTTCCCATTTCATTTTTCGGTCTTTGATCCGCTAACTTCGTCCTTGCGATACTTGCGAAAGCAGATAGCTCTATGGCTTGACCCTTTGAATTACTGGCCATTTAAAAAACTTATAACAATCAGGAATCGCAATGACAGTTTATTGGTTATTGACCGGAAATATATTCAAGAGGCTTTAACTTGGCAATAACAATTTCCTCGAAAGAGGGATTAAAAGAAGCAACCGTTTATTTTGATATCAATCGATTTCGAATCCGCAAGGCTCTTGGTATAATAATTGTTCAAAACCAAAACACAAGGAGCGTGATTCAAAGAGTTCTTATAAACCAGGCGCGTGATTTATTGCGCGTCTCGGCAACGACAGGAGCGTGCCAAGGCGCGCGCGCGTGATCGGGCGCCTTAAACGGAGAGGCCTGAAGAAGATAATATTTTTAGGGAGAAATACTGATATTTTTGGAGATATTTTTGCACACCCAAAATCAATCATACTTTGCACCAGGGGCATGGTTGGAATTTTTGTGGGCTGGGAAAATCCAATTTTAGGGGCCCACTATACAATGTTTTAAAGGCACAACATTTTGATGCTAAAGGGATGCTTGAAAATGAAACACCAATCTCCCGAAGCTGTGAATATGAATCAACCATGCATAAAATATATGACAAAAGTATCCATTTCATTAACTTTGTTGTTGCTGCACCTTGTTCATAATTTAATCAGGCATTAGGAGGCTCAAATATTCATGTTGTATATGGTTGGGAATTTGTAGCAAAATCATTTTATTCAGATTCATGGTTTTTTGTAATCATTCATGCTTTGTATGTTTATATTCACACATTTTTTCATTCATATTCATGCTTTTTCATTCATTTTAAGGGGAAACCTTGGATTTGTATCTGAACGTAAAAAGCGTGAATATAAAAAGCATGATTGAAAAAGACATGAATGTGAATGAAAAAATGTGCGAATTTGAATACAAAAAAGTTTGAATATGAACATACAAATTGTGAATGATAACAAGAAACCATGAATTAATAAAGTGAATAAAATGATTTTGCTACAAATAAGCAACCATAGTTGTACACTCAACAGCATCAAGCCCTCAAGGTTTTCTTGCATCATTCTTGCTCGTAATCTGGTTGTTACTAAATTCAATTTTGAACAAAGCTTCTTGCATTCCACTTGCATTACTGGAAGAGTAAGCAAATACTGCTTTACAAGGAACATATGGATCATTATGTGAGGTGCTGTTCAAGCTGTACCTATAAAGGATTCAAAATGTGCAAGGATTGCACTGCCAGCATGCTATTCCATATTGTCTGTCATTCCATATTGCCATGACAGTGTCCTTTTCCTCTTTGTTCACTTGCCTGAGAAAGGCTCTCCGTTTATTATTTTATTATCTTTCTGTCATATTCTTCTGGAAGAGTCTTGTCAAAGTTCTGGAAACAACTCAAGTTGATTTCTCAATGTACTGCAATCAACTATTCTTCTTAATAATCTGCAAATATTTTCCAATAATCCGTTTGGAAGACCATGCAGAATTATGTTCTTGGTGAATCTTTTGGGCTAAAAGCATGCAAAATCTTTGTACAATGCTTCATGAATTGTGAATCGCTCATTCAGGCTCTGTACCACATTATCCATCACAACATTTTTCTAAGATCTTTGAGAATTTCATGTTTCCCAAGGTTCAAAGATCTTTGAGGGGTTTGCTTTCCTTTTTTAAAAATTTCTCCCAGACATTCATAGGGTTGTATGATTCCTTGACAAATTGTGATGCAGTTTGTAGCATATCAAACATAACATTAATGCTTACCCATGTAACAATGACATCACTAATTTTAATATACAGGCATAGCACCAAATGTGAACATGACTTTTATTGATGCTGAAAATTTGAGATGACAATCCTTTGTGTATGCCATTCATGAATGCTGTTTCCTGAAGTTGATTCAGCATTTACTACCAAGGCTCAAAATTAATAAACAGGGGTTCTGCAATTAGGATGATGTGGGTGAATTTTTTCAGCAAAGTTGATAATAGAGGGGGTAACCGTGAGAAAAGTCTACAACAGAAAAGAAACTGTGTATCCTGATTGTCTCTTGTTGTCCATCACTTGTTCTATGTTGCAAAAGTGAGTGTTGCTGAGGCAGCATGGGAGCATAGGGCCTTGTCTTTCATGGGAGCACTTATCTTTTCTTTAAAATCTGATATTACTAGCTTAAAAATTATAAAAGTTAATGAAAAGACAAATATAAGGGGTCCACATGAAATACTTTAAGGGGCCTACCGGAAAATTTCCTGAGTCCCAGTGGGCCACCACGCCCCATCTCTGCAATGGCATAGGCCTCTATTTGATTATTTTTTCATTAAAAGGGGTGTACAAGTAGTTCAAACTATGTGTAGTTACAATCAGTGAATCGCACCTCGGCAACATGGGCTTCGACGCAGGTTGGAAAGTGGGAGGGGGATGCAAGGGAAAAATTATAATTCATAACAAAGGGGGGGGGGCATGGTAACTGCAGGTCAAAAATCGACTTGCCGCCGTCTGGCTCACCTTCGTCCCTGTTGGCCAGTCAGCACCTTGAGGTAGGAATTGCCAGAATCCAGGCCCTTGCTCGTGGCTTTCGTCGGTCCTGTTTGGAAAACAGACATCCATGGAAATTACATCTTGCAAACCAAGCAACGATCTTGCCAAGATAACTCGATGGCACCAAGGGCAGTTGTAAGCAACGTACAAATGATATCGGTCCTTCTCTGCTGGGTATTTCCCATCTACTCCACCCACCCAGTCTCTGAAAGCAGCCTTGACTCTGACGAACTCACCAGCCTTTTTACGATCCACAATATCTGCTTGGCTCTCTTCAGTCATTATGAGACGACTTAACTGCTCCTACCAAGTCCTAATCAAAAGTTCCACACCAAGGATGTTCTCGCCCTTTCACCTGAATGCAAATTGCGCCTCCGCATAGCCCATTCTCACCCTTCTCAACATGACATTCTCTCTGAAATGGTCAGTGATTTGTTTTCTCATCAGGCACAGTCAAAATTGCGTAGGAAAACCCCTCGGGAAATCGGCTGGGACCGGTTTCCGCGTTTTCGATTTTCACCCTCGTTAGAAATCGGAAACGCGGAAAACGCGGAATTCTCATTCCTTCAAAAATAAGGTCTTATATCTCAATTCTTGAAAGAGCTTTGTTGCTTTGTTTATGTCTTTCCATTCCAGAAGCTTCAAGCAAAATTTCACTTTTCCGCGTGTTCGACCTGGCCCCAGTTTCTTATAAGAAAAAACTTATAAGAAATGACTTAAGACTAATAAGAGCAAATATGAATCAAAATATCTGCATCCTTTCAAATGAACAGCACTTTCAAGGGGGCTGGTTCGAGGGGGCCACTTCAGGTGTAAAATAAAACTGTTGTTGGTTTTTCAAATTATTTTGCTATGGGTGTTTTATTTTGCCTAAGCCCACCCCCATCACTTTCAAACCTGTAACAGACCCCACTGTGAATTTTCAAGTAAACACTTACATAATTCTGTGCTTTATCACAAAGAGGTAGAGCACCAAGTATGGAAGAAAATGTTTTTCTTTTAATTTGTTATTTATAAGTAAGGCTAGCCTATGTTACTCTGATGACCTATTTAAACCCTAAAAGGAGCCAAATAAGTAATATCTTTTAATAGTCAAATTTGTGATAACATTTCAACTTTCAGACAGGAAAGCTAAAAATTTCTGGGGAAACAGCATCAAAAAGCTTTTTTAACATTAAACTAACAAACCCTACAAACTAATAAGATCTGTGTCAGTTAATTTGGAATAATTCTCTCATTCCATTTAACACCTATCTGCTCCTATTTTTAAAGACTGTAGAAAATCATCATCTAAAATTTAAGTTCAATGGGTGAAAACATAAACATCTTTAAACAGCGCTAACTCGTAACATTGGAAGCGATGGAGATACTACCACACTGTTACATGTTTTGCATATTTATTTCCCTCTAGATACTGTCGACGACTCAAATCCAACAGAGAAGACTTCACTATTATGCATTCTACATTAGATACTTTTTCTTAGATCATCTCTAGTATGAAAAAACCTGACCGTGTTTGAATATATGATATTGGGCAAATAAGGCATGATTGCTTGATAACAAGAAAATTGGTATACTGTATTCTTACGAAGAGAAGGCTGCATTTTGCAAGGGAAAAATTAGCAAAATGTCATTTGTGGCTCAATTTCTGTTCTTTAAGTAAGGTATTTAGGTGAAATTTACAATGTTTGAGCTTCAATATCAAATTTTTGAAACAGATTTCTTAATAAAATTTTTAGCAGGTATTAAAATATTCCAAATTTTTTTCAATGAAATGATTTAAGAGTAAGATAGAAACTGTCCTTTGGTGGCAGTTGTACTTTAGTGTCGCACTAAAGAAACAAACAGAAGATGTGCTTAAGAAGATCATAGAAATGATCAAGGAATGTACCAAGCTTCATGACAATATTTCCACTTCAAGTGTTTGTGAAAAGGTTAACAGAGCAACCGGAGAATAACAAGCCATGAGGCTTGCGAAATTTGCAGCATTTGAAAAAATGTGACAGAGTAACTTTGGTTTTAGATATTTATCGTATCTATGGTCATTTTATTTTACTACTTTAAAATGTTTTTGCCTCCTTTGCTTGATATAATTTAAGAGCTTTCTATTTGATAATACACTTCACCGTTTTTTTAGACTTTTTGTCTGATGTATCCAAGCTTTTATCCTTGCAAGAATTCATTAGTGACAAAATCATCGAGGATATCATTACCATACTCATCTTTTTAAAAAATCTTTTAAATAAGACCAACTATGGAAAGTATTTGCAGTGGCCTACATTTTTAAAAATCCTTTTCTTTCAAACCCTAACACTATAAAATGTGGTATGTTTATGCATAAGACACTGCCACTTTGAACAGCACTTAAAAAATTAAATAGAACTTCAAAATAGGGCAGAAAAGTGGACACACTTGAATTATACATATATTTTAAAGCATTGACATTGTGCAGAACTAGAAAGAATGTAAATCATCTAAGCTAGCCAGGAGTAATAAACAACAGCAACCAACAGATACATGCAGTTCATCTTATCATCTAAAAACATTTTGATTTCATGAGATAATCCCCTTTTACATTTTCGCAGTTTTCTTTCATCAAGTACTTTGAGAACTGCAAAAAGTATTGAGTTTAACTTGAAACACAATGAAAGAGAAATACAAAAGACACTTAAAGAAATTTAGAGAGCTTTCTTTATATATATTCTTGCAACAGTCTGTACAAAGTCTCATTCTCAGTGATAATAATTGTCTTTCGTCATTTTTCTAGAAGAAAATAAGGTTAAAAATAAAATGCAAATCTTAAATTCTATCTAGGTAACTTTATACCTTTATTGAGTCCAGTGACCCAAAACATTTCAAATTCAGTCCCTTTGATTTGATTTTGATTTAATTCAAATTCTACTACATTTCTAAAAAGCTAGTTAGTTACATAAATTATAAATAAGTCAACTAAAGAACACAACAACAACAATGACAGTATTTAAAAGACAAAATGAAACAGAATTCTTAAGGATAATGCTTTGGTATATTGAAAAGGATAACTCTAAGATGCCATGTGTTGTTTAATTAATATATTAATGAAATTCCATTTAAATTAAGTTTTTGGGAGTTAAAGGGTCTGTCAATCCCATGGTTTACAACTGTATTGATATTTTTCAAGATATCACAATGAATATGAAAAAAGTCTTACCTCACTGCACAATGATATTATTGATTGGGATATGAATGAGTTTTACAAAAAAACCAATGAATCCCATGATAGCAAAACCAATTGCTGTTGCAACTGCTATTTTTTGAAATTCTAGAAAATAATTGGAAGTGAATATATTGTAGAATTAATAACAAGCTTGCAAAATAAAAAAATTAAAGCATTAGATAATAACAATATTAAGCTTAATATTAAGCTATGATATTAGATAAACATATCTACATATACAATATTACAACAGGTTATGCCCATGTGACATTTAGCCACATTTATTTGTAGAAATTCCTCAAGAAAATCTTCAAGCTTCTGATTCCATTACAAAACAATGATTCTCATACAAGACTGCTTTCATGTTGACATCAAGTTGTATGAAATATAAAATAATTACTAATGGAATAATAACATATGAAGCTAAACATAAATCTTAAAAAGTTGGTTGGTGGAGAGAGATGAGTGCTTAAGGCAACGTCACTTTTGGTGGTCACATTTGATAAAATCGCTTGTTTTTATCAATGGGAAAAGCCAATTTTTCATACTTTGTCAAGTCTGCTAACTATTAAAGTCAATAAAAACCCGAACTTTCGATTAGATAAGAAGTTCTTTGTTTTGATGGTGACAAGAAATGGTCACGTTCTCAAAAACGTGCCCGGCATGGTACAAATAGTTTCGATTAAAAAATAGGGTTAGCATAATGGAACTCAAACCTTAAAGAAGAAAATTTCTTTGATAAACGTTAAAAATTAAAAAGACTTTCCAGTTTTCCTTCCCCTCCCGAAGTTACCGTAATGCTACGTAGCGTTTAAGACAATAATAAATTTCGGTTAGTTTCACTCACACGTTCAATTTATGAATCGAAATAGTTTAAAAGGATATGCCCAATACTATTTGAAAACAAATAAATCAATTCAAATAAGCCTTTTTTTAACTGGCTGGTAATCTATCAAAATAATTCCTACGAGTCACTTTTTAGGCCAGGAAATATTTCCTTTACCTTTACGGTCGGGTTTTGTACATCTTTTCACCAATCGAACTGAATCTTTGACGAATTCTTTGCATGGCTCCAGGGACTTTTGTACTTGATCCATTATAGCTTTGGTTTTTTACGGAAAAATGCTTTAGATAAAGAAAATTTTGCTTGTAAAATTTTCACGTATTTCCAGCTACTGCTACGTCACCTAACAAGGCTGTAAAGAGAGAACCTCGGTTTCAAATGACAATTATAAACAGAGACCGCTGACCAAAAACCGGATATCCAAAAACTTGTGCCTCTAAATGGAGAGGAGGTTTTCAGAGAAGCTAACACTCAGAAAAATTGAAGTCCAATAAAATCAACCTATAATGAAGTCGTTAGAAGTGGCAATAATTTTATTCTGCTTTGTTTTCACATTGATCCAAAAGACCGATGCACAAGCCTGCAGTCCTATTGACCAGTGTTCTTGTCGTATTCCGGACGGACCAGTGATTTCCCTATGGGATATTGATAAAAGGTAGGTGAGGGTGAATATGTTTAATAGATTGTAAAGGTGGAGGCATAAATTGCAATCTTTTTCTTAAGAACAGCAAGGGTCGATTTGTCAAATAGAACTATTAGAGAAGAATTATAAAAATGACATAAAGAAGCTTGAAATACTGGAAATGCATTTTCAAGCTCCTGATTTTACTGGGTTGGGATCCGGGGAAATATTTCTTCTATCCTGTTGTGTTCAACTGATGTTGTTGTGTTCTATGTTGTTGTGTTAGAATGAGAAATACGGTTGTAGGAGAAATTAAATCAATCACTATCAATGTTTGTAACAGGATGTAAGAGCTGTTCACCCAAAGTAGGCGTTACTGAAGAACTAGAGAGCATGACAAACAAACAAATTTCCTAAGGGCTACGCCCCCATATCAATCAGGATTAACTCCAAATCTGCCGTGGCCTTGAGATCACATACCCTGGGTACCAGAACCTGAGATCTCCATTCTCCTCCTGATTTCTTGGGCTCCGGTACCAGGGTTAGAGATCATATAGCAGCCCAAACATTTTCCCCACAATTTCAAATAATCTCCCGCATTTTTTAAAATGAAGCTTGACAGGTCAGTCTATTGGCTGATGTTAAGTTTAGCTTTTATCCCTTAGAGCCATGAATGCCTTAGTAGATGTTTCCTTGTATAAATTTTGGTTTAACACTACTGAAGGCAACCCACATATGCATGTTTTGTTTTCTAAATGAGTTAGGAAGTAGTGGCTTGTTCTAAGAAGTTTATAAACCTTTTCAAATATAGATGCTATTTTTCTTTGCTCCTAGGTATGAAATTGGAAGTGTTGAGCCTGGCTTTTCTTATCTTTATCGCCCATGCACAGGCCTCAAAGAACCAAACTCAGTGTGTGATGGTTCATTGGTGTGTTTTCTCTTTTTATTTGTCACATTTTGATCATAAACTTGAATCTGTTGGGACAGAAAGTTCACCATCATACATCAATCATTGATGCATTGATTTTAAAAATCCAAAATAAGCCAATTTCTGGTGGGTTTGATGGTATGGTTTTGTGATTATGCAATAATATAATGTCTTTGGATTCAAATTTTTTTATTTTTAGCAGTCTTCAAGACATTATTTCATATTACCACTTTCTTAGAAAATTTCAAATTCATGTCCAATACTGACATATATAAAATGATGGGGAAATTATTTAATTCACAGGGATGCCAAGTCACTGAAAGTGATAAATCCAAGGTTTTGATTGCAAAGAAGCCAAAATTAATAGATGCTGGAAAAGATTCAGGTACAGGCCTGTATTACTTTACATACACAGGAAGCAAGGATCAAGAAACACAACAGTTTGTATCACTATTTAACTTTTTGGATGTTGCCATTAACAAATGGCATGTTTGTCCATAATTGCAAAAAGAGGTTTCACATTTTCAAATGTTGAGAAAATTAGCTTGAAAGTGAATAAGTGTAAAATGGTTATATTTACCAGGGTGGTGCTAGGAAAACATTTCGAGCTGCAAACACGGATATTCTATGTAACTGCCAACAAAGACCAAACTATTGGCAGAAAAGTATGAAATTAAATATAATAAATGCAGGAAGTAATGTAAAATATAATAGAAATGTGTAGATTGAATTTCAAGCAAATGTTGCATAAGTGAAAAATTCTGATAATTTTTGAAAAAGTTGTATATGTTTACAATAAAGGTTTTTTAAGTCACGTTTGAAATGTATTATGTCCCATGAAAATGGTTTTCTTTAAACGTAAGCCCACCCCTTGAACTCATTCACATTGTTGTCTAAATATCTATGAATCAATTTAACATTTTTTTGTAACAATAATATTATGTTTTAGGACTATCACCTTGAAAATAATTCTACAGTGCAGTGAGAATGAAGTTGCAAGTTTTACAAAAATGTTTGGTTGCCTAGCTGATAGCTGTGTATGTTATTGATTTGTTTTTTCCCTTTCCGTGTTGCTGATTTTGGCTGATTTTGGCTTTTTTGAAGGCATATTTACACATACACAATCAAGATACACATATTTAGACAGAAGAGTATTTTTTTAAATTAAAACAATTCAATTTGAGTGTTGGTGTGATCCAATATTAAAAAGTGTTCATTCTCATTTTAGATTATAACCCTGACTTCAAAATGTGCATGTCCAGGTCATTGCAAGGTTCCAAAAAAATCATCTGCGGCAACAACCTCTCACAAACTGAGCATTGGTTCAACTCTTTGTATTGTGTAAGTTTACTGTGCCCTTGTGGTTCTAGCCTGTGTTGAATGCGGAGCAGTGTTTTTTTTTGCAGTTTCTGTTATATCAAAAATATTCCATAGACAGTTATTTATGTTCCATGTCAAATTAATGCTAAATGAAAACATTGTTTCATTTTATGAACTTCTCATTGCCTGATGCTTTTAATTTGATAAATTATTGTCAATCAAAACCCAATGGGAAGTCTCATCATTTCCCTGGACTTATGAAAATATTGCACAATAATCAATGGCTGATATTTTCTGATTTCAAACCCTCCACTGATATTGGTCAATCAATAACAACTTCCCTTCATTAAGAATTTCCAAAAATGAGCCTTTACCCCCTGTCAATCTGTTGAAAGGTTTTTGGCTATAAAAATGAGTAAATCCTGTATTTTAGTTGTGAACTCAGCCTACTTAGCATATTTCTTCCTCCATGCTCCCATTGAATATTCTGTTTTTGAAGTCTTCATGATATTAAAATTGATTTAATTTATTGCTATGCTTATTCACCCTTTCAGTCTACTTGCTCTACTTGTTGCATACCTTGTTTTTGGTTTGCTGTTAAACAAATATGCCTTTCATAAGGAAGGTTCAGAAATCATACCTCAGAAAGATCTTTGGTCTGGCTTTCCATCACTGGTCAAGGTATGTTAATATTTTTACCTATTTCTATGTGCAAAGGTTATAAGAGATTTAGGAATGTCTTGAGAATCTATTTTAGCATTGGGCTACCATGAATATCTAAATGTATCCGACTTGTAAAAGTATATGCGACAATAAATCAGTATGGAAAAAACGGAGCCTTAAATTAATCATCAGATATTCAAGGATCAAATGAGGGAAGTTTCAAGTCAATGTAATAAATGCTTTGGTCTTTTCTAACAATTGAAGAAGTGAATTTCCATCAGCTTCTTTCCTTCGAGTGTCTTGCCTTTTTCAATCGATTTAATGATTTAGAATTTGTAAGCTTGTTGAATGACAAACTCAATAGCGATAAAGCGACTTGTTTTATATTCTTGTTTTGGTTCAGGCGAGTGTAGTAAATTTGTATCGTCAGACTTTCGAAACTACTGCAAAACTTTGTTTCACATTTTCGAAAATAGACATACAAATAAAGCAAATACAGGTACATCTCTAAATTTGATTTTAAGGAAAACTGGTAATACAAAAAGACACATCGCTTTAAAGATGATCGATATTGGCATTTTTATCACGTTCTTTTATTTCTAGTCTGTTTCTTTTAAACTTCCATCCTTTTCATATTGAGCTGAGGCTTAACGCCTCTCTACTGGTAATCGGAATATCCTTCAAATTAATTTGTATAAAAAGTTTGTCCTCTAGCACTGTATTTTGATCTTAAAGATGTTAAAAAAGTCGAAAATCATTTCTTGAGATATTACGTAAAACAACCACTTTATCTGGTCTACTTTCCTAATGACATCAGTTTACAAGTTTGCAAGTTTGCTTGGTTTTGCAAGTTTCAGATACGTTTGCATTACTTGGCATTGATTGATTCTTTGATTAATTGAAATATAATTTACATGAAATTGATTGATTGACGTATAATACTTGGAATTGATTTTTGACAGGACGGTTGTGTGTTCACTTTCCATAAATTGCGGAGAAAAAAGGGTGAATACCAAGAACTTTAAGGCTGATTGATGCCTGATACATACGGGGAATGCTCTGAGTTTTGCATATATTAAATGGAGATGATTTTGCTATTTTTTATCCTAATTTATACAAAAATGAAATTGAACATATCGATGCCACCAAAAAATTTTATATCTAGATTGTGCTTAATTTTTCGACCTTCGAAAAAAATTTTAACCTCGAATTGCATGTATTCTTTATCAAAGTACCACTACAGTTGCTATTGATCGTGAAGTTCTGATTTAGAAAATATTTTTTTTTATTTCATTGATTTTCTTAGCCTATCTTACATTTTTGACATTGCTATTGAATTAACTCTTAGATTTATTTTATCTTTTTATGGTATAGTTATCTCATCCAACACAGTTTATTGCATTGATTATATTGTAACATTACATTGGAATATAATGTAATATCCACATAGAAAAACATGTAGAGAAATTTAATGAGCAATCGGGAGCATCCTCGACATTAGAAAATTAGCAGCTAAGCCTAGATGGTATTGATGTTGTTGTCAGCAGCATAGCCAGGGCTTCAATTCTGGAGGGGCAAAATAGCAGAACATTTTTCTTTAAGCTTATATCTGAGATACTATCCTATCTTAAGATAAATTCTCAGTACCCTGAATGCAATTTAAAGCCTGAGTAAGACAACACCAGATTTGTTGAACTATGGAATGTCAGGGGTTTGGGTGCCATGATGTTGAGGCAATCCGAAATGAAAACGAATCCGTTGTGTAACTTTTGCATTTACCCGACTTAGTGTCAAGAAGCAGTTCTATTCAAACTTTTATTCCGTAGTTTCACTGACAGAATGTACTCCAAACCCACTGCTTCCACAGTCCATTCTTCCATAATGATGCTAATAATGTTTTTGCTCAATATTCTTACTTGACATTGTGATTAAGAACAGGATTATTCTGTTGATACTGTTGATATTTTTATACTTATTAATTCTGCGTTAATTCATTAATTGAATTCGTTCAAAGCAAAATTTTTATATCGATACTAGCTGAATGAATTCCAAGCATTTTAAATTAAATTTGCCGCATTTCTAATTTGTAAATTGTTCCTTTGATTAGAGAGAGAATCAAAGCATTGTCTTCCTGAAAAGTATATTCTCTACATTCTGTGATTCCATGTCTGCTTTTTGCCTCTTATTGGAGATGAAATTCTTAGTCCATGATTTTTCTGATAAAATGTTCTTCACGATTCTAATAAAATGGATTCATCATGTAGCTTTTATTTCATAAATGTCTCAAGATGAATTTCGAAAATTTGTTCTTTATATTTTGATGTTGTCTTTGTTATTAATGTTAAATATGACTATACTTTTGATGATATTCTTTCTTGAGACTTTTTCAAAGAATAGATATTGAACGCTAAGTTCAGTTGTCGTATTTGATATAGCTATAGCAGAATTGCTCACGCACATTATTTCTATACTGTTCTACGTTATTTTGTGGAAATAAAGCTTACCTTTGAACCAGAGTCTTTTTATCAAATTAGCAAAATATTAAAAGATGATCAATATTTGGGTTGTGTAAATCTTAAATAGAAAAAAGTCTATAAAAGTGACAAATTTTTATTTTTAAATTTCCTGTTCATAACAGAACCTGATGTGGTAAACATGCCGAAGAGCTTGTGCAGATTAATGCTATCTATAAACAGGGGTGCCGTCCTGAAAAGGTAGGAAGGGGAACTTTACTGCAGGCAAATTGAAGAGGCCACACCCAATATACTTGCATTTGTGAAACTCTTCGATGTGTATATGGAAACATTCAAACTATTCAATGACACAAACAGACATAAAAAATTGCTAAATCAATTGCTAAAACAGACAGATAAAAAATTGCCAACACAGAATTCATTCAACCAAATATTAACTTACTTGTTTAGGGGGGCTTAGCCCTACAAAATCTCTCTGAATTTTAAGAAGGGGGGCTGAGTCCCCCCTTCCACGGTACCATAGCCTATAGAGTTGTATAGGTAATCTAGTTCTGATTTCTCTAGCATTTTTTTTTATTTATCCCTTAAACTATAATCATTTTTGGAATGTAAAAATACAGAATAGAACAAAGTCGACACATTTCGAAACAGATCGTATGTGATTCTTAGCTAAGATGCCAACCAGCAGAAGAAGTACTATTTTCATATCATCTTTGTGGTGAATTGTTTTCTGGACAGTAATGCCCTTGGCAATAATTTTCAGTTGGCAAAAGACGTCGATTTACGGCATCACTAGCAGCATTTCTTGCAATAAATCCAAAAGGGTAAATACCTGTTGATAAGCAAGGAACCAGTATGTTTCTGTCGCTGATAGAACTTATTTCAGAAGCAGTCAAACTTCTTTCCAACGAAGCACGTGGATTCAGTGAATAAGGGTGAAAATCTTCAAGCATCATGGCAGGCTGAAAATCTGAAACGAATAATTAAGTAACATTAAACATTCAATCTATCTTATTCAATCTAAAGTAATAATATTCAATCTGAGACAAATAATAATTTAACGTTGAAAAATCCTAATATCATACAGCGTAGTCACAAAGCAGAGAGTTTTCTAAGTGCTTTGCTTTATTTATTTATTTATTATTTGCTTAATGCAAACAATTTCAAGCAGCTGCAAACACTTGATTGCAATTTTTCTTTGCAATAACTTAGAACATATATTTGTTACTCTACTCGCTCTTTGGCAGAGCCAGGACTAATTGATTTTGATTTTAAAACAAGGGAGCCTGTTATATGTTGAGGCCACGCTAGTTACGTAGGCTCAGAATACTTCTACATATCCCATAGTTATTTTTAAGGTGCAGTGATAACCAATGTGCTTTGATATATCGGTTTTGTACACAGAGGTCAGGCGCGCAACCATAAATTTCAGAGGGCAGGGGTCCAAGACACAAAAAGGGCACATTTGTTTAGGTACGCCAAAAATTTGAGCAGTTAGTAAATCTGTTAATATTGTACGCTAGACATAGAAAACTGATCAATAGAGAAAAATTGTGGTATATGGTTTATTTTGTGGTGTGGTTTATTTTTTCCTTTTAATGTATAACTATGTACATGATTTCTTCTTTCTGTCTGCCATCCAGTGCCGCCGAGAGGCTTAGGAGGCCCGAAGGGGGGACGGAAAATACAATGCCTCTTGCGAGCGAAGCGAGCAAAAATTTTTGTCACCACACCCTTGCGAATAGCTTAAATCCTTAATATCAGTTTCTTTACCTATTTATTTTTTCTATGTTTAAATCATCTTCCAGTGTCTACCTGGTACTTGAGTAGAAAAATCTAAAAAACAAAGAATTTAAAGCAGTAAAATTTGGCTCAGCCCCCCGAGCCCCCTCCTCTACAGCCCTGGGCTGAAACAAAAAATAGCAAAAAAAAATGCAAACAAATCAAGCACTTTTTTGGAACTTCAATTCGAATTATACCTTTTCTAATGATGAATTAATCATTTTTCATTTTTTTAATATTGTATAGAAATATTTAAAGTTACGCGGATAAAATCCATAAGGTACCAATCATTAAAATTAAGCCTAAATTTCTTTTCGCTTTTTATGCATTGCTTTTGACTTTTCTATTCCACATTTTTGTGTACAGTGTGAAATTTGCAGTTCAGTGGCAGAAATTATGGGGGTTTTGGGGGGCTCGGCCCCCCCCCCAATCAGCGATGTCGTCGGAAAATTCAGACATTCGTCGGATAATTGACAACTGAAAAGGAATTATAAGCGGATCGGATTTATAATTGAATCGGATTCTTCCGAATAGAAGTTATTTTCAAATGTAATTCCCACTGACGAAAACAAGATAAAATGCAGAAAATTAACGTTACATTTACAATCATGTTGTTATTATGAACGACTTGTCAAAAGTGCAATCGGTCGACCTCTTGTATCATCAATTTTTCAATTGTCTTAGATGAGATATCGTTCTTGATATCAAAAATCATAAATGGATCTTCTTGCTACTTTATTATGGTGTGGTTAGCAAAGATTTCTAAAGGGTCTCGTCAAAAAATCACAAATTTTTATCAAAATGTGCAGTTTCTTTAAAATTAGACATGAGATGTTATCTTGTCGGAAAATCGTAAGAATCGGAAATCCGTAGAAAGTTCTGGAACTTTTCCGGAACAAGGAGTCTAGCCCCCCGCCGCCCCTTTCATTGGCCCCGCAAATGCAATGCAATGCGGCGAGAAACTAGAAAACTAAAGTTCTGTCTTGTCTATCTTCACGTAAAAGATATCTCTCTACATTATTTCGTTCGACTAAGTCGCCTCGCCCTCGACACTTAGTTTGTTGACTGACTTACATATGATTTCCACATGACTTGTTCGCGCTGACAGAGACAAAGGGAAGTGAGGCTTTACAACAACTTGGATCAAAATGGAAGGTGCGCAATTTACGAAACTGTTTTGCATCGTATTTTTAACAATGCTGGGCGCGGAAAATATAAATACAGCAGAAGATTGCATCCCTGTAGACCAATGCAGCTGCAAGCTGAAAAGTGGGAAGTACATTAGCCTTTGGGACATAGATAAGAAAGGAGCTAGGTAAGGAACAGCCTATTCCGAACAGGAATGGTCTGATTGCTTTACGCTGAAACATCCGAATCTCCTGCTTGCATCAACATTTAAATTTCAACGTTTCGAAAACAGGTGAAGGGACGCGACAGAAACGTAGAAACGTGTTGAAAAATTGGTGGGACACGCACGTATTATTAGAGCATGCAACCGGGCAAAAGTTGGGCGAGGGGGCGGACATTGCGAATCCGGATTGAACGTCTTGCTGCATCTGAAATGGGTAGTAGGGTTCCCAGCCTGAGCCTGTGATTTTTTAATACACTCCTCGACGTGTATGACAAGAGGTTAAATTGATTATCTAATCCGGATTCTCTTGTTCCACCATGTCCACGAAAACAGATGGATTTCCGGGGATTTTCAGACTCTATCTTCTCCGAAGGTGTACGAAATTTCGATGAAGTGATTTACCATCACAGCATTTCCAGCCCCAGCCACTCCGTAACGTTCTACCTGGGCCAGTTTTTTTAAGAAAATTTTCAAGTATATTAAACAAAGGTGATAATTTAGTTTGTATAATGATAAGTTTGATGATTTAAGATAAGAGGGTGGTCTGGTCTTTAAAATTTTCTTTAGGATGTAGACTCAACACGTCCCCACTATTCTAGTCAGATTTCACTCTGGAATAATTACTTTGATGTACTAATCGGTAGCTATGTTCGATTTTCATTAGTTAACATTGTAGATTTATATATATATTGTTAGCTATTGTTTTATATCGAATTAAAATAAATTTACAACAACAACAACTCAAACATACCACAATGTACTGTATAAAAACATAAAAAACTACTCCGCAACAAAGTCAAGGAAGGCAAACTGGATTCAACCACAATTATGATACTTATGTTTAACAAATAATTTCGTTTTATATCAAGGATAAATTTAAAACAAAAGCAAAATGCTCAGTTTCGATTATTCTATTGAACAACATTGTGACCTTTTTGCTGTCTTTCTAGTTGTTGCACTTGTTTTGCATTAGTACTAAATCTGCCTGCCTGCACAGTCCCACAACAAGTCCACATGCACCAATTTGAATTCACCCGCACACCTAGCCTAAATTTCACCACACTGATCTGAGTCTAACTGTAATCATCAACACCAATTTATTTTTTCCAAATTCTTATTAAGGGTAAATAAGGGTTATTGGTTACTAAGTTTGCAATGATGATTTCCAAAAATAGCTCTTTAAGTAAAAAATATGTGCTATATATATTTTTTATGTACATGATTACAAATATATCTGTTTGATGATTAATGGATTCAATTGTGCTGGGGTTTTTAGCTGTTTATGTTCGTACTTTAAAATTACAGTTTAATATTCTACTCATCAAGCATATTTTTGTCACTCTTGCTAATATGGGCATGCACTAGCCTATATTTCAAACTGGATAGTCTTGATTTGAAATAGCATAATATTTGTAAATTTAGCAATTTCATCCATCATATCTTTCGATCATGTTGTTCATTGATCCCATAGATTTTTGTCCAAAATTTTATTTCTTTACGTGATTCAACTCTATTAACTCCACAGTTTGGCCTTATTTTTTGTACTTGGTATCAAATTTTTTGGTCATTTCTAAGTCTGACTGGATTGTACAATTTTTATAGATTTTTGTGGATCTCTGGATTTTTTATGATATTTGAGTGGATTTTTCAAGATTTTTGGCAGGGTATACAAAAGAAATACACTCTTTCAGTCTATTTTCCCAAAAATCCTGTTCTGCTATCACTTTTTGATTATTAGGAGTGCTACCCCAAAACAGTACTCCAAATAAGGACAGCTTAGAGATTTTAATTTAGCTAAGTGATATGGGAGCAAGAAAAACTTGCACAGGAGCGTTCTAGGCAAAAAAATTGTATAGCTTTTTCTGATTGTTGCAGGGGGGGGGGGCAAGGCTATGATGTGATGTGACAGGAATCGTTACCAGAAAACCACTAAAAAGCATGAAATAGCGTTCCACCTGCAGATATTAATTCTAAGAGTAAGGTTGTATTGAAAGGTAGTAAAATTGCTTCAAGGAGTGCATTTTCTAGTGAGTGGATTAAATTCTGTTTCATTAAATTTGCTTTCTTTGTTTGCTTAATCAACATCATATGTTTGTCACTTTTTTCAAGCACTTTTTTTATATAAAACATTATATACACACATAGCTATATTTAGAAACATACAGCAATTTGTTGTGTTTAGCATGTCTCTTTACTCAAAGGTATAAGATATAGAAGAAAACTTAGCAATTTTAAAAGTCAAGACTTGAAATACAGATACAACTATGAAAAAGTTAAAATTTCATTTTCTTTTTCATCGAAAGTTACCCAGCAGAAGACGCCTTGTCTCGTACTGGCTTTAATTATCTGTACAGTCCATGTTCTGTGCTGAAGAAGACTGGTACTGAATGTGACAATGCTCTGGTAAGTGCCAAAATATTTATCATCTGCCAACCTGGAATGTTGTGTTTCATCTAACAATTGTGTTGACATGTTGGCAACTGGGGATGTGCTTATTTGGAAGATGTTCAGCAAATACATGTTCAACAAACTACCTTTATTTTTAATGTAGATATTGAGTACTTCAGTCTCTTAAGGCTTTGGAAATTCCAATACTCATTGTTTCTAAAGACTTTCTTAATTAAGAAGCTAATAATTTTAACATTTGGGGCCCTAATTTAATTTTTTGTGCTAGAAAAATTTCCAATAGAAACTTCAAGCATGGGAGGGTTTATGTGGCAGCAAACAGTGAGAATGGCTAATGTTTCATTGTTTTCAAATGCTCATGCCACTTTTTCAAGACATTGGGTACTGTGCTAATGCTTTTGGTGGATGAGGGAATTACATTTTGTCTGTCTTTATGCTTTTTTTCTTTATAATTTGAGGGAAGTTCTGTGTCTAGAGTTTTAAGCAGACCAGTCATCGGCATGGGTAGAATTTCACGAAATTGTGAAAATCTGAGTTTTTTCAGATTCAAATGTTTCTTGATGTTTTGGCTCGAGTGCTTAAGTTCCTAATTTTGAAAGGAACGTATTCTGAAAGTTACTTAAGATATTTCAAAATAAAAGCCATGCCTACGAATGACATGAAAATCACTTTGCAAACAAAGATTAGAAAAAGTGACCAATTAAGTAACCAATCAAATCAAGTAACTGGAAAATGAAGAATTACCAACCAAAGGCAATATCTATAGAAAATGTGTGGATGAAGAAAAGGTCACTGTAGCAGGCTGCTCGACGGGGTCCAAGGAGTTCTTGCGGCGAAAAGTCGATAAGAATGTAGCAAATATAAAAAACACCGCAATACGCCGAGAATAAACAACAGTAAATACACGTAAATCAGTGAAGGCTAATATCTCGCCCGGGCATACGGGGCTTCATCAGAGCAAAAATTAACGGGCTAAAAATGTACACATTTAAAAGAGGCGATGGTGGTGTCGGATTGGCTGATGTGGAATGGTGTGAATGCAGCTCAGTGGTGGAGGAGGGAAGGGTGGCAAATAAGAGAGCGTGGGTGGTGGTGGTGGAATGAAAATGTAATGGGGATGAAGTATTTCTATAGAGCATCTTCCAGTTTTTCTATAGAAGATCTATAGAAAAACTGGGACATCACCCATGTAATTTTTCTGTTCAAAGATAATACCGATTTTTTTACTGATAGAACTTCTGGCATATTTTTTATACTTTTCTTTCTATAACTGATATTAAGGTTGTATATAAATTGTTTTTATTATTATTATGCTAACAAAACAGAAGCAAACAGAGGTAAAAGAACAGTGCATATGTGATTTTTTAGGTTTGCCAAAATGTAAACAGCGACAGTTTTGCCATTGCTTTGAAGCCTAAAGCTGTTTCAGTTGGTTATGATGTAGTATTGAAGCAGTACACATTCGTATATACGGGAACCTCAACGCAACTGTCTAAGAACAGGTTTGGCTTTTTATACTTCTCTTTGGTATTTTGCGATCTGCCAACATTTGTTTATATAAGGGAGGCCCTAGAAGGTTAAAAAATTGTTGGAGATATCGTTCTCGACTCGAACCAGTCAAAAGATTTTTAAAGCTCTACTTTTACTGCCCTCTAAATAGACTCTCTCAAGATAATTATCTTGTAGGCAACCCTTTAAACAGACATTTGTTTCAGATGGTAAATTGGTGATAGCAGAGAAAGAGATTCCTGTGGCACCCCCTTTTCATCCAGGCAAGAAATTGTCCGCACATACGAGACTTTTATCTGTAAATTAGTGGATAAGTTTTAATCTGGTTTTGGGTAAAATGAGCTTCGTTTGCCCAGGAATGAAATATTCGAGGGCCAACTCGACGGACAAACCCAAGTCGTTGCGCTGGTTCTGGGGGAGGGGGGGAATAGACCCCTAGACATGTCGCTCTCTCATTTTTTAGGTTCTATAAGATTTTGTTGTATATTGCTCTTTCTCTGTAAAAAATTCTAGTTCCAGTTGCTATCAAAAGGGTCATTAGCATTGGTCCTACCTTTTTCTGCATTTTACAGGCAAACAACCATCAACTTGGCTTGTGACCCAAACATTAAGGCCCCTCTTCTTTCTGTCGTCTTGGAATCACCAGAAGGGGTATATGTAAGTGACGTTGCGTTATTTGTATTTCACCATTAGCGATGTATTATTTTTTTACTAAGTTAATGGCAGGCCTTCGGTTTGAAATGCTGATGACGCGCAGGGTCTCCGAGAGAATGAGAACCCTGCGAGCAGAAAAATTTTGCGACCACGCCCTTAAATTCGTTCATTCACTTGACATGTTTACTGTTTACGGGCATAATTTCGTTACTTTAAATTAATTTTGTTTCAAAACAGAATTTCATTATTAAAAAACCGCTATTGTGTAGACAGAAGGAGGTCGTTTTAATCCTTACGACTCCATTGGTAACATTCTCACTGGCGGCACTGATTGGGCAACCTCAACAGTCATGTGCTCGCGTTTCTAATTGGCCAATTTCGATCAACAACTGGTTATTTATATTTCCTATCGTAGAGTTTTCGATCCATGTTCTGACGTTTATACTCTCAAGAGTGTCAGACGAAAAGCTTTAGTATACTCGAATGTTTGCTTTTTTTAAAGCTTCTTTACAACTATCTCACCAGCCTGACTATTTTCCTGTGTAGGGGTTGACAGTAACAACTAAATGTGCTTGCCCTGGTGCTTGCAGCCATCTATCACCTCAATCAGCGTCGTCGTCGACAGGATTAAGCACTGGCTCTGTCCTATGCATCGTGTGAGTAATTTGGATTTTTTCAACGCAGCTGGGATTTTACAAGTGTCCTGTGACCCTTTTTTCGCTTCCTTCGTTTTCAAACTTTCTTCTTACTATCCACATTATTATCCATCATTTTTGAGTAAACACCTTGCTTTTAGGATGATTGCAGTGCAAAGAAACTACGTCATGACTTATACTTACGAACAATTCTTCCTTGAAAATTTCCTTTGAGAAGTTTATTTTGCTCGCGTAGATGGAGGTAGAGTGAGGAAAAAATTACAATTTTTTCCTGGAAAAGTATACTTTTTAAAAAGCGGCCGTGCCCGTTTTTTAGCAAGTGCACTTGTCAAGTGGAAAATTTTCATATGCAAAATTTGACTCAATTGACTTAACAAATTTGACTCAATTCAAGAACCTTCTTTCACGCAATAGAGTGCCAAAGTTATGACGTCACAAAAATATATTTTCAGAATTTTAAAATTTTGACCATATATCCTAAAAGAGTATTATGAAATACCTCTAATTGTGCAAAATCTGTTTAATCTGTTACATATTGGCTGAGATATGGCCACATAAGCTCAGGCTCTTTCCCCATCAAACTTCTGCAATTTGGTCTTGGGATTTTTTAACCAGGTCAGAACTGAGTCTGGTACCCAGGGTAGGATAGCAGTAATCTGTTCGCAAACTTGATATCTTGCTTTGGCCAAATCTCGCCCGATTTTGAGCATATCTAACTGATTTTGCACGTTTTAGTGCCATTCTCTCAGAATATGTGGTAAAATTCAAAAAATTCGAAATTCGATTATAAAAATAGATTTTTGGTGGCCCCACACTTCGGTACTCTATTGCTTGTTCTTGACTGCTTAGGCTGCCACAAGGTGAATCTGGACTGATCAAGGAACATCAATGCTCTTAGAGGCAATGCAAAGCCGTGAAAGCCTTTGGAATACGTGACGTGTTTAAAAAAAGGAACATTAAGAAGAATTTGTTTGCGATTACAGAAATTCCAGGGGTATCCACGCACGAATAAAAGTTTCTTCTTCGTTAAAAAGAGCCATTTTTGCAAAAAGAAATTGGCACGAAAAAATTGCCGCGTCAGCAAGCCGAGGCTAATCGAAAAACTCGGCTGGCCAAAACGATTGTCAGAGCAAAAAACTATTGTTAAGGAGAATTTTTGTCTTCAACACCAGCAATTAAAACTTGTCAAAAAAAAATTGTCAAAAAAACTTGTTGCTACACGGGCAAGGAAACTTTTCTAGGAAAATGGAAAGAAAAGATTGCTGGTGTAAATGCGGCTTTGGTCAGGTTAGTTAAATGCACGATTTGGTAGAAGCCGGGGGCTAGGTCCCTAGCTATTTCCCAATAGTTTTCTATTATCTTTAAACAGAATCTTTAAAAAGTAACAACCCTGTAACAACACGATCCTTCCCTTCACACAATATTAATTTCCGATGCCCATCAATAATTCGTTTTTTAACTTTTATGTTTGTTTTAGTCTTCTGGTCTTGGTAGTTGTTTATCTAATTGGAGGTGTGTTAATCAATAAATTCGTTCGACATGAAGAAAATTCAGAACTTTTTCCAAACAAAACGTTTTGGAAGGGCTTTCCAGTTTTGGTAAAGGTAAGTAAATTGTTCAAATGTGTCATGTTACTATGAAAAATTCCAACAATGTATTTATAACCAAAACAACAGGCAATCGAAAAACGCAGAAGATGCACAACCTTTCGATATATTAAATGCTCCTATATGCAATTTTTAGTAAATGCTTCACAAATTGAAACAGGCGCCCGCCCAGAGACCCTGTCTTCTCTTGTCCGATTGATGAGAAAGTTTACTGGTCGGACATTTGACTGTTCTTTTCAATTTTTGGTTTACCTGATAACATGTGTGTGTATCAAAACGATGAAAGGCCATATTTAACTGTTTAAGTTGGCTTTTACAAACAATTCAAGACAAACATTTTAGAAAACATATGGAAATTTTAGGAAATATTATAGGTTTTTAAATACAGACAGTAAAAGACATTTGGGCATAAAATTTTTTATACAATTTTGCACAGTCAAAGACTTTTTCTCATAATTTTCTGTTTTTGCAGGATGGTTGCATTTTTACATTTAGAAAAATTAGAGCTGGCAAGAGTGATTACGAAGCCATTTCATAGCATCAAATCTTTCTCTATCATGAACATTTTTAAATTAGCTGCCTGGAATATTGATTGCACATGTCAGTGCTCTGATTCTAGAACTGTAATTCCAGAAAAATAAATCAGTTTCAAAACTCTAGTCTAATATCTCCGCAAAAGGCGAACAATTTCCTAGATAGGAGTTTAAAGCACTTGCTCTATGTGGATTCTGATCCCATGAAATCACAATTTCATCAAGGTGAAATTTCAGAAGTCATTTGACAGTGGTAGACAGGTATTTTGTACATAGGGGTACACGTGAGGGTATGTTGGGGGTAAGACCTCAATTGCAACCAACTATCGACGCGAATGGGCCGAATTCCCCACATCAGTTGATAATTCGCTTGGAGATAAATTCTTTGCAAAGCGACTTTTCACCAAAATTTGTGTCTCAATCAGTTAGTGGTGACTACCCCTACAATTCCTATAATTTATACCCCTGCATCGTTGAGGAATGTAATTCATAAAATAATTTCAATTTGATTAACTTATCAATCAACCAGAAGCTGTTATCATGGGTTACAGAACAAATGCTTCTTTGTTCTAAGGGACATCCAAAATGCCTTGTAGAGAAAGATCACACCATATGCTTTCTTTTGTAAAATCAAAGGCATTATTTAATTTAGTAAGTGCTTTAAGGTTTACATAGTATTTTTAAAAGATAGTTTTCGAGAAAATCAGACTGTGCAATTTGGTTGAATAAGATGAAACATTTTTTTACAATTTAATATGAAAATTTTTTAGTGAAAAACACAGCTTCAAAAATTTTTTTTACTTCTGCGTCGTTGAAATTCTTTCGCTGCTTCTTCTTCAAACAATCTGGCGGTATCAAGAACATACCAAGCGTAAGAACATACACACTTTTTTATAAGAATAAAGTCTATAAGAATATTGATGCTCAAAATTGCTAAAATTTAAGAATAATGCCAGGCTCAACCTTCATCAAGACGGGGTTGAAATAATGCTTTTGGAATAGGATCGTATTTGTATCATTAGATTTTGCAATTTAATATCACATTTGCTGTTTTGTTTTTCCTTGTTGAAATTTATGATGAAGCAACACATCAAAAAAGATTTAAAATTTTTCTTTGATCTTAAGGCGAATTTACACCTTGTGTTGGGCAAGAATAATTTAAGAATAATCTTAGGCTCAAAATCGAAAATTTTTAAGAATATCGAGGCTCGGCAAAAAATTTGATATTCTTATAAAAAAGTGTGAACGTGGTTTAATGTAGCCTGCTTGCAGCTTCTGAGTAGAGGCTGCACGCTGGCTAGGTTTAATGGGGCTTGACAAAAGATAGAAACTCGGTTCCTTCCGTATTGCCCTACACGCTTCCGGTAAGAGTCTAGGTAGAGTCTCTTCTTGAAAGATAAGAATCTCTCCTCAAAAAGTGAGGGAAAGTCAGTTCCTTAAGCTGGGTTTACATGATGGAATGTTCCTGGCAACTTGTTTCTCAATTGTAACTGAAAGGGGTAGACAATATTTTTGTAGGGCGTGTTACAGACAGCTACGATCAAGACAATTTGCCGCGACGGAGGCCGGGCAACTGTCTTGAGACTGGGGGGAGTCTGCAAAACAAAGGCGCCAAACCTGAGGTTGCAACGCAAGTTGTAAAAACCGGTGTTACACTGTGCAATGACCATGAAATCACCGGCAATCGTTGCATGAAGAAGAACTGAGTTTACTGTTTAGCACTAGCTTTACAAACTCCTCAGAACTAAACCCCTAAGAACTAACCCCCCCCCCAGAACTAAGATCATCAGGCACTCAGCTCAGTTTTCAAGGTTTCAGGTCAATAACGTTACCAGTGAAAATCGTATTAGGGATTCTGCAGTTATAAATTTTATCCATATCACTCCATACAATTATATCTAAGTCATGTTTCAAAAACAGTATGACAATATCATGATAATAAAAATCATTGTTTACTACAATACAAGTCTAGACGCTAACCAGAGCTCATCCTCAGACTATATATAGAAAAGTTCTAATTCAAAGTCCGTTAATACCCAGTTGTTAATCCATGAGTTAGTATAGCAAAACTCAATTCAGAACATCTTGGCGGACCCAGATCGTCATCTACATTGGTAAATTTTAATTATTTTGCAATGGCCATTTCACAAAGGTTGACACTGAGCAGCAACTATAATTATAAGCTTTGATACAAAAAACCTAAACTGATAGTTAGAAGATGCATGAAATACTATTTAACAAAACAATCCAGTTGTTTTGATTTCAAATGATGCGACCAATGGATACGAGTGAGTTGAAATTGCAGCAAACACATTACACGACAAATTAAAGTTGCTACACGACGAAGAAACACAACAGTTAGGGTTTTGGCCATAAAATTTTATCTATCTAATGATTCATTTCTAAACTATTGCCATTTGAAAAACATATCCCAAAATTACAATAAAAGATAACGGTTTTGAAAGGAAAGATAAAAATTGAAATTGGTACAAAAACTAAATGCCAAGGGTCTTCACATTCTACCTTCACAACTTTCAAGAACTCCAACCCATCATTTTTTTATCAAAATAAACATCAGCTTATCCAATATCGGATATCTAATATTCTACCTATTAATTCCATTATATTACGTTTTTAACAAAAAATATCTGTCTTGACAGAATTTATTTTCACAAGCATTAGGTAGGTTTTTCGGAGTATGCATAAACAGATCACAATTAATGCTGGATGCAGCTAAATAAAGAAAAAAAGGTTCTCATTTAACAATGTTTGTAACCACCATATCCTGATGTAACGGAATACTGGTTTTGCATTCCGTTACAATTAATTTCACATTAGATCACACATTAGATAGTAGCCTAAAAAAGTTTCTAGATCATAATGTTTCATACTGTCCACCCTTTCCTCTGATTTTCCGATATGTAAATATGCTACCGTCCTGTAAAATATAAAGAGGCAGGCTTGACAAGAACATCCAAGGATGGGAAGAAGCCTTTAAGATATTGGATGCTCTTTGAATAGTCTTTATTTGGCAGAGTTCTCTTGATAAAAAAAGGATTGCGAAGTCAAGCTAAACTGTCTGTGATTTCCCCATGTTTTTCTGAAAACTTTATCGCTTTTTGTTCATCCATAGCTTAAAGATGTTACAAAAATTTCAAATGTAGATGTAGATGCCTTGTATATTTGTTCTGAAAGTAACAATTCGGCAAAGGCATCGGGTATGTACCGACTTGGATGAATTACGCGCGTTTAATCACAAACTGCCGCGCGACATGCAAACAGGCGTCTTTCTCAGCCTTCAATGTGGAAAAAATACTCGAAGAAAAGTTTGTTATTTGAGTGTGACAATTATCGAATGGCTTTGACAATCAGTGAGCCATAGGTGCGTAGCTAGCGGGGGGTGAAGGGGGGTGTAACCCCCAATTCTTCATGAGTTCGTCGGGAAGTCTTCGTCGGTAAATTTTTCTTTTGATGACCCTCCACCCCCCTAGTCTGGAAGGTCAAGCGACGCCACTGGTGAACCAACACGTTGCTTTTTCATCGTATGATTCTCTCATATTGCACGGCTGGATTGATCAACTTGGCCTAACCCTGTACGAAACAAACGAATTCCGGAAAGCTTTCACTTTGCGTCTGGCCAATTGACCAAAATTTCCAGCCTGCCTCAAAAAAATGAAAAGCCCTCTGTTTTTAAAGACCTCTCTAGCGGCTTTGATTCTTGACGAGACATTTCCACCACTAAGCTTTTATTGAACGGTAAAAACGCATAGACAAAAACCTTCAAAATAAGATATTTAAGTTTAAATAGAAATAAACGTACCTTAACAAGGCCTGGAAACTTTAGCCAGAAAATTCTTTGAGGTATTACATCTGACCCTTCTTTGTGGAATGCGAATTTGTTTAGCAGCGTTCCGATCACCAAATATGCCAATAGTAAAGAAAAAAACCTTCAGAATGAAAAAATTAAGAGTTTAAAAACATTCCATGCAAAAGCAATACTGCATAAATTTTTCATTTACTTAAATTTTAACAACAAAATAAATTTTAGGACTATATAATGAAATGAAGTATTTATATCACTACCCCTTTTTTAAATTTGCCAAAAGTTCGAACTAGCAAAGCCGGCTTTTCTAAGAGGACAGACAAAACATAGAGATCGAATAGTAAAGGCTTTGTTTGGGGATTTTCCAGGGACCCGAAAATTTTGTTCGAAGAAGTAAAAGTTCGAAGTAGACGAGATCGAGTTAGAGAGAGTTGATTGCATTGGGAATTTGTGTGAAAAATGTTTTAAGCTCACAAAATATGTGTTCACGTTGTGTAAATTTCAAGGAATGTCACTGTCTCTTTCAGAGTCCTCGTCTTTATGACATGAAATCTTTCATACCTTTTGAGCATATAAACTATTCGTTATTTCTTGTTTGGTCTCTTTCTAATGAATGCGGTTTTCAAGATGCGGTGTTTAAAAGAGGGGGGTGTTTATTACAAATGGTTGGCTGTAAGTGAGGCGTTTAATAGAGGGTGGCGTTCGTAGAGGAAATACGGTACATCTTGAAGATTCCATCAAAAATACCTCTTCAAAAATCGTAAGATACTGTTAAAGAAAATAATGAAGAGCAATTTTCGAAAGCTTTTCTAAAGATGGGAGCAGTGAGAGAAAATTAGAGAAAGCTAATCACTTTTCACAAGCAATGAAGAAGATGATGTTATCTATTAAAATTAAACGTATTTTAGATTTGCTCTTAGGTTTTGGCTTCATTTCCTTATCGATTGGTATAATAATAGCATTGGTGATACAATATTTTCCTGAAAAGTGTCACCTATTACAATCACCAAGACACGCTGAAGATGAACTTCAGTTTAGACAAAAAGTCTTCTTCTTGCAAACTGAAGTTGATTCGACAAGCCCAGTTTACATTCAAACTCTGCTTGACAGAGAAATGAAAAAAAGATCTAATTTTGCAAAAATTGATTCATCTTATAAAATGCCTATATACTCACACTATACATAAAATTGAACCAGTGCTTAGAACGCTGGAAGGGCAGGCATATTTTGATGTCAACGTTGCTTCCTGAAATTGAAATTAGTCTCAGTAATGCTTAGTCGTCAAAAGGCAACGAGGAAATAGAATGTTTCTGGTGTTTGGTCGAAAGTAAGCCTCTCTAATATCATTTTTCGTATTCCTCCGGGCATCAAATTCCACTTAAAAGATTAAGGCTTTCCACAATTAGGCTCCATAAAGATTGCCAAAGACAGTAATGCAGATTAAGATAACCAAAAACACCAAAAGAAAATATGCTGAAGAATCTTTTAGCTTTGTTGAATTTAAATAAGGCAGATTTAACTCAGTCAACTGGCATTTGCGATATTCTTGTTGACAGCTTCATATATTCTAAAACTTTTAAGTATAAACTTCTACGGATAAGCTATGCAACACTTCACCCATAAACTCTCAATTCCTTCCAAAAACAAAAAGACAGTTTTCTCGACAAATCCATAACAAAATAATTTTTTCGTAGATATACTCATAGTTTCTTCGTATGTGAAGACAGCAAACAACTGTTTAGACAAACATGCAAACCCATTATAATCAAAGTATATGGCATCAATGCAAGCAAAACAGCTGTCTGGATAACAAAAACTAGTGATACATTCAGCTTTTCTTGCTGCTAACTTTCTTTACACAATGTTGATTTTTGTAAGTTTCTTACTTTAATCAGAACTTTAAGGGCTGTATAAACAGTGGTGGACACCCAGGGGGCAGGTGCAGGCAGTCCCCCCCTAATATTTTGGAAGTCAATGGCCTTTTGTTCTAAAAATGGGAGAATGTAACGCCAACTTATCTAAACAATAGGCTTGCCCCCACCAAATATTTGACCAAGTGTCTGCCCCTTTGTTTTAACGTTGCAGTTGTGCTGTAATTCTGAGAACAAGCATCATAACAAAAGAGTTAAATACTTGGAATATACATACGTATGTGAACGCTTCAGTGTATTGAAAAGACGTGAGGCTTGGACTATCGGCCTTCTTATCACAATTCAGCACGAGAATGGTTTTACTAGAAGGTTAGAGAAACATTGAATAGAAAAAAGTTTTCCTTCTGGGGAAGAAAAATGGCCCTAAATTCTTAAAAATTCTGCTATTTTAACAACATGGTAAATAATATTGCTCTAACTTTTGCCAGCATAAATTCTCAGGTGGTGTTGTCTCCTATACCTTTTCTTTCTACTTGAATTGAGAGTTTTCTTAAAGATTTGATGGGAGGATAAACTAACTTTGAACTCTGCCCTGAAAAACAAAAACCCGGAGAAGACAAGCCATTGCCAACATGATGTTGAAATGAAGGAAATTTTGATGAGCCAACAGAAATTCTCCAGAAAAAGTTCATAACTTAATCCAAATTTCATAAATTCCACATTAAGCACCTCTCCTAACCTAGAAAAATGTAAGGGAATAATACGGTTTGAGAGAACACACATTGTATTTACACACGTACATTTTGAAAAACACATGTTAATTTTGGTAGGTTACGTTAGAAGTTCAACAGTTTTACTGAAACTTGTGACATGAACTGTTCTACTGTAAAATTAAAAATGAGTACAGCTTTAATAAAAGAGAGAAAATGCTTACTATCTAAGGTTTTGACTACCAGTCGATCCACCAGTGTAAACAAAGGTATATTTGTCTTTTCTACTGTCGTACTTGCTGGCTGTGGAGTTTGGGTAGGCCAAAGCAATTGGGGTGGCTCCAATCAAGCCGCTTTGACAGGCCTATCATGCAAAAAAAATGTTAGGAGGTATCAGATCAACAATTAAACAAAGTCGATGGCCTACTACTGAGAATTCTTCCGAAATCCCTTGTGAAACAAGCATGACGAGCTTTTTTCTTCAGGGGATAGCAGATAAAAATATGGCAGGAAAAGCACAATTGGTCCTGAGCTAGCAGGGGATGGGAGCTCGTGCCAACAGAGAACTTTAGACTGACTGTGGACAACAAATCTCGCAAGGGACGTGGAGAAATGTAAAAAATATCCAGATCATCCGATTTTTCGAAAGGGGACTCCCAAGTCGTGATATTTCTCACAAGCGACAGTATCAACCATGATGGATGTTTCAGAAGATATAAAGCCCAGATTAGGATTCCTTGCCGAGTTCCTATGTTATCAATTTCAACAAGCCAATATCAAAGTTCAAGCCGAATATATTTGCCCTATTGAACGCCACAATTAAACAGACATCAAAAGTAATGGTGGAATGAAAACTTGTATGTGTTTAAAACTCACGAGGAAAATTTAATCTCCAGGCCTAAATATTTTGTAGAAAAAAAATGATATAAAAAACGCCACCTTTTTTGCATTTTCTTCACAAAACATGCGTGGGTCTGCTTCCGGATTTACACCCAACCAATCAAAGGGGAAGGGTTAGCAGAAAAAGCATCTCTGCTCTCTTTCGTTTGATTGCTAAAAAATTTGACCAATCAAACGTCATAGGTTCAACAGATTACCCACTTTTTGCTGTTGATATTCAAACTTCACAATCATTTAACGTATCTTAAGGCCTCTGAAGACTAGTTGGCAAAAAGTTTAAACGAAAAGTTTTGTAGGCTCACCATGAAAATTAGTACAGTGAAGTAAGTGAAGTTTTTTAAATATTTTTCCAACGCTTGGGATACTTACATACTATAAATTGCTTTTATTTTTTGAACAATCCATTAAGTCGTGGAAATTTCGTTATAAATGCATTGGTATTGCCAATGGAATCCCTTTCTTGGATCCCACTACTGAACTGAACGCTTTGTAACAAATTCTAAAGCCGTATATTTCTACTACACTATATTTAATTCAAAATTTCACAAACTACTTTTTACAAACTTTAATAGCTCAGTTCCATGACAGCCCAATAACGTAAATCGGCGAGGAAACTTTTCAGATTACATCGCCAAGTCACGATTGTTCAGAGGCCTATGTATAGTTATGTCGGTATATTTTGGAAGTTAGGTGACTACATAGAATTGGCTTGTTCTTACCAACACATTAACACATTGCCCACTGGGTTTGTCTGCACTGAACGGTGTACAAGGGTTGTATTTAAATGTGGCTCCCGTCGTAGCTGAAATGACAGTGAACCTGCAAACAGAAAATATTGCTAAAATTAAAATTAAAAAAAGTTAAAAATTTAAAAATTAAAAAAGTCTCCACTTCTACAGTACGTCTTAGTATCTCTCCGTTTCCAGATCATTCCACTTTCGTACTTTTTGAACCGTTCACATCGGGGGTGCCGTCCTAAAAAAAATAGGAAAGGGGCTGTGTTGTAAGCAAATTCAAGAGGCCATACCAATGACCACACCCTTACTACACCCAATATTCCTGTATTTGTGTCAAAGACTCTCCGTTGTGTGTTGGAATCATTCAAATGCTTCGATGAAACAAAAAGACTGATAAGAAATTGCTCATTTATGAGAAATTGCTAGTGAACTAATCCGTATTTGTGCACTCTAGTCTGAAACGAAAATGAATGTGCTCGAATTACTCAATTTTCACCCGTTTTCATATCCTTTGTTGGGACTCGTTTTGAAACTAAAAACGACTTATTATGACTCCGTTTTCGAATGAAACAGTTTTCGCTGTTCCCATTAAAAAGATTCGTTTTCAAATGACTCTGCTTTCGAATCCACTTCAAGCATCATTCTAGAATATCTCCGGTTGGGTATTAGATAAATCTGTTCTTGAGTGTATAATTGGGAAGGAAGAATAGAAAAAAGGAATCAAAGAGTTTCGTTTTCATACAAAAACGAAGTAATGAGAGGTAGTGTTGCCACATGGATCTTCCTGCAAGCAAAATATACGTTTCAGATTTAGAAACAAATTGCTTGGAAAATGTGTTTTAGGCCTACATCTTAAACTTGGACAATTTTGGATGCAGAAGAAATTTTTAAGACATTTCTTTGATAAATTTAAAAGCCAAAGAGCAATAATAATACATAGTGTAAATCCTTATCTAACGATTAGCAAAGGAATTTTTTGGAAATAGGAAGTTTCTCTATTTTTACTTTGCGTTAGGGAAGGTGCGGGTGGAAATATATACTACGCTACGTATTCTGGCCGGAGTAAGTTACCCGTCTGCCCTTCTTTTGTAAATTCCATATTTTTGTAAATTTTGTAAATTTTAATGAAAATGTATTGCTAATTAACAGACTAGTAATATGTAATAAGTAATTGGTGTCGCAATGATCGACTGATGATCGTCCGATGCAAGGTTAGCTGCAGAAAATACTGCGAACTCCAATAAATATAAAAAGACCTTACTTATCTTTCATTTGGGTGCTTTAGTTAGAAGTATAGAGAGAAGCTTTCATCTATAAACTGGGAGATTTCATAAGCTATTCACAAATTGCCGTTAAAAGGACACGTACAATTGATATGCAAAAAGGCCAGCAAAAAGCTACATGCCTTATCCCGAATTTCCAACTACAAGAAAAACAGACCGTGCATGTCTTTATTTTATCACAATTCAGCTACTGTCCTTGAATTTGGATGTTTTGTGATCGACAGATAAACAACAGAATAAATAGAATTCATGAAAAGTCTTTGCGTCTTGCCTATGAAGACTATGAATCGAACTTTCAAACTCTTTTCGACAAAACAACTCGACGTCTATCCATGATAAAAATCGGCAGTTGCTTCTTACAGAAATATAAAAAACTTTACATAATCTCAACCCAAGTTTTATGAAAGAAATCTTTACTGAAAGAAATTCATGCTATAATCTTAGATACATATCCTGAATATCGCTATCAAAACCAAAAACAAATTGTTATGGTATAGAAAGTGCAACCTATATGGGATCCAAGCTCTGGCAAGAGCTTACAAATGACATCAAAACATCTTCTCGCCTCGCAACATTTAAGAAAAAGATTAAAACTTGGAAAGATGCAAAGTGCAACTGCCAAATATGCAAACCTTACGTTGCATAGATTGGATTCTTAAAATGGTTATCAAATAATTGTATATTTTTATCTAATGTGTAATTTTATTGTAAATTATTATCATCGCTGTATTTTGTACATTTCGTATAATATTTCATCCATTCATTGTAAAAAAAATTCTAGATTTGTAAATTTAGTGTAAATTGTAGGCTTTAATTAGCTGTTATATTACCTATGTTAATTTGCCCTAGGTTAGTTAAATAATGCTATAAACTTGAGCATCCCCCCCCCACTTTGAATTTCTTGGCACCGTCCCTGTTAACATGAGACATGCATTGCATGACTACAGATGCAGGGGATGAAAAACTCTCCCCACAGCTTTAAATTGGAGCACACATCACCCCATCCCTAAAAATACTGCTGGTATTGGCTCTAAAAATCAGTTATCTGTCATCAAGGATTGTACACATCTTAAGAATTTATGAATTTTCATACTTTTTAGAAAGATTTTATTGTTTTCTTACAAGATTAGGTCACAGATTAAATATGCTCTACCTTGACAGTGGGGTACTGATTTAACAAAAGCTTTTATAGAACAAAACTTCCCACTGTAATGAGCCAAGCATCTGGTCCCTTAGGTGGGCTAGATGGTAAAGGTCACAGTTTGTAACTGAAAATGTACATGATTTACTTTCGGATTATTTACAATTACCTTTAAGGGACGCCAGAGCACGTGGGGGGCCCTAGAAAAGTGGGGGGCTCCTTACATAGTTCACTGCCATTATCTTTGATGCCACAACCTTGATATCATACTTTGGCAAAAAGTGGGGGCTATGCCCCCTAGCTCCCCCCAGCTCCAGCATGCCTGCTTTTTCCTCTTTGTTTTACTCACAATCTAAAATGACTAATACATAAGCAGATTCACTGGAGCCAGCTATAGCAACCCATTTATCATTTTGGCCATATGTCATATACAACATATCATATATAAAAAGTAAACTCAACTTCAGGTGGGGACACTTAAAAGGGGTACCCCACTTTTGTCAATGGCAACTTAATTAGAAATATAAATATCTACTGTGTAAGAATAGGTCACATTTTTCATTTCTGCTTTCGAAAACAGGTACAATATTAATAAAATAAATCCGTCTTGAGTTTTTTAATACAGAAAGGCTGTGGTGTATTCCTTAATGTATATGAAAGAATGCCCAACTTCAAACTTTGTTCATGGGATTTGCCGAAACTGAGCCCTAACCTCTCCTTTCTTCATGCTGGTACTGCTGCTAACTGCTTCTGTTTTATATAAAGCCATCAGCATAGCATAACAGCTGATGTTTTAAAATAAAACTGAACTGAACTGAAAACAGCACTTTTTGATTTTTCAGCTACTGGGCATTAAAAGCGTTCCAACTGCCTCAGGAAGAAACTAAAAATCTATTTCTAGTTTAAGAGTGGAAATAAAATAGGGTTGTTTCAGTTCCTTCTTTAGTTTATGGAGTCCAAAGTTATCTTCGAAAAATTGTGTTACTTCACAAATGGCAGAATTACATTTTGGTGTTCTACAGGGATCTTTTCATTGACCTTTCCTATTAATAATTTGTATCAACGAGTTTCCGTTTGGTCAGAAAGCTGCCAGGTGAACAGGATCTCTTCTTTTACAAAGAGTATTAACGACTTGAACAGGACCCCAAGAAAGCGCTTTTTCTTTGAGGAAAATCTTCAAACATTCTTCTGTCTAGTCTTAACAAAATTCATTCTTTGAGAAAATTGGGCATATCTATGTGGTACTTTTTCCTTAGCTAGATCACAAGTACAGTACAAGATAAAAGTGTTCTCGATTGTAGGCACAAAGCTAGATTAAAGGCTTTATTTCCATTGATCTATACAATTGTTTTGGGTTTGATTTAGCTTTGATAATTTTAGAGCAACATCACAAAACCGCTTGAATATTCTATGTGTTTTGATTTAAGTGTGGAATTTGGTTACCACAGGAACATATTTCAATTTAATATTAAACCTACATTTGTTTTTAAAATTTATATTCACCCCATCAGTTTTAATGAATCTTCACTAAGCAGTCTTGCAGCTTACACAACACATGTTGTTGAAACTTTGACTGCAGGAATTGATATAAAATACATCAGATGGGTGGTCTCAGGTTAAAAATTACACTTGAATAGGGGGAGGGGGTTCAGTCAAAAAAGTAACCTGTGCACCACTATCCTAAATATATATGAGTACCCCCCTGGGTTTGATAGTCAGAAAACCAGGGGCAGATTCTAAGCAAATTTGAAGGAGGTGGTAGTTGGGGGGGGCTGAAAAATTTTCAGAAATTGGTGACGAGAGTACAATGTCTATAACAATTTCGGACCCTAACTACTGACACAATGCTCTCTATTCCATTTTAAAGAAAAATTTCACAATAATTGTGCCAAACCAAATCCAAAAAGGGGTGCCTCTTGATTTTGTCAAGCTGATAGATCATTACATTCACTATCACCAAGATACATGTACTACAAAATGGAAAATATTTTGTGTATAGAGGTTGATAAAAAACTTATCTGAAAAAAGTGTCTCTCAAAAGTTTAAATCTGTTTATCCAGTTTTTGAAGTGTTGATACACTGCTCTCCGAAAAATGGAAAAAAATTCATTTCCAATTCCTTTTAGATACCTATATTTGGTTTATCGCATGATCTGCTTCAACATTCTTCAATAAACGTAGGGCCTAAAAACTGCCCCTTACCTTGGCGAACCCTTTCTGTCGATGGGTCTCAGTGATATCTTCCTACCATCGTCAAACCTGCATGAGCATGGGTCAGTTACTTTGCATTGTTCTTGTGCAAAAACAAATGCATTTCCAATCATTACTGCAAAACAACATTGCGCACAAATGTTGGATGCTGATAACCACATGTTGATTACCAAGTTGGGAGAACGCGTTGTTCAGTCTCTACTGAAATATGATCCCAGTCTTGCCCGGCCTCACATGACTAAATCAAGATTTGGATACATATACCAGGAAGCGATACTAGTGGATACCTTCAAAATGCTGGAAATTGTGAATTGTGCAAAATTGGTTATTCTAGTAAGGAGACTTGTTATGTTCTGGTTCAAGCCCCACAACAACACCTATTCGCGTCGTACAGTTTTCGCGCGCAAATGAAGGGACTGTATAGAAACAATCCAAAATCATCAGTAGATACGTGCCTCTGAGGATTTTGCTCAAGGTTACTTTGCTTACGTGCTCCATTGAATGCAACTCACCTTCGGGGTTTGCCGGGGGCTAAGTCAAAGGGGAGCAGAGGAGAGGGGAACAAAGCCATGGCCAAGTAAGGATAACCACAGGCACCGCGGAGCGTTGAGAAAAGTGGGGGGGGTCTAAAAAAAGTGGGGAGGTAAAACCGTAAAAAAGAGGCTTTCTGGTAGTTTGATACTTAATAATTGGCATTTTTTGCAAAAAGTGGGGCTAAAGCCCCCCAGCCCCCCCCCCTGTTCCGCGGTGCCTGTAACCAAACTGGTTCTTCTATATAGCCTATCCACTCTAAATTTCAAGGCCGAAAAAATCCCCTGCTTGGCCAATAAAAGTTTTCAAGAATGAATTATATCATCTCTATTGTTGAAAAATATTGTCAATTTTTTTTATGTGATGTGTAGGCTGCCATTAAAAAATTAAAATCTCTTCTAACATATGCAGACCTTGTTTTTTCTTCTTTTCACCCATTCATATGAAATGTGATGACAAGCAACTACAAGCTTACATTTTGTGCACAAATTGAAGAACAAGAGCATATATTGGTTGCCATACGAAATAGTAAGCTGTGCTGGAATGAGTGTCGTAACGCAGAATGTCCCCGACCAAAAGCGGCCCTCCAAATTCGATAAAGCGTACCTCACTTCCAGAAACTTGTGAAGCTTCTTTAACTCAGCTTTCCCTAGTTCGCGAAAAAAAATTATCATTTTTAAATCTAGCTATTGTGTTTCACATGCTATACAGCGTTGGATAGGACTTTCTTGCATTCCGGTAATATGGGGGCCCGTCTCGTTTTTCCTTTTTCCAGATGCCTCCGTTGCACCACTGGGTTGGACCTAAGTAATTTAATTCGAGAGGTGGTTGTTCGAGTGCCAAAAGAACAAGCTTCCCTTTTATTCTTTAAAGCCAATACAAAGAGTCCTAGAAGGGAACCTTGTGCAAGGTCATGTAAATGTCCTAAATCTTAGTTCAATTGAAGTTTTTCGGCGTTTACATTTTTCACCTAGCTTCATGAAAAGTAACACGATATATTTTCTGAATAAGGGCATATGTAAGACAAATTTTTAGTTTAATTCTGACACAAAGTTCAGAAACTGTTGCATAGTTGTAAAGAGTAAAGATGTATTTGGTGGGCAGGTATGACAATAAATTTTGATCTTTCAGGGTTTAAAATCTCGTGATATGCTCGATAGCCAACAATTGGCTTGTACACGCTTCATCACTTATCACTCAAGAAAGCTATTCATTCACGAAAGCCTGACGTTTTGGTTTGCTGATTAAATTTCAGAGGAAAAGCGAAGAATAACAAACCCGATCAATTTATCAAAGGTTAGTCTTCTTTTTCTTCTCTTCCTCTATTTTTATGCAGAATTATCTGTTCAATTAGGTTGTCCACGACTAATACCTTGAATTTTGTTTGTTTATCAAAACTTGTCACAGATAACTTGTTACTGGAACAAGGAATAGCTTTCAATATGACTTAGCAACAAAGAAAGCCTCTTTTGAGCATGCTCTGTCCTCCACATTTTACGTGGCATTATATAAACTACTGCAAAATATTCAGCAAAATCAGTTATATATCAAAGACTTTTGCACTGAAGATAAAAGACTCAAATTTACATGTTATAAGCTTATCACGACACAAAATTTTTTGAAATGTTGTGAACCCTTTTTCTTGAATAAATTTTCTCTCAGAGCTCACAGAAAATCTCCACGACATTTAGTTTCATTTTATGAATGAAACACAAAATGATTACATTTTGATTCGTGGTTATCTTTGTACTCAAAACTACACTTTGTTCCTTCCCTCCCTTCTTCTTTCTCGTCAACTCCCAACCCCTTGCAAAATGGGAACTGGGGCGAGATCCCTAATACTTATCATAGCCATTTTACCACCCTTGCCATTACCAAAAATCCTTAATTCACCCTCGAAGTAAGACTTTGAATTTAATCCCCGACCTTCGAATATAAGCCCTCACCTCATAATTAGCCTCAACCCTGGGATGCCACTGTTACAGAGCATTGTGACGTAAAATCTACGATATATCGCATATTCAACAGAAAATGAAAAACTACACAAATGATAAATTTTCACATAAAATACCCTATATATTTGAAACATTATCCTCTAGAGTCTAAGAGCTTTAAAGAGTAAATCTGTTATTGTCAACGCCGATTCACAGAATTTATTCGTTTCTCAAAGTAAACATGAAAAAAGTGAAAAGCTTTTAATGCAATCTAGTTGTTTGGCAAAATTTAGATTTCTTTTAAAAGCCCCCACACTTCTTAAAACTCTCCCTCCTACAAAGTTGTCCCTATGCCTATCAATAAACAGTGCTAAACACCCCCCCCCCCATAATTATTAGCTCTCGGAGGGGGCATATTGCCTCGTAATGGTTCGTAAGCCTCTTACTCAAAAATGCAATTCAACTTTTTAACTTCTATATTTATGGGAGTATGGTCGGTGAGAAAGAGTTGCGCGTTTTTCACGGTATTTTTTATTTAAATGTGGATGGATTGACCTAATTTGTTTTGAATAACATCATCTAAGGCTTAACCATTTTTTGCAATTTTATCACCGATTTTAAAGAAGGAAGCCCCCAAAAAACATGCAGCAATTCAAGGAAGGAGGAGAGGGTACATTTCCTGGTAAAATCTTTGCCTTTCGCTACGCAGGAAACCTGAAGAGACGGATTGGGTACACAGCCATAGGAATTTATTCATGCACGATTTTAGCCATGATGGCAGGAATTGGGCTAGAGTATTATATAAAGCAAGAAAACAACAAAAAAGCAACAAGTATCACTATGAAAGCCCAATTTAAAGACAGCAGCAAAGACAAGGACGATTTATAGCAATTACCATTTTACTGAGAAGTGTGTGCCTGTTGTTTCTTAATGTTTGACTTCAAGTATAGTTTTCTGGTATTGCAGTGTTCCGGTATTCATCAGCTAGACCTGAATGTAAAAACTATCTTGCAACGGTAAACTTGCAGTGATCCTTCTCCTGAACATTCCTTGGACTGGCCTGAAATTGTCTGACATTTGTTGCACTTGAAAATCTGAGTCCTTTGTTTGCTTTAAAGACCTGAATGACTCAAGCTGATGGAAGAAGATTTATTTATTTAAATCATGAGAGCACATTAATAATTGCAAATTTGCAACTTATTTTTAACCTCAAGCCTTAATAAGAATATTTCATAATGTATTTTCATGGTCTCTTTTAAGTTTTTTAATATCTCTGCAAGTTTTTACAACAAAAAAGCAAATCACGTACCTGACCTGCTGATATTTTTATTGGGTTATTCAAAATAGTCCAACTAACACATTCATTACACGGCGGTGATGTTAGTGAGCCAGTGTATTTGTAATATTTTTGTGTGTCATTTGGAAACAAAAATGCCAATGAAAATCCTGGTATGTCAGATTCTTGTCCTGGTAAAAAAAACAGGAGCAGAATTAATGAAAATTATTGTTACCAGGTCAATTACACAGTTCTTATTGCTGTAGACAGAGCTGTTTATATCTGTAAAGAAAAATAATGTTCTAAGTTGCTAATTCAGGTTCCCCAATCAAATGCTTTTCAGGTATCTAATCTTGTGATTTCATTGAGTGTGAAACTACAGACCAAAGCTAGCTCAACATCACATGGTTATCTCGATTGTAATTATCTATATCTATACAGCGTTAAAGTACATGGCACAAATTTCTTAAAAAGGTGCTTTCTTGTGGGGGATGCTTTTGGCTCAATACAAAAGGATTGGGGTAAAGCATGCTCTACCCAACTTTTTCCACCAATTCTTACAGTTGGTGCTTTTGACACTATTTTTTAAAGGGAAAAATCAAAGTAAGCTTTGAAATGATACCTTACTGAAACACTTACCAAATGATTACTTATTGCTATTCATTTTACGTGAAGGTAGATAAGATTGGAGTTATATTTATTCTTGATACCAATAAATGATCCAAATTCAAGAAAATCTGAGAGGTTGAGGTACAAGACAGCATTCGAGTGTGATAATTTCATATGGAATGACCCAAAAGCTAATTGTATAGTTTAGTAACAGTACCTGCAAACTGTACATTTTTCAAGTGGTTTATGATGTTTTTTAATCCGTCATGTTCTTCTTCTCCTACCTTTGTTGATGAGAAAGACATGTTTGATTGCAATATAAATGATTGAATGCTAGAATGACAAAGTGCTCAAGAAAAAAGGTTGCAGTCTTAATTGATCCTTAAGGAAGGAGTTAAGGGATAATTTTTCTAAAAGTTCAAACACAAAAGCAATCTTTTGACATTTTCTGACATATTTGCTGCTTTAGAAGGAGCTGTAGTCTCCCCTAGCCACTGCACTCCTACTAACTTTTGTTGGCTACCATTTAGAAAATGTATCATCCCTCTCACTGCCTTAGGTTGATATTTTGCCTAAGTATCTGGCAGTCATTATGAGAGGTCACCAGACAGGGCCTGAGTGGCAGTTACCTAGCAGTTCATTTTTGATGAAATATTGGCACTAAAAATTATCACACCCTGTAATTGAGGTCATGCAAATCTTTTTCATACAGGTTTTTTATTTCTTTTATCATGAAAATTGATGAAAACAAGTAAACATTATCTGATTGTTCTTTGATTATCAAACTTCAGAAATTTTCAGCCATCAGCAATTATTGTAAGGGAGTCTATTTAGCTTGAGTAAAAAAGACAACATAAAACGGCTATCACCATTGCTTGCACAACATTGGGGTGACAATGACAGATTAAAGTAATGAAGATTAAAAAAGCAATTTCACCTCTACAAAAACTGCAAGAGCTTTAATTCCATCCAATTTATAAAGAACATCTTCATTTTCACTATATTTTATGTTTTTGTGCATGATCTGTATCTGGGAAATAAGAGCTATATGGCAGCAAACTTAAAGCATGTTGTTATGCGTTCATTATTCAATCTTTGCTAGTAGTTATTACACTCAATAAGAACAAAGAATTCACTTCAGCTATGTGACACCCGATGGCGAAAAAGAAATTACGAAAGCTACATCATTTACAATCCTGGGTCAGTAGGGACAACCTGAGTTGGACTGAAGTGGACATATTCACCCTACTTTTCCCACAGGTTGATTTTCCAAATTTTGGAATCACTTAAAAAACCTTTGAGGAGTATGCATTGACAACAATATTAAATTGAAGTTCTACAAGTTTTTTTCAAGAACCCTTATATTCATCATAGTTACTTATACTCAGGCTTTTTCGTACACCATCATACTATGATATGGTTAAAAAAATAAAGTGATACTAATTAATGAGCAATCATGGTAGGGTTTAGGGTTTTGTGATGATGCTTGATTGTGAGAGGGGGAGGGGGGGTGAAAACGTATGGGGTAATATGTTGAATGATTTCATAGGAACGCTGATTGACGATGTTCCTATATTTAATTTCGCTTTTGTTGTTGCGAATGCTGTCGTTTTTATATCTGATTTAACGTGCAGAAAACACGGAGCCAGCAAGAGACGATGTTGCATAACCTTTGCATCTTGATGAATTTACTGACTAATTACAATTTAGGGCGTATACACATAAAACGAGGGGACGCTACAAATGTGTTGTTTATTACGTTACGTGGATACGAAGACAATGGAAAGTGTTAATGACAGTGACACAATGGAGGACATGATTACGTTTAGACAATGGTCACTACAATCTCATAATTGATATAGCGCCAAGATGTACTTACCTCCATAGGAAATGCCTTCTGGTCAAGCAAGTGTTCAGATCCTCGGTCATCAGCGCTCCCCCAGTGAAATACGATTGAAGTAGCTTCATAACAATTGCCATCCTCGATCATATGCATATCCCCATGCAAATCTACCTTAAAGAAAAGATCCTGGGTCACTTGAAATTTACAAAGTTTAGTAAAGTTCAACAATTTTAAATCGTAACCAAGTACTGTGAAACCCCAGTCACCTCCATCTACGTGAGCTCGACATACGTCTTTCCCTCAATTAGGCTTCGAATACTATAAACATACAATGAGAAACTATTAACTTGCAATATGATAAACCCTAATCACAGCAAAGCATACTTACGTGCGCGAAATTGAAACATCTTTGACTACCAACATCAAAGTAACAGCTTCTTTAGCTTTCGTTAGATTTATACTTCAGATAAAATATTCCTGTCGTTAAATCTGGTGCAAAAAGTCAAAAAGCTACCTAAAAGCAGCATGAGAAACAATTTTTACAGCAGAGCTCTAATTGCATTCTTGATTAACTATGATATCTTTAATGTGACAAACCTTCAATGTATATCCTGTATTCCTTAGTCGAAAGTTGACGGTCTTGCCATTACAGTGGTAACCAGAAAACTTTAAATCCTCAAGAGATGGGTCGTATATGACGTCATGAGTGTCTATATTGATTGGGCTTTGATTTTCTCCAGCTGCAACTGGAAAATTCTTGTGCCAGTTTTCAGGACCTAGAATTGCAAGTAAATTCTATTCTAGTGGTAACGATATCTTAAAGTTTAATTCACAAAGTGGAAATGGAAAGTGCAAAGATTTTTCTATAATATGCATATACATACCAAGATCTCCACTGTAAGACCAATCTGCAATTGAAAAAAGTTGATGTTTTATTTTCTCATTCATAGCAACAATGTGTCAAGGTAAAATGTCAATTCAAATGCAAGAAACTAATACCAAAATATATATGTATTCTATGGCGATCAATAACAATTATTAAGATTTTCGTATCATTTTAGTCTTTGTTGCCAAGGGGTGGGCGGCGCATTTTCAAAGTAAAAGGGGCCAGCACAATGAAGCTACCCTTACCACAACGCCCAGCCTTTGGGCCCATTTAACCAATTGCTAGCGTAAAGTTGTCGTATTAAATGCAATAAAAATACACATTTATAACGGGGGAAAATGTTTCGGAAAAAATAAGACACGCATCTTTGATTTAAAGGATAAACATCAATTACTACGATGGTTTATCAATATAAGGTATCAATATAAGGTTTATCTAATATAGGAAGAAAGCAGCCTCATCCTGACAGCCAAAAAATCGTCAATTTATTCGATACCATGAGTTGGTGCCTTTTTGGTGAAGAAAAGGTACAATGGTTAGAATTGCTTACCAGACCCTAGGCTCAGACTTTTGCGTCTCCGTCTTTCCATTCTGCTAAACATGCGAAGGAAAACCTGCCTCAAATAGGAGCTCATCGAAATCAAATGCACGACAGCATGCAACATGGGTGCAAGTTACAACGTCAAGTATGGGGTCACCATCATGTCTGGCACAGAACTGGCACTTAACAACAAGAGTCACATTTATATTCCGGATAACTGTACTGTACGAATGCTAGGTTGCTGCATTGACAATCGTTGCGATCATCGAATTTGGTTAATGGGAATACGAATCAACGAAGCACGCGTTCGAATGCACTTGCTCAGAATAAAACAGTTAGCGGCCGCGACCGTAGTGAATTGAACAGCCATAAGCAGTTGCATATGGACACGTCGGCTGAGAGTAGTTTGTTAAAGCTATGCTTGAGATTGGTCTAAACAAATCGGCGTGACTGCATATAGGAAATAATAGCCTTATGGCAGTTTCAAGAAACGATTGGATATTTTGATAATACAGCAATGGCAGATAAATTGTGGATTGCTTGGGAGAATGAAGTCATGTCATATAAAGGAAGGAAAAGTTCAAAATGGTGGCACCAGAGTGTTTTTACTTTAGATGATGAAAAGGTAAGTATTGATTGGTCGAAGCAAAATGAATGCAGCACATCGTCTTTCGTATTGAATAACCTTGATCTTCAATCTTCAATTGTTAACTCCCAAAGGCTTTGCAACCAATCTGGAGCATTTACTCAAGGAGCATTAAAAAAAAGGAAAATTAACTCAGGAGTAGGATTAATATCATTTCCACCCAGCACTCCAGTTAGTTTGATAAATAAGAAATGACCATAGTAACAAACCGTTACTCGACCAGTGTTGGACAGTTTAAATATTCGCACACCTCATTTCCCTTGCAAAGTTTTCGGACATCTGTCTGTTGCAAAGTTTTGGTCGTTTATTGATGTTCCTAAGGTAGCTCCTCAGCCTGCTTGATTGGGAATTACCTACGTCTAAATCATCTTGCACTGTCTTTAAACACATGGTCATCAATAAAGCTTAAGCAGAAATGTATCCTTTTGAATTGAATCCATGATTTCACTTTAGATTCGTATATAACGAGTCTTTCATTGTCACTGTGAGATGTTCGTACGGTTTGTACATAGACGACCTCTTAACGTAAGTTTATCAGGACAAACAGTAAAAAATCTTGTAAGAGCCTTGCTTTGATAACTTTCGCCCTGAAAGATTTCCCCCTTACATTTTATAAATTTCACGTCGTTTTAAAATTAATATCACAACCCATAATAGCGTCATGAAAACTTAAATATAACCTAAACTCTGGTCCTTTATTCGAATCTAAATTCAAAAATTTAGTACAGAAAAGTTTTCTAAACGAGGCCTAATGGCGCTTTGTCAACCACAACCAAGTTTACTGAATAAAGTAAGTTATGCACACGGATCCTGCCATTCTTTAAAAAATAAAGCAATTTAAGTCTTTCCTTCCTCGGGTAAAGACGCTTCGGACAAAAATTTAATGCTTTTATGTAGCCAGGCCTCAGATCATACTGTTTCAGCGGGAAATATTTCGGTAGCTGCAGGGTATTTTTTTAAGACGAATTTTCTCAAATCACTGATGGAAAAATTCAGCAACACTTAATGTTCGTAAAGGAAAATCAAATTTAGCGATCTAAAGTGATAAAGTGCAAAATAAGTTTTAAGAATTTTTTTAATTTGGATCACCTCACCTAGATGAAAATTACTTCTAAAGCTAAAATAACTTCTTCTCCTATCAAATCGTTGTAGTTCGGTTATTACTATTTAGGAGTATTCTATGGTTATCTACAAGATAATATGATCCAAATATTAAAAATTCTCAAGATATAACAGGCCCTGTTCTATACACCAAATGGCGTGAACAGGTCTGCCTATACGGTATCGAGCACTCTATGCAGACCGGTAAACATTTCATCTCTATATTTCATTCTCATCTATAATAAATTTACGACGTCATCATGATTCGTGCTTTCTTTTGAAGGAGGAGCAGTTCATGTTTGAAGACAGCAAAAATGAACTTCCGTTTCTAAATTTAAACTGAAAATAATACAAAATTAAGAGGGTGCTCAAATTCATTTAATCGCATTGAATATCTTCATTGCTTTCTATGTGTTGAGAATAAACATTAAACATCTCCAGAAAATTGTACGCTAAATGTCAAAGGTGACTTGTGAATCGGCTAACTGCAAATATTTGAAGACATGGCCAGTAACAGCTGCAAAATCCAATAGCCAGCCAAAATAGAAGTCGATTCTTCAAAAACGGTTTAGATGCTGGTGCTTTAGCTCAAGTCCTAAATTTCAGCGTTTGGCTCGTGCCTGCAAGAAAACAATATTTTAACTTTTAAACATATAATAATTTAGCACAACTTACAAGTTGTCGGTACTGCCAGATTTGAAGATGGCAATAAAATGCATATGCTTCCATTATTTCGTATCATCTTCAAAAATTGCACAACATGTTTCTTGTTGTCATATGAACTTTAAGTGACCTGACATCAGTGACTCGTGACATCACAAAGGAGCATGGAAATACACTAAAAGTTTGTGAGGCCAAAATCCTTTTTTGCATCGAAACTGAATTCGTAAATTCTATCAGCTATTTTTAATTAATGCGAAATTTACAAAGCATTTTAGATATGAGACACAGAAACATTCTAGATATGTCCAAAGAATGTCTTAAGATCACGAAAAAACTAGCTTGAGCGGATAAGAAATTCTCTTCTTTGCTTAGCAATTGTCACACTTTCACAATTTTGTTAAAGGCAAACTTATTTGGTCATTTTTATCAAAGTTGTTTACTTATGGAGCTATTTTTATTGTCTGGTGCAAGATTCATTTCTAATAACATTTGTATGATAGAATTGAACAAGTTCGGAACTAGCCGCTACCCAAAACAGTGGATAGCATTTGACAAATTATTGGGATGGCAGGGCTGATTCCCCGAAAAATTGCATTGCTTTTTCTGTTGCTCCGATTAAAAAGCCGACTTTTTTTCTTAAATTCTTGAAAAAGGTACATCCCCTTGCTATCCAAGCATCCAATACCGTAGAATAGGTACTTTTTCGAACAAACAAAGACTGCATGCCCAAACCAATAGGCACAATGATGAAATTAGTCAACATGGCAACATACCTTTTTCCAACGGACAAATTCAAAACGTATTGAGTTAAATTTCATTAAGCATATTAATACGTTATTTCATAGCACGTCTGTGCACTCTTAACTGTACTTTGTATCTTATCTTAAATGAAAGTCATCAATCTAGCAAAATGCAAACCTTCTAAGTCTTGCCCGAAGATCTTTAATTTGCACATTCTTCGTCTCCAGCATCTTCTTCAGATTTTTATACTGAGAAGTTTCTGAAAATTTCTTATCAATTTCCTAAAAAAATTAATCGTATATTGAATAAGAAAGCATGAAAAATTTATTTTAGGAAAAAATACTCTTTAATGTTCATGGAATTCAATTAAGGAATATAAATGTAGAAATAAGATTTTGACCAAGGGTTAGAGATCAAGGGTTACTCTTTTTTTGAGACATATTTCTTAAGATTTATGCATTTTTGAAATGCCTTGCTTGTGTTTCATATTCACAGTGATCTCACAAGAAACCATGGCTCAAGAACAGGAGTCAAGCTTTAACACTGATATCAAAATCTGGAGCGTTCTTTTCCTTAAAAGCACAACTGTGTGCACTAGCAACATTATAAAGTTATATTGCCTACCGTTGCATCTAGCTTTAGCCAAGGAACTTCAGAACTAAATCTAACGTTCATGAAATATAAACTATCATTTGACTGATTTAGTTACCTTGTTTAGAAGCTCAATTTCATGCTGAAGCGCCAACACATAGTGCTACAATAAAAAGTTGAAAATAATCAAAAAGTGTCAGATTTCAGTCAAGAAGGTTGAAGGGATGTCAATAATACGAGAATGAATCGTTCTTCAAAAGTAATGCTTCGCTGCAGGCATTCCTTACTTTGGTATTGGCAAGCTCTTCTTCGGTTGTCTTACATTTCTTCTTTGCAAGATCTTCCGCCTGCAGAATAAAAGACATCTAATAGTGATCTGGTCACCGCTCATGCATTGAACAGAACTTCCTCTGTTCACAAATAACATATTCATGCTTAGTTGGTTTTTAAGGTAATCTTCAACGCCAGATGGAAGGAATAGCTATTTATGCGTATATAAGAAATCAAGGCAGTGATAAATCTAATTATACTTTAATCATACAACATAAGCTCAAATCGATAAGCAAACTGAAGTCTGCTTGCACTTTTACATCTATCCTTTCAAATCAGCCTAGCTCCTTCTTTTGTGGGGTTTGAAAATTTTTAAAAACATTCAAGCATCAGGGATGTAAGAACTTGAATTTGCAAAGGAAAGTTGCTGAGAGAAAAACAAGCCAGCCCTTTAAAAAGAAAAAGTTGGCAAAGTGAACCCAAAGGATCCTGTAAAGAATACAAATTGCACACATACGTTTCTAAGGTCTTGATTTAAAGTAGCAACTTTGTCGGATAGATCTTGAATAGCGCTTTCGTCAACCTTGGAATTAAAGAAAGATTACGGTGATAGAAAATCACAAATTTGAAAATCTACCAGATTAATCATTGATCACAACACAATTAATTATACATTTACTATCAAAGACAAATGGTTATTTAAAATGGTTTTTCAGAGATCCAAAGCCACATGAACATATGGTAAAAAAATAAACAGTGCTCGACTGTCGGAGTATTGAAATGTTCGTTATAAGACGCGTCCAGCTAGGCCTTGTATATATCGTCATGCTTATTCCGTGACAAATATACTAAAATTATGAATCTTTTCAGACATACCTTAACCGATGAGCTACCTTTGGTATTCAAATCACTTCTTGCTTTGCTCAGATCAGAGGATAACTTTGTCTTTTCGTCAAGAGCATTTGACGCCTTAAATGAAGTTTTAAAAATTCAAGATAACTTTACCAAAATTGATGCTCTCAAGCAGATATTCTAAAAAGGATGCTTTCACATATTATTATAACACTGTGTTCAGGAAAAATTTAGGAAGTGTCCGTTTTAGCATTTTTTAACAGCCTATTCTCCCTATTAACATTCCTGAACAAAATGTTAAAATCTCATTTTCAATCTGTCGTGCATAAAATGAATACCTTCTTCTATAGTTTTTAACTTTGCACAGAAAATGCCCCAATCTGAAAACGCTACTGACGATTTCTGGCAAAAAACGCCAGTTTAATTACATCTTTACCAGGGATACGGAGAATAAAAAGTATACGACAAAACGATTATGAAAATGTGTAAAAAAGTTGTGAAATGTTACTTTTAATTTGTAAGAAAGAAACTAACCAAAGCTACGTGGAACGAAACACGAGGCTTCATGGCAAGATTGCCAAAAAACAACAACTATAAGTGGCTATACAGGCCAAGTGTACGTATTACTAATCATGGTCTAATGACAAGGTTATCCATCCAATTAAGTCCATTGACAAATCATGTGATTAGGTATAATTATCTAAGTCTAAACATTTGACAAAATTAGTTAAAAGGAGATAGAAATGATGTGATATTTTAGACACGAATAATCGTTGTTTGGGTGGGTGCCTAAGCCCAATTTAATTGGCGTTGGCAATGTCTGGGTCACATTGTGGGTCAGTTTTGCAGAAATCTGTCAAAAGAAGTTACTCTGCTATAAAAGTAACGGTTCTGACAAAAATAACACCAGAAAAGAAGAAGGCGAGGGACTAAAACCAATTGTTTCTTAATCATAATTCTTGACACAAGTACAGCTTTTTCAATTTCAATGTTTTATTCCTACCAGAAAAGAGATAAAACCTTAGAAAATGAAAGATAAATCTAAATATAGAATAAAATTAGAAATCTCTTGAAATAAAATTTCCACTACCGAAATCTTCAATCAGAATTTATATCTTGGAGATTCTTAACAAGGACACACCTCGCTTTAGGCCGCGAAAATGAAAACTACATACCAAACAAAAAGGACCAGATAGTTACCAAAAAGGCCGAAAAATTATTCGGTGGCAATCAACAATTAAATAAGAATGAATGAAAATGAATGAAAATTCTTCAGCTCGGAGACAGAATGCTCCAAAATGCTAAGGAAAAGCGACGAATTGTATTAACAGGGCGAACGTATCAGATAAACTTAACTAAGAATGTCCAACCCAAACGTCGTTGTAAGTTGTTTATGCATTTAAATTATTTTATTTTAGACATAAAAGACAAAAATTGTGTGCAGTTAACCGGTTTTTCTTCTCCTAAAAATCTACAGAAGAACATCGATGTAAAAGGTAATGGAATGCTAAAATACTTGGAATACTTTTCATGTCGACCTACATTCAGGTCCCATTTTTGAACAAAACTGGAAAACAAACAGTGGTTTAAATGGCATGAATATTTTTTGCAACAGGTTTTTTGCCATTGAAAATATAAACCAAGAGATGACAGCTTGTTTACTGTTTAGATAATACTGCATATCCTATACAGCTACAACTCCTGCGAAAATTCTATGGAAAAACTTCGGAAAAAGCAAGGAACCTACTTCTAAGTTGTTGCTGGCTGGTTGTCGAGTTAAGTCTCATAAATACCAACCAGGAATCAATTGCACAACACCGAAAATAGTCCAAAACAATATTCTTTAGAGGAGGAGAGGGGGACAACAACAACAACTTTAAAAAATCTACGGAACTTGGCCTTTAGCAGGTGACACGTAGAAGTTTTCAATGTAGAATATTCGAACTGAATCTCACCTGCCTCTCCAGCATCTGAACTCTTTCTTTCAGCTTTACATTATCTTCTTGTAGCCTATTTATTTCCTGAAAGAAAATAGACATTCTTTAGATGTCACAAATGGCATTATGACTCCACAAGATAATTTTTGGGTACGGAAATAAGAGAAATCAGAAGGAAAAGTTTCAGTGGAAGTTTAGTGAAAAGAAATGCGATTCAACTACAAAGTTGTACAGACGGTAGAACATAAAGCAGTGGTGCATAAGTTATTCTTAGAAAAAGAGAGGGAAAGGTATTTTTGAGGACTAATTTAGAAGTTTACTTTGTTTGTGCAAACTCTATCAAAAATATTTGGGACCCTAAGGTCAGTTTGGGACCCCAAGAGTAATTCAGCCATCTCCCCCTAACCTTGAAAGCAATGTTGGTTTACAATAAAACGACACTACGATTCACTGTACGGTTTACTATAAATAAGCAAGTACGCTTTTTTGTGTGACCTGTATGATATTTGCCTAAAGAATCAACATTGCCCTTGGGAGGGGGGGGGGGGGCAGTAGTAGTGATATTTTGGAACAGAGATGAAACACGCGAACATACAACGCAAATTGCTCGGTGATCAAAGTAGTTTTTCAGGCATTGATAATAAAATAGCCCTCAAATGGGAAACATGCTTCTAAGCACCTTCTTAGACAATATTAGATATCATTTGAAATATTTCAATCTATGATCCAAAAGGCTTTCTGAAACCAGGTCCTCGATTGCTTTGCAACCTTTTTTGTATTGTTGCAATGTGATCAAATATGCTTTTTTTAACCATGAGTTGATGGCTGCACTCCAAAAGATCTTCTTTTGCTTACAGACATTGATAAAGATATATGGTTACTGATGCGGATTGCAAGGGCACATGTTAATCACTATAGGCGCAGATATTTTAAAAGCCTCACCCCTTTAGTTACCGGAATTTCCTAAACCTAAGAAATAGTATGAGACAGTTCCCCTTGTCCTTAGACGTGGATTGCTACGCTTCTGCATTGCATTTTATACACAACAGACATAAATGATTTAAACAAAATTGTTTCTCAAATTCAAATTTAAACAAAATAATTTTTTAAAAAGCAATAGCAAGCCTATGAGACCAAAAATAGAAGCTGAAAAAGGCAGTTCGAATTAAAAATGAAGTGGTTACATGCAGCAACTTTAAAACACAGCCCCGTTGGAAAATAATTGCAAGTAACTAAAGTGAAAGCAACTTCGTTTATTCTGGGCATCACAAAAAAATTTGAACACAGGCAGCTTAAATATGGAGTAGAAATATTACCAAAAACCTAATTTATAATCACAATCGTAGCTATCATGAACTTTACTATCATTGGAATAATTACTGATATTAATCACTTACTGTCACTTATAATCGTTAGCATAACCATCATAATCACAATCATTAGCATAGCTACTATATCACAATCATTACCATCACTAATAATCGTTAGCATAACCATCATAATCACAATCATTAGCATAGCTACTATATCACAATCATTACCATCACTAATAATCGTTAGCATAACCATCATAATCACAATCATTAGCATAGCTACTATATCACAATCATTACCATCACTAATAATCGTTAGCATAACCATCATAATCACAATCATTAGCATAGCTACTATATCACAATCATTACCATCACTAATAATCGTTAGCATAACCATCATAATCACAATCATTAGCATAGCTACTCTATCACAATCATTACCATCACTAATAATCGTTAGCATAACCATCATAATCACAATCATTAGCATAGCTACTCTATCACAATCATTACCATCACTAATAATCGTTAGCATAACTATCATAATCACAATCATTAGCATAGCCACTGTATCAGAATCATTACCATCACTAATAATCGTTAGCATAACCATCATAATCACAATCATTAGCATAGCCACTGTATCAGAATCATTACCATCACTAATAATCGTTAGCATAACCATCATAATCACAATCATTAGCATAGCCACTGTATCAGAATCATTACCATCACTAATAATCGTTAGCATAACCATCATAATCACAATCATTAGCATAGCCACTATATCAGAATCATTACCATCACTAATACTCGTTAGCATAATCATCAGCATAGCTACCATAATTACAACCGTCATTTATAACTTAAATCATTCAAGAGTTTTGAGACAGATTAACATATAATGATGGGTGAAAATGCGCGCTATCGGATGATCACCAAACCTTTTGTTGCAGTTGTATTAAATCCACGAGAATATCTTTCTCAGAGGCAGTGCAAGTGTCACTCATAAGCTGCATCATGCCGCATAGGTCGATAGAAAACCAAAACCAAGCCAACACAAAATAACATGACAATATCAACGAATATTTCTAAAATGGCCAAAGATATCTTGCTGAAAAAATACTTTTCTTGACAGAGCGACTAAAATTTCCGTTTATTTCCAAAACATAGCAACAGGGTTAGTTCTGATAAATCTTTAATCATTCCGTTACTTGTTTTGTAAAGCTAGAATGGATAGAGTTTTTTGTGGAAGCAAGTCGAAATAGAATCATTGAAAACAGTTTGGTAGCAAAACACGAAATTTAAAACCACAACTGGGAGATAAGAGCAACAAAAGCCGCATTACATTGTAACACAACTTTGGTTTAATCATTGAAGACACGTGGTTGCTGATTCACATTACAATAGTCGATCAATTTGGTTTAGGTAAAGTTCAGTATTAACAATACTTGCTGAATTGTAGGTGGATAAGTCTTGTTATACCACGCTGTCCTTCTTAACTGGATGCAAGTAATGATGCAATTAAAACTGATGCCAATACAGAGCATCCCCTTGCTAACAAGCTTTCGTCGACATCATTGCGTCCATGGTTCCAACATTTGGCTACGCAATCATGAATTAATATTTCAATAATTCGGGGCTCTCTTGTTTTCTGATTTTGGAAACAATCCCAACCCTTAGAGTTTCAAAGAATGAAAAATAAGTTCCACAGGCTCAATTTAAATCTAAAATGTAATTACGGTCGTCACATACGTTGTTGCATATAGGTATTAGCGCTTCTACCTAAAAAAATTTCCTGAAGGCACATTTTTAGTCAGAATGTTATTTTATGTGGAAGAGTATTGAGGTTTTTGAACCCTTTTTGCCAACAAAACATGGAAGCACCCAGGTTTCGAAAGAAGGCAATGTAAGAATGTCCACATCTCTTAAGTTCAAACTGGAGTCTCTGATCTCCTAACGAGGCAGATACCCTGGGTACCAGAGCCTCATGAATCCGGGGATAAAGTATTGCAGACAGCTGCGGTGGCAAAGAATAAAAACTTTTTCTGTGACTATTTTGTAACTATTTTTCTGAGACAAAATAATGGAGACTCTTGTACGAGGCAGAGTAAGATTGACACAGTGATAGCTATAAACCTTGTAATTGTCGTTCAGCATTCTACACAATGATCGTGTGGTCCTTCTTTTTCATTTTATTCCAGCCATGACTTAACACCAATTCTATATGTCAACTTTATCTATTTCGATTAGATTTAGAAAAAGTATCTCGGTTAATCTGCCTCAAGAAGCAGAATGATGTTGGCTTCAATGTCATACTCCATATGCTGCGGAAGTCTTCAAATTTTTATTTCAAAGGTTTAGAAATTGGATATAAATTAGCATTTGCATACATAAAGCTGTCAATTGGAAATAAGAATATAGCTTTTTATCAGCAATTAATCGAGATGACATCAGGACTAACATGGCTTTCTTAATATAAGTGAATTGCTAACTCTACATCACAGGTCAATATATGCCCCCTAACTTTAGATATCTCATTTTGAATGCACCAGAACAACATTATTTAGGAATTAAACTTCAGAGGTAGATAGAGCAAGACCATACGATAGACCACTGAGGAACCTATCATGGCTTGACCAATTTCAGACAGGAGAAAAAAAGAAATTATACATAAAGTTACATCTACAGAAAAAACAGCAAAACAATGCATGCATAAAGTAAATATAGCATGCATTGTTTTGCTGTTATTTTTACACATAAAGCAAATATAGATATCGATTTATCCTTGGACTGTTCAAAAAGCTGATTACCAATAAAATAAAAAATGATTTAGTCTACAGGGATACAAAAGCACAAGGATAACAGAGTCTATTTGCTGTATTTATTTGTAAATAATGTATTTGTTTCCAAATCTAAGCCTAATAGGTATGAACTAATTTCCACTGGTATACAAATTGCAATGTTCTATAAACCAAAAAGCAGAGCAAAGAAATTGAAGAGAAAATCGTCTAAAAACCCCTTACCATTTGCAAAAGAGCAGTGTTTCCACCCTCATTCAACGGCTGTAATTTTGACTTTTGAGATAAATTGGACGCTGTCTGAAAATGAGGAAAAATTTGCATCAATATGACAGAACTCCAAAACATAAATGGCAAAAAATCAAACTACATCATCAGACAACCTTTTTGGCAATATTCAAGCGAAGAACAAAATTATCACCATATATCAAGAGTTGATGTGAATATATGTTTACTAGTCTACAAGTTTTAAACTAATATTAGTCTTTAAGTTTTATAATGCCAGCTCTACTTGAAAGTCCCATTCAAACCAAAGGCAATATCAATAATACAAATATATATATATATATAAATATATTCAAAATTGCTTTCAATAGGCAGTTAACAAAACTTGTATAAGAACTATGAAATTACTTAAACAACAGTTCCATTCCACTGAAAATCAAATAAAACCACATTCCTTCCCAAACTTTGGAGTTTCTGGGAAATCCCCACTATACTAGTTGGTTCTTTTCATTGAAGAGTATCATTTTCCCTTGAAAGATGCAGGCAATCACTGATATGGCACACTTCATTTTCATTACGTTTATTCATTTAAAGCAATGTACATTATTTATAGCCTTAAAAATATATGAGATCTTACCACTGCTTTTGACTTTGAAGCAGAAAATTCATTCTCCTCAAACTGAGCTATCTCTTCTAACAATTTCCTAAGAACATAAAATTCTCATAAAATTACTCTTGGAACAAAATACATTATAATGAGAATTCTCCTGAAATTACATTGGTTTGTGTTAATGACAAATAAAAATGCAAAAGCAAAGAAGAATGCTTGCGCAAACATGTCAAGGTGAAGCTTTCAAACTCAATATTAAGTTTAAAATAAACAAGAGACATAAAACATATTTTTCAGAAACCCCCTACAAAGTGAGAGTGGTAGAGAAAAAAAATTACCATTCTGCCAAGGTACTGAAAGCTCACAGTCTACCCTCTACTTTTTTACCAGTTTTTACAGCATTTTGCTCCCAAAGAGCTGATAAGCTACTTCAGCCTACTTTTGTCAATTTATTGAGAATTCTTGCAATTTTTAGTCCCTTCAATTTGGTTGCTCAGAAGACTTGCAGAGAGCAAAAACATTTGCTGCACCTTATCAATCATTAGTTTCTTACTTGGCAGCACTATGTCAATTCCTGATATACCCTAAAGGTCTTTTCCTAGCCTAAGTCAGATCATCAAAGGTTATATCAAAATATTCTCTGACGTTTACGTTTACTATCTAATCAAAACTTTTCATTGCTTCTGATCTTCTTCTCAGGGCTTAAAAAATGACATTTTCAAGCCCTGCTTCTTATAAACAGTTTATGTAAACAAGCTAGTCCATAAATGCAGGTGGAATGGTTTTAGAATAATATGATTCAAATAATATATTTGCATCTAATGTGATCATCAATTTAAGGAGACAGAAAACTGATCTTAAATATTTCTCTTTCATTGCTGTCCACATACATTTCACCTCTCCCTTAGCTACTCCCCTCTTGCCTTTCTTTTCCACTTAGGCCATCTTACCTACCTTAAAATAAGAAATAATTTCTGCAAAGTAACTTTTTGCAATTCAAACCCTTGAACAGTCATGCTCTGCTCAAAAATCTTTGAGGATAAGAGCCTTAGAGGATAAATACCATATTAACCTCTACAATCATAGCAATTAAGGCAGGATTTCCACAAAGTAAATAAAATTGCACTACAGTTAAAATTTTTCCATGTCATTTTTACTTGTTTTTGCTTGTTTCCTAGTTGTTTCCTACTTGTTTTCTAGTTGTTTCTTTTTGTTTCCTAGTTGTTTCTACTCATTTCCCATTATAGTAACTTTGTTTTTGCGATTGACAGCCTTCTTCAAAATATTGTTGGCTTACAGTTTGTGATTAAAAGATTTTTGCACCACTTGATAAAGATGCAGAGACAGAGTTTTGGTAGCAAATTTATAGCAATTTTACAACTAGTTTGAAAATTTTGATGTTTTTTTAGGTTCTTTTCTTCCAGTTCTTTAAAATACTCCTCTTTTGGTTTTTTTCTACAGGTAGAAAAGGTCTTTTCTTACTTTTTCCCCTTACTCTCTTTCCAATATTTCTCCCTCTCTCTCTTCAAATTTCTTTCCCTCCCCTTATCCTTCCCTCTGGACAAACTTCCTGCAAAGCCTTGCATTCTTTTTCGTCTCTGTAGAAAAAGTATAATAGATTTAATATTTTACCTATTTTCTAGCTCTGAGATATCAGCCTGCAGCTTCAAATGCCATTTTTCTGCTTGACTGAACAATTGTCTAAGTAGTAAAACATTAGTATGGGCTGCATTTGTCAGCTCAAGCTCAACATCCCCCTTGACAACACCACAGAGGCCCTCCAACATCTCAATAACTTCATCAATGGTATATGTGTCTTCTATAAGCCTGCAATTGCAAAATTACAGTATTTCAACATTCAATGATATGAAATAATTAACAATAATTTGCACTGCAGCAATAGTAACAAAAAAGGAGCTTTATATCAATCAATTTTTAATTGAGAGGTATCAGTAGCAACATGAAAACACAATTTCTTAGCCTAATTACTTATTGTTTACATGGTAATCTGTATTCAAAAAAGCAAAGTTTGAAAAAGCCCTTGAGGTCTGATTTTTTGAAAATGCAATTATGTTATTTGAAAATGCATCATTCCTATGTAGACAAAAAGACATTCTAATTGCTTTTTTTGAGATAAAGCTGGAATCTTTTGAAAAGGTATCCAAATGTGGACTAAGCCTAGGGTCATGTTTGATACAACTGTTTGATACAGGGTCATGTAAGAAATAGAGAGCCTTGAGTTTTTTAGGAAATTGTTTAAAAGACTGAAAAGCCTGAAAATGCTTACAGAGGAATATTGCATTGAGTACATATTATATTTGTCAGTCAGTAACTCGTAAGTAGCTAACTAACTAACTAACTAACTAACTAACTAACTAACTAGCTAACTAACTAACTAACTAACTAACTAACTAACTAACTAACTAACTAAGTAACTAATTATCTAACTAACTAACTAACTAACTAACTTACTTACGAACAAACAGATTTGTATTAAGATAATGTAAATGCTTGTTCTAAGTTGTCAACAGTTAAGATAATTTGTTAACATTGGCAGAGAGAGAGAGGCATTTCAATACCTAAATTGTAACTTTAAAGACTGTGGACTTTTTTAGATCTTGTTTTGAGGGAAATCAGCAAAGGATCATCCAAAATTTTGCACCCATGTCACATGCAAATTCTGATAACAGTACATGAAAGATCAACACGGGTGAGAGAGAACTAAAATCAAAAGAGGGAATCTTATAAATTTAGCAACTGTCTACTTCTAAAGACCTTAAATACTTTTCTAGGAAATTCCTCCAAGATCCAACAATTAAGAAATGACATAATTGCTGTTCTTAAACCATTGGTGTGTGATATATTGATTCTCTTCTTGGTTATTAGACAAAGAAAAACACTTCTTGCTAACTGTATAATTTGAAAAATACTTCTTTACTGAAATAGAAATCAAGACAAATTCAAATTCAAAAACTTTGGACATGAACTTCCTTGCTAAATATTTTTCAAACAAGCTTTTCTGAAAAAATTCTACCACCAGAGGCAACCATTATAAACTTTTTAGAACAAGCAATTGCTTTACCTGCTATCTTTGATGTCACTAAAACAGCTATCAACTGACTTGATTGTCTGTCCTCTATTGTACCTTGCAAAACGAAGGTAGTTGACAATTTCATTCTGGTGGTTTTCATTCAATCCAATTGAGCTCTGTATGAAATAAAACACATTTAGCCACATGCCAGTGATGTTATGTTTAAGAAATTTAACTTAATTTTGCCTTTAATTTTCATGTCTCAATATATCTAAAGTCATAGAAAAAGAAATCTACTAAAATTACCTACAATCATTGCCAAAAGATTGATTTGGAGATTAGAAAGTATGCAGTGATGCTGGAAGCATGATGGGGCAAAGGGGGCAGACAAGGCATGAAGATGGTAATTAGGGAAATAAGTCATGTAAAAAGGAGGGGGTACAAGATAATATTGTTTATTTTAAAGAGTAAATTTTTGCTATTTGACATATTTCATATTTCATTTCTAGGGTTGCCCTTCAACAAAGTTGATATACAATAACATCTAATTTTTGCATCCTTTGATCAGACGAAAATTTTAAATTTCTATGAAGGTTCATTCTTATTCTTTTAAAAACAAACTTACAGTCTACAGTCAAAGGTAAATAAAAAATAGGACATCAATGCCTGCCTTTTGCTTAAATGTTTCTTCTTTGATTTAATTTAATTTTTGAATTTTTTAACAAATCAATAGAAAAGCAAAAAAGTCAAGCCAAACATTTAAAGACAACTGAAAACTACATTTTTTGATATGCCTTGCTTAATCCTTCAACCCTCCCTGCCTCTTTGGTCGTTGGCAATACAACTTAAAAATGCCAAAACGTCACTTGTTCTTGGATAATTTCTAATCCGTCTGCTTTTTAATCCTATTAGATTCTTACAAGGGAATGATATAATTTAAGTGACTTGGTTTGGTTGACTAAGTATAGAATCTTCTAGAGCAAGACCAAAGGTTTGTGACCGTTATACAACAGCTATAAGCCTGCTGGATGTAGGCAAATGTGTTATTTAGAGATCAAGGTTGTGCAGAAATTGGTACCTACCATTTTGCGGTGGTAGAATGTTACTTCAGACGGAAGAACAGCTGCATGGGATTCTAACAACGTCCCCGGAAAATGTTTTGCCTGGGTAAGTGTTGCAGACTGTTGTTGCGAAGCACCTGCAAAAATTGTAAATGAATATTTTACAGAACAGCTTTGCAGACCAGCCTCCTATTCAGTCGATTGTTATGTGACCAAGTAGAGGCACGCAGGATAAGTTGAACGAACAACATTTTACAAAAAAGTATTGAACGTTTGTAAAATTTGAGCATAAAATGATGAGTAAAGGTTTATTAAATGTTTCGAAAATTTCTGGCAAGTTTAACAATTCTGGCACAAAATATGAAATGGTGCTTGGTAAACAGCTCGAAAAAAATAAACAGTTGCAAATCAAAAAGAGGAAGGCCTAAATGAAGTCCCATTCACATGAATGATTTTTGCTTGAAACTTCTTTTCAGTTGAAGCAACCTGCCATTCGGTTGGGCCGTGGCATTGGCAGAGTAAATGCAGTAGCTGGGGGGGGGGCAAAGGTGAGCTTAGCAAGGGAAAATTGGGGTCCACACCCTTTTGAACGTCATAAAATGCGCTTTTTCAAAGAGATTTTTTAGCATTGGGAGGGGGCAGGGACGCCGGAACGATCAAAGGGCAAGGGGACAAGCTTGAGTAGAAGGGCCTTTGAAAGAAAACTCCCAGCTACTAATTCTTTCTGCTAACTGCCATTTTATTTCGATCTTTTGTAGGTAACTTAAAAATTGGCTTACTTTTGGCATGAGAATTTATTTTACAAGTTTTGAGAAATGTCGTCATGAATTAAGCACTGCAATCAGAATTTCATGTGAATCTCTCTGATTATTACAATTGGGCGGTTTAAAGCAGAAGTGTAGTGCTAGGGGGGCTCAGGGGGGCTCACTTAAATGTTTGCAGTTAGCAAAAAAAATAAGGACTGATTGAGTAACAAACTCGGCGTTAACTTTTTCTTTGACTCAAGCCATAGCATTAAAATAATGCGATGTGAATGATACTTCAACGGGGGTTGCTGCATCGTCTTAAAGATTCATTTACCGAATAATCTAGTTTTTTGCTTGCGCTGGACTGTCTAGTATAAAACACGAACAGGTAAGGTATTGCCTCATGGAATGAAAAATTGACATAAAAAAAAGTCAATAAAATGGCAAGAATTAGCCAAATTAAACATAATGGACGAATAAACTTCGAATATCAAATGGTTCTCAGAAAGGAAGGCAAAGTTGATGCAAAAAGAGAAAAGGACTAATCACTGGTTTCTTGGAAAGCAGATTAAAAAAATGCAACTTCTGGTAGCATTTGATTGAAACGGTCTTCGAAATGACAAACCTTAAAGTTTTGTGAAAAATACAGACAGCAAACCAATTTAGAGGATGATTACACAAAAATTAAAGGAAACCTTCTTGCTATGATTTAGCTGTAGCATCATGATTAAGATATCAAATTTTCGTATATAGAAATGATTCGCTTTGGCTTTATTTGTCGCTTACCAAGTTTTTCCATTTTGAATTTTTGATAGAAATTTGTACAATCCGATAGACGTTCAATGTATTCCGCATGTGAGCCAAAATTTCTAAAAATCGAATCTGTGCACCTTCCTTTCTAGTTTGCTATTTTTAGGTCTACCATCTTTAGTTTAAGTTTCAGTAAAGATAAGGCTTCCTCACACCTCAGATATTCTGTAATTTAAACTTACTATCCTTTATGCATCTTAGGTTAGTTTTCTTATAACTTTTAACTCTTCGAGAAATCTCTTGTGTAAAATTACTGAAATCCATATCAGACAGAATTTTTATTATTTAATATTGAATTTCAATTAGTGCACTCAGCGCCATTTTGTAATCAACAGCTCAACTTTGCTATTAGTGCTACATATGTTATGTTGCTTAGAAATTGATCGATTATGATGAAATTCTCACTAGACCACGCCCTGATTTTCAGACCACACCCACCTGAGGCCCTCCAGGTATTTGTGGCCGGGTAAAAATTCTGAGCCAGTCCGCCACTTCTCTTGCCCCTCTTGCCCTTCCTATCAAAAGGCAACAGGGGTGGTTGACCACCGCACCCCCTTCTCTAGCATCCCTGGGGGCCGTCTGCCCCAGGGGCAGATCCAGAGCAAACTTGAACGAGGGCCAGTTGGTAGTGGGGGCGCTGAAAAATTGTCAAGAAATGGTGACGAGAGTACGCTGTATACAACAATTCCAGATCCGTTTTTGGAATAAACAACATAACTTTGAGGTAATCCTTGAAGCAAATTAACCTATCGGTCTCAGAAACTTTTTCGCATTCTTCAAAAGGGGCGCACAATTTCTAAAAAAAGGGGCGCCAGACTTGCTGCAACTCGTCGAGGGAGGGGCAACTGCCCCTAGTTGCCCCCCTTAAATCCGCCACTGGTCCGCCCCCTCTTGCATTCCCCTCGCTGTGCTACTGTGAATCTTGTACTTGGGAAAATCCAGGGTGCATTCCATGTAGTTTACGCCGGAGATCTCCGGCGTGGACTTGGCTTTTTCCTCGGCGTAGCGGCGTGAAATTTGCTTTTTGCGAATTGATAAATTTTCGCGATCGGCGTAGCAAAAACGGTACTTGTACAGAATACGTGGACAGCCTGATTATATTGATATGGACAGTAAAAGCAATGCAAACTATAGATTAATCGAAAGCTTGTATGTTTTACACTTGGCGTAGCAACTAGAATAGGTTGAAATTTCTCTGGCGTGGGTCTAACATGGAATGCACCCTGGGGGAAAATTACACCCATTGCTCAGTTCCATCATGCGCGACAATGTTTTCATAAAGATAAATGCTTCTTCGGTTTCAGTTTCATTGACAAATTACCTAACTGCATTGCCAGGGGTGGCGCTAGAGACAAACCTTGAAGGTGCCGAAGTTTATATTCTCCGTAACTGCCGACGCTGGATGTGTCAAATTGCCGACCGAAAAAAAATTCGATTTGCCTCATATAGCAGGCAGGGCCGTCGCGAGGCAAGCCTCATTTAGGGGGGGGTGTGGAATGCAAATTTACCTGATTAAAAAATTATTGCCTGAAACTTTTTAGCTGGTGTCACAAACCTCTGCAATACATTTTGTCAATCTAACTCTGTATGATAATAACCGACTTTCCCATTAGTCTTGTCAAATCTCTATATCGGGACGGGCAAAATATATAGTTACTACCTGAGGCGGCACCATGGTTGCCGCCGAAGGGGGAGGAAATTTTCGAATTGTGATGCTTCTAGTTCCCTGGAAAATGCACTCTTTTAAGCAGATTCACTAAAGCAATCCTCCTAATCCTATTTAAAATTATTGTCTTTTTGCAAAACTTTTTTACAGCAGATAAAAACAACAATTTCGCCGTGGTCTTGAAAAATACCAGGTTGTCAGTTACTTTTAAATTTAGATCCCTCTCTCCATCTTAGCATGCCTTATGAATGTTAAGAAGAATCTGGAGCTCATAGTGAATTGCAGTTGACGCTTCTACTGAGAAACTTTAGGAGAAATGGACACGAGGCACAATTTTACCTAAGATTGCTTGATCCTTTATTGATTTTATGACAGGAAGGTCTCTGAAATACCTAAAGCGTTTCTTCCACCGAGCGGATTTTACCTGAAATTTCCTATTGAGATACTATTGGGGTGGGTGTGACAACCCCCCAGTCGCGACGCCCCTGAGCAGCACCTCCAATGAAGGGGCACCGATAAAAAGCATTTTTCCAAGAGCCAGCAAGCATATAAAGCAAGCAATAGAGCATTTTTCCAAAATCGTTTGTTGTGGGTGCAAAGTTCTCCCTTGCCCCCTCCCCGCCCCCACTTTCCAACCTGTGTCGGAGTCCACGAGATTTTCTCGGCAATTTGTGCCTTGTAAGAAACTTAATGCGCAAATATTGCCTATTGTTGAATATTCCTTCCTATCTATGTTGGAAGAAGTTAATCGATGGTTTTCTCTAACCATTTGTTTGTCGCAAGCTATGCGGTGAACAATGCTATTGAAAAATAGTTGATGAAAAAGGACAAGAAGTGTTTTTTGAAAAATTTATTACGCATAATGTGCTAATGATCGAAATGTTTTCATTGGCAATAATAATGTCTTGAAACGAAAAGAGAATCCCTTAAGAAGAAAATTCATTAAAGACTTTATTTATGACAGCGTGATTTTGCTGTTGTTAGGGTAAATTTCCTTGAAACGGTCCAAAACATGATCCAAATCAAGCATCTCTGCACGTTTCGCATGAATCGGCATTCGCATGAGCAGCAACAGGGATTTCAACCAGGAGCACGATGGTATTGTGGGTCATGCGAAGGAGCACCATGAAATTAAGTCACAGCTTTCACGGAAGCGACAGGATATAATGCCACTATGATAGTAAAATTGCCGAAGAAAAGCCATTGAGAAAACCATAAACCAGCCAGTGCAGTTTTTTCCTCGATTATTTATGTCATTCAAACAACATGTAAACCGGGTGACATCCATCAAGTGCCGACGGTATTGAGAAAGCAAAAATTGATTGGCTGCCGACGGGGGGGCTCACAAAAATCTAGGGGGGGCTAAAGCCCCCCTTGCCCCCCCATGCCGCCACTCCTGTGCATTGCTATCCAAAAAGAAGTCATAAGCTTTCATTTCAATTTCCACATTATCTTTACAAATCCAAAGAACAAGTAAAAGAAGCTCAATGAAAAAGACAGAAGGGCGTAAAGATATTTAAAATGTTTTGTTTAAAAAATAAGAACGACTGCCTATAGTTTTTCGGACCCCTTTGATTTGTAGGGCTGCGGAAACTTCTGGAATCAATGAAATACATGAAATCAGCCAATCAAAGAGCATTCAATTCAATATGATATGTTTCCGGCCTAGCCATTTGGTTGTTTTTGTACAGAACTTTTAGAGGGGTGAGCGCTGTTGCCCACCTGGAAGTGAAATTTCGAAACACAAGAAGATTTCAGTTTCAAAAATGACAATCGATAACACTACAACAACCGTTTTATTAAAAGAACAAGGAAATACGCATTTTAAAGTCGGCGAATATGAAAAAGCGACAGAGTTTTACTCGAAGGCCATCGAAGCATGTGAAAACAGTGGTGTTTCGCAAATGAAGAATGACTTGGCTGTTCTTTACAAAAACAGATCTGCTTGTCATTTGAAGAGAGAGAAATTTGAAGATGCCGTGAATGATGCTACTAAGTCTTTAGAATTGGTCAAAAATGATCCTAAAGCGTTATTCCGTCGAGCTCAGGGAAACGAGAAGCTTGGGAATCTGGAGGATGCATTGAAAGATGCTAAAAATGCATATCAGCTCGAGCCTAAAAATTCGGCACTTCAAGATCTACTTCGGAGGATCACAGTCACGCTGCAATCGAAAGTGGGCAAAACACAGTCTACTGAAGGGATGGTACAGGAAATGATCCAGGCTATTTTGGATTCAAGCACAAAGGAGGAAAAGAGACAGCAAGCATTGAATAATCTAACAATCCTTGCACACCAACACGCAGGGAGTGGTGTGATGTATGAGACAAAAGCCCTTCAAAAACTAAAGCCACTGATATTTGGTGAGATTCCAAATGATGTTGTTTCATTTTTGAAAATGGTTCATGGACTGTGCAAGGAAAATTTTGAGAGGTCCATGGCAATGATGCAGCTGCTGCCTGTTGAGGAGCTGAGAAAAAGTTTGGGAAAGTTCACTGGAAATATTGATGTTGTTTCAAACTTGTTGTCTGTTGTTACTGAGGTCATTATAACAATGGTCGACTTTGCAAAGAAAAAGCATCCAATATCACCTGAAGATTGGGAGAAGTGGGTGATGAAGAATGAAAACAATGAAGCTGTCAAGGTCTTCTTAGAAGGTATGACAGAATATAAAGATCTTATGATGTCACTTACTGGGAACCTTACAAATCCTCATTTATCAGCAGATGCAAGGGACTGTACTATTGATGCATTGGTCAGACTACTTCCACTTCACAAAGCAATAGCAGATTTTGTCCTTGAAAATGGAGGTGTCACTAGTTTATTACAAGTAGCAGCATGCTCTGGAACAGTAAGAACAAAAGGGACACCAACATTAGCAGTGTCTGAAACAACTCACACACATGTAGCTGTTGCATTGTCAAATATCTACACTTCTATGGTTGTCATTCAAAAACAAAGAGAAAATTTCAATAGCCAGGCAAATACAACTATTTCAAAGTATTTTGACGAGTTTAAAGTTTCCCAAAATGTAAAAGGACTTGCAGGATTAGTGACTATTTTGGAAGGTTCACCTGAAACGGCTGAAGAAATTGCTTCAAAAGATTCAATTTTACAAAGGGTATTAAAGTTAGCAGAGTCAGATGATATTGAAGTTAAAATTCTGGCTGGTGAAGTTTTGGCCTATGCAGCTAGTGTGAAAAAAATTTGTGTTGCACTTCGCAATGATGGTATGGGCATTTTGAAGTCCCTTTTCAAATCAGATGTTGAAAGGCTTAAGGCTAGAGGACTTGTATGCATGTCAAAGGTGGGGATGACAGGTGCAGGAAATATAAATGAACAGCATTTGTCTGAGGATGGCATATTGCAACTATATAATGCTTCGTTAAAGTTTTTGATGGACAAGACTAAAGATTTCCAGTTTAAGAAACTGGCAGTTGAAGCATTGGCATTTCTCACAATGGATGCAAACATAAAAGAAGACATGGTCACAAATACCAAAGCACTTGATGCCTTGTTTGAGTTAGCAAAGTCTGGAGATAGTACTACAGTTTATGGTGTTTGTAACTGTCTTGTCAACCTGACAAACAGTTTTGATAAGCCTGAGAAATTTGAGGAACTTGAGAAAATAGCAGAGTATGCACAGCATAGTGTTCCTAAGCTTGATGAGAAAGATGGTGAGGAATATGTCAAGAAGAGAATTTCTGTCCTTGTAAAAGCAGGGATAACTACAGCACTGGTACATTTGGTAGGAAAAATTGATAGTAATGCTAGCAAAGAATCAATTGCAAGAATATTTCATGGAATTGTTACAGAACAAGAAAACAGAGGGATTGTAGTTCAGCAAGGCGGGGGAAAAGCTCTTATCCCATTAGCCTTGTCTGGAACTGATACTGGAAAAGATCTTGCTGCACAAGCTATTGCCAAGATTGGAATAACAACAAATCCAACTTTAGCATTTCCTGGGCAAAGATGCTTGGAAGTTGTAAGGCCACTCATCAGATTGCTTGGACCTGACAAGAAAGGCTTACAACAGTTTGAAGCTTTAATGGCATTGACAAATCTTGCACAAGTTGGTGATGACATTCGCAGGCGCATCATAAAGGAAAAAGGCATTATAGGCCTAGAGGTTTTTATGTTTGAAGAGCATGAGCAGCTGCGTCTAGCAGCCACAGAATGCATGTGCAACATGGCAATGTGTGATGATATAGTTAAATTGTATCTTGATGAAACATCAACAACTGAAAGACTGAAACTGTTAGTTTTGTTTTCAGGAGAATTAGAAGAACCAAAGCTGGTTCGAGCAGCAACAGGTGCTCTAGCTATCTTGTCAGCCAATGAGGAAATATGTGGTAAGATATTGACTTTCAAAAGTTCAATAGATATACTGAAGCAAATATTGGTATTTCAAGATTTAGAAATACAACACAGAGCAGTCTACATTGTTGCAAATATGCTGGAAAGCTCAAAAGATGTTGCAGAAAAGTTGATAGAAGGAGAAGTATTTGAAATTTTGCTAGCCTTGATGCAAGTTGAAGGAGAAGGAACCAAATCTGTGAAAGAACATGCAAAACGTGGACTTAAGGCAGCCCAACATTGGGGTCTTATCAAGGAAAATAAATAGAATCTTTTCAAAGGGATTGTTGACTTTTTTACCCTAATGCATAACATAATGACACACTTTAATAGTTTTGTATTTTAGTAGTGAAAACTGATGGTTGTTTTTAGCACTTTTTACCCATTGTTTCTGGAACACAGTTGTTGGAATATTGTCTAGTGTTTGACTCTATAGTTGGAAAGAAATGTCTTGAATATATGTTTGCAATTTGTTCTACATGGGAGCAATGCTGTCGAGAGGGAGATTTGTAAATTCCCAGGGCCCAGGTCTCAAGAAGGGCCTGCAAAAAGTTTGCTGGCGCTGAAGCCCCCTCTCGCCCCTGCTACTACTCCTGAACAAGACCACATATTGTTTATAGCCCCAGGGCCAGAGCTTGCTCTCTACAGGCCAGCATAGGAGCACCAGGGCTTTAATTTTGTAGAAAGGGAAGCCAAAACTAAAAACCTGGGCTAAATAGTATGTCCTGATTGGCTGTTACTTGAAAAGGTGTTGACATTTTCTATTTAAAGGTTTAGTAATGCTTACTTCCTTAATGTTCATAAGTAGCATAAAATAGTTTGTCAATTGCCTGTGGTAAGGTGCAAACATTCTTGATAAGATGATGCTAGGGGAACCAATTCAGGCTTTTGGCTTCGCAATAGTATGTTTTCACAATAATTGTTGGAAGAAAATTCCCCTGCAGAATAATACATGTTTGTAGCAATATTTCTGAATGCTCTGGATCGGCAGGGGCGGATCCAGAACAAATTTGAAGGAGGGGCAGTTCGTAGTGGAGGGCGCTGAAAAATTATCAGCAATTAGTGACGAGTGTACGCTGTATACAGCAGTGCAGACTCTAACTACTGACAGAAGGCTCTCTATTCACTTTGTAAGGAAATTTTCAAAATAATTGTTTTTTACTTTGAGGTAATCCTTGAAGTGAATTAGCCTATGAGTCTTAGAAACTTTTTCACGTGATTGTCAAAAGATGCGCCAGACTTGCTTAAACTCTGTGAGGGGGGGGGGGGCAACTGCCTGACGACTGGCAACTTTGGGAGAACTGGGGGCAGTTCTTGGCAGGATTTATTTTATATTTCGTCTAAATTCGATGAGAACATGTTGCAGGAGGGGTAATATTTTGGCAATATGCAGTTTGTGATGTTATCCTATGATTTGGAAACTGCCTTTATGTAACCAAAATTTAGTTATGGGCGTTCCCTGAAAGTAAAAGGGCATTTACTGGCGGTAAAAAAAGAAGTGGCCTGAAAATTTTTTTGTTTCGTCCCCCTAGAGCCTAATGGCTGGCTCCGCTCTTGAGACATCAGCACTAGAATATTGTAAAAATTTCTAATCCAAGGGCAGGACCAACAGGAGATGAGTGGAGTGCTCAGAGAAGCGTTAGACTGAAAACGCTCTTTCTTAAAGATATTCTGAAAAACAGTAATGAAACAGTTTATCTCATCCCGGGGGGGGGGGGGTTACTCCCATTATAGCCTTACAGGGGGGTCCAGCCTAAATGGTAGTATTTTTTGACAATAACCCTCAAATGGTAGCATAAAACAGATGTTATGTCCATGGTAGCATCCATTTCTTTGTGCTCCCCTGATCCTTGTTTGACAAATCTCTTCACAATTGACTGTTGTTGTTTCGAGAAAGATCAAATCTTGTTCATTATCTATAATAAATTGTAAGCTAAACTAAGCAGTTGAGTTATTATCGAAAATGGGCCATTTGGTAAGACCCTCAAACCGACTGGACCCCCTGTCAGGCCTTACTAGGAGTACAATTGTGTTTTTAGGCACAATTGCTTTAAAAGATGCATTTCCCCGTGAACTTGAATCACTTATATTCAAAATTTTCTTCACCCTTCTGCGGCAACCATGGTACCGCCTCGGGCAGAAAATTGGTCGAGACCACGAGACGCATACTTACCAATAAAGAATTGAGCAAAAAATTCTATGTTTTCACATACATAGCCCCCCTTTCATCCGCCATTTCACGTTCTATACTGATTTGAACAGCACTATCTAGTCTACTATCAGACATTGAAACACAAATGTAGCTATTGATTATCAGGATGAAGATGAAATTGACACGAAACTTTTCGATGAGACAAAAAACCAAACTTTTCATGTAGGCTTTTAGATTTTTCTTCCTTTTAAGCTTTTATAATTTGTAACATCTGATTTATGAGAAGAAACAAGTGACGAATGACAACAAGAAGCAATCAGCATCAAAATGGTGTATCCCTAAGAATTCAATTTTCCTGGCCCATTAAACCATTCCACCACAATTTTTTCGCTCAAATTTTCATAAGTGAATTCTACCATCTTACACCTTAAAATTTTAATGTATTTTTGGGGTTGAACTCAATGTCAAGTTTTTATACTCATGTTTAGCGTTCCATTGTTTTCACAGTTTAGTATGTCGTTTTTGATACAGTTTGATACGGTAGGGAGCGGTCGTAAAGGATCTCCTATATAGGGTGGTGGTGGACAATATTTGAATGGACCATGAAAAATTTCGCCAAACCTTTCTGGGGCTATAAAAAAATTTTGCTCATTTGTAAGGGGCCATAAAAATTTAATTATAAAAAATGATATTTTCCAAATTTGCAAATGACGAATATTGCGCACTTATGCTAACAATTTGCACTCTTGTAACACCAAATGTTGGAAAATGTTTAATAGAAATAAGGAAAGGAAGACGAAGTGAAAGATTAAGGAGCGCAAGGAAGATGATAGGAAAGTTATGTCGATTATGACTGGCAAGAGTGTAGTGATTCAGCATAATTTGAAAATGAAGAAAAGGTTTTACAGATGAAGATAGGTTCAGACCAGGGCCGTAAATCTGTCATGTGAATTGGGAGGGTCAGCAGGGCGGATGAATATAAAGTATGCAGTGGATCATGGCACCACAAGGGATTTATGGTATGTGTTATGGAAACAGTTGAGGGGCAAATTACTTTAAAAACAAAAGTCAATATTTTTGGATTTCTGAAGACTTTCTGCTCTATAGAAGGTATTTACAGATTTTTCCTTAGTACATTGACTTGTGTGTATGATTGGATGGGTAACATTTTTCAGAGACGGCCCCAAAAAATTGAACCTTGGGAGCTAAGAATCAAGTTTACTGTCGTAGGAGGACCCACCATGGCTGGGTCTGACGCGAAAGAAAATTTTTGAAATTTTACCTTCTAGAAAGGCTAAAAAAGCATCCCCCAGACTAAATTTCATAGAATACTAGAATCGCTCAGAATATAACGTTCGGCGTTTCTCAGAAGAACACAGATTATTGTTTATTGGGTGAAATTTTGGAGGGGAAGAGTCATGCTTAAACCTTAGTGACAGACTTTGGGGAAATATGGGACGCTGTTGTATTGATTGGTAGAAATTTACTTTCTGAACAGAAATGTGCGTCTTCCTTATTTTGACTGATTTCAGTAGGCCATGTTTACACATATAAAATGAATACATTGTAATGATACAGAAAGTGATTTACTAAATAAAAGTAAATAATAGACAAATAATAGAAATGTACGTAAATAAGTTAGTAAATAGGTCAAATAAAATGACAGATTGCTCTCCTTTTATTTCATACTCTGTTCTAAAAAATAAAACGGTAGAAAACAGTAGAAAACGGTAAAAAACGGTAGAAAAAGGTAAGTTTTTATCTTGTAAAAATTTTAAAAACCACTCTGCTTACAAAAATAACCTTTGTGACTGAGGTTTGTTGCAATAACACAGAAAACGTAGTTTGGTTCTAACCCGGCTACCAGGGATTTCTTTCTTTCAAGGAAAATGATGGTAATTTCTCCAAAAAAATCGTTTTGCTCCAGTTTTTTGGGGGGGTCCAGTCCCCCCCGTCCCCCCCGGGATTTACGGCCCTGGCTCAGACTTTAAATTTTCCCATTGGTGGCTCAAAACTCGAAATAAAAATACTGGCAAAAAAGGTGCTTTTATCCTTCACAAAGTATTCACGATCTTTCCAATCTTAGTGTGACATTTTCAAAATGTCTCTCTGAGGGTGCTTTTACACGGGGCCGGCCAAATATGTGGCCGGCCGAAAATTTGGCCTGCTGCTGAAGTCGACCACATTACACTTTCGTGACAAAAGTATTAGGACGATCGCCTCGAAGCAAATGTGGTTAATCCTTTGCTCAAAGAACAGCATAGAAAATCGATGGAACATAACAAGATTGCTGGTTGAGATTTTCGATGGCAATTTTACCCGATTGTTAAAATAAACATACATTTTATAAATTGCAAAAAAGTAAACATTTTAGACAAGTAATATTTGCTTTATTCTATATTTTGTCAGATGACCTCCAATCTAGGCAGCCACCATTTGCATTGATTCTCACTGAAATAATTTTCCAACGAAAAATCTTCGGATACAGGAGGAAATCTAAACAAAATTTTAAAATAGCTTATTTTTGGTCTTAGAAGATTCCATTTCTAGTATTTTTGAATGAAAACCGATTGTTTTCAACTACATCAAGGCTTTGACTTTGAGGGGATTATTGAAAGACCATTATGTTATTGTTTTTGGAAATTTATGTCACAATTGCAACCTAACAAGGTTTAAGGTGGTCCTCGACCCTGAAGATGATTTTAGCTATGTTTTTGAAAATCATTGAATATTTTTTAAGTCTATTGTTCAAATCACACCAAATTTTCACACAAACAACAATAGCAATTACTGCAGATTTTTTCATAACAATAAGATGATCACGTGGTTATGGTGTATTTTACAGACCAGGAAACCTGGACCATAAAAAATGCTTGAGAAACGATTTTAGAGAAGTGTAAGCTTACATTAAGATAATATCTATTTCAAATTACTAAACATAAAGAAAGCATTGAAATGAGTTGAGAAAATTATTGTCATAGCAACCGTTGCTATGGAAACTGGAAAAACCATTTTTCTTGGATAACTATCAACAGAGTAGACAGATTAAAATTTTGTCAACTCATATCAAAGACACCATAAGTACAATTCCTCCTACCAAATTTGATTGAATAATATTGCATGCTTCTTTTTTTATCCTTTCTTAAAGTATTAAAATGCGCATTTGAGAAAACGAGCTTTAAAGTTCTGGTTGCGTATATTTACAAACTCGACATCAATGCTTCAAAATAATTAACCAAAAGAGGTTAAATTTGGGTCTTAATGGTCCATGACCAATTGGTTTTAGATTATTCCCTTATATAATTAGG